GTCTCTCTCTGGTCTCTCTCTCTGGTCTCTCTCTCTGGTCTCTCTCTCTGGTCTCTCTCTCTGGTCTCTCTCTCTGGTCTCTCTCTCTGGTCTGCATCTGACCAATGTTTAATGTCAGATTTAGTCTCATCGTAAATGCAGTTCAATTTGGAGAGACGAGAAACAGGAAGTTTTGAGTATTTTATTGAAAGGAGGTTTGGCGCCCTAGGTCCCGGTGCGGCCTTCGGATCGGAAAGGCTCCTGCGATGAGCGCGCACAATCCCCCGGGACCTAGGCACTGGTGGCGGCATTTGGCAGCGGGAAGAAAATTGAGGCAGATGGAGGCAGGGTGAAGAGGAGGAGGAGGGGAGGCGGTGGTTGCGAGGCTTCAGGAGGCCGGTAGTGGGATTTTTCTCCGTTTTTATGCGGCTGCGAGTCGGTACAGATGATTGGAAGGGGGCGTCTGCAGAGCGATAGGCTGGGGATGCGAGCCGGCCTGGAGGGGGTAATTTTGGTTAACGTCTACCAAATTGAACTTTCGCTGGCTGCATTTCAATTTGGAGAGACGAGAAACAGGAAGTTTTGAGTATTTTATTGAAAGGAGGTTTGGCGCCCTAGGTCCCGGTGCGGCCTTCGGATCGGAAAGGCTCCTGCGATGAGCGCGCACAATCCCCAAAAAGGCTGCGTGTTGATGGAGTTTTCGAAGCCTGGCTTGGAGGGGATAGACGTCGTGGCTACTCTATTCTGTGACCGCTATCGCTAAGCTGTGACCGCTATCGCTTTGCTGTGACCGCTATCGCTATGCTGTGACCGCTATCGCTATATGCTGTGACCGCTATCGCTATATGCTGTGACCGCTATCGCTATATGCTGTGACCGCTATCGCTATGCTGTGACCGCCAGCGCAATGCTGCTAACCATTTTTTGCTATATGCTGTGACCGCTATCGCTATATGCTGTGACCGCTATCGCTATATGCTGTGACCGCTATCGCTATATGCTGTGACCGCTATCGCTATATGCTGTGACCGCTATCGCTATATGCTGTGACCGCTATCGCTATATGCTGTGACCGCTATCTACTGTGATCAATACTTGCGGATACTCGGCTGCTGCCGCCACCAGAAAGTTTTGTGAGTGATTTATGGAGATGCCAAAAGCCGCTGGGCTGTCAGAATGGTCGAGGTGTCAGGCCTGATGTATGAGGAGAGGGCCGATGATGACCAGCGGCCCAGCTGCTGGAGGGCAGAATGGGGGAGACCTAGGGACGCGGCGCGCGTGGCGGCGCCTATCCGGAAGGAGTGAGCTGTGTAGAGATGGGGAGACAGGTTACAAAGCAGTAATACGGACTTTAGTTGGGCTCTGAACCAGTTAGATGTCATTGGGAGGTGATCGGGGGTGAGAAATAACGGTCCGTTGAGATCTCCTTTCCGAGAGCGGAGGCGAGTGTAATGCATCATGGATCTGTAGGGACAGGGAGAAGAGTCAGACCGAGCTATGACTATATTGCAAGCGCCTTTGTGTTTGGAATGCTTGAGATGAAGGTTGAAGTAGTCGGGGTAATAAGACAGGTCGGAGAAGGCAATGTCTTTGGCTGCATTAAAGGTGGCGAGGGGGTTAGTGAATTCGCTTATGCGTAGGAAGCCGTAAAAAGCGAGGAGGAAGACGCTGGACAGGAGAGCGATGGCGTACTTTGAGAGCGAGCTGGAGCTGAGTGCGGCGCAGAGCTGGTGGAGGATGGACAGTGTGATGGGGCGCCTGTGGTCCGAGGAATGCGGGGAGCAATTGTGAATGCCTTTGATGACTAGTTTGATTGACGGATCGGAAAATAGAGAGGAGAAAGCGGGGTTGTGACAGCGGGCCTGGAATTGAATCCCGGCGAGTAGGGCGCGAATGTATGTGATTTTATAATGGAGGTTATCCGCGCAGTGAACTATGAAGGCGCAGACGGTGACAGCAGAGGGCGGAATGAGAGGAATGCAGTGGGCGTGACAGAAGCTGGAGTAGACTTTCCATGCGAAGCTGTAGGATTTCAGTGTGGAAGGTGAGAGGCCCCTCTTCATGTAGGATGCAGCTGAGGAGATGAGGAGGTGAAGAGACGGAGGGATTAGTCCAGGGCGAGGGATTCCATGCAGGGGATCTGGCATGGCGATGGGTTGGCAGAAGGGCAGAGGCGTCGGAATTCCTGGAATTTGAAACGAGAGAGAGAATCAGCGAGACAATTAAGGTGACCAGGGACGTGACGAGCAGTGATAATAAAATTGTTCAGGACTGAGAGCCATGTGATACGTCTAAGAAAAGTCATGATTTGGGGAGAGGATGAACGACCTCTGTTGATTATTTCGACAACGTCGAGGTTGTCGCACATCACGGAAATCCTTTTCCTCTGCCACGTATGGCTCCACAGCGCGCAGGCTACGGTCACGGGATATATCTCGTGGAGCGCGGAGGAGATGATTTGAGGGAAGGCGTCGGGCCAGGGCCCGGCGAACCACTGGTCCTGAAAGAATCCCCCAAAACCCACGGACGGGGCTGCGTCCGTGAAGAACCGCAGGTCGTCCGAGGATAGGACGACGTCGCTGTAGAAAAAGGAGATGCCATTCCAGCGGCTCAGCAGGCGAGACCAGAACACCAGGTCGGAGCGGCACCCCGCGTCCAGGCGGACCGCGTCGTTGAGGGAGGAGACGGAGCCGGCGAGGGAGAGGAGTCTGGAGATGAAGGAGCGACCTTGAGGAATAATGCGGATGGCGTAATTAAGATGCCCGAGGAGGGAGAGCAGCTCACGCTTCGAAAGTGACAGGGATGACAGAGCAGACCGGGAGATAGCGCGGATGCGCTCGAGTTTGTCCAGCGGGAGGGAGGCCTCCATGGCGCGCGTGTCGAGGCGGATCCCGAGAAACTCTAGAGCGGTGGCGGGGCCTGTGGTCTTCTCCTCGGAGAGGGGGACTCCCAGGGCGGAGAAAGCGAGCTTGAGTTTGCGGAGAGAGCTCCCGGAGCCGTCCGAGGGTGGGTCTACCACGAGAAAGTCATCGAGGAGATGCAGGACGGAGGGGAGCCGTACGTAATTTAGCAGGATCCAGCACAGCGCCTCCGCAAGATTATTAAATAAAGAGGGACTACTCCGGCAGCCGAAAGTGAGGCGCACGGCAAAGAAAAACTCTGAACGCCACTTTACTCCGAACAGGTGCCAGTGGTCTGGGTGGATGGGCAGCAGTTTGAACGCGTCCGTGATATCGGCCTTGGAAAGCCAGGAGCCGGGGCCGAAAGTCTTTATAAGCCTGATCGCATGGTCCACGGTAGCGTACTGCAGGGAGAAAGGAGCCAGAGGGATGAGACTATTGATGCTCGGGGTGGGCCCGGAGCGGGGACAGGAGAGGTCGAAAATAAGACGCTTCTTCCCAGAGTATTTACGGGTGGCGATGCCTAACGGGTTGGAACGGAACAGAGTGAAGGGGGGCCTGGAGAAAGGGCCGATGACGTAGCCCAGGGACACCTCTCGTGCCAGAAGCCGCGTAACGACCTGGGGCTCACGGGAAGCTGAGAGGAGGTTGCGGGACACGAGAGACGCCGTGGGGAGGGCCTCGACACCCACGAGAAAGCCGTGGGCCAGGCCAGACAGGAGGAACTGAACGAAAACCCGGTCGGGATGGAGCTCGAGCGCGTGGGCGAGCCTGTGCACGGAGACCGGGGTCGAGAGGTGGGCCCTGATCAGCGCCTGGAAGAAGGCCCCTCTGAGCGGCCTTGCAGGCCGCGCCGCGGACACAGAAAGCGTGGGTGGGCCTCCCTGCACACACCGCACACATGGAGATAAGAGCACGGATTAAAGGAACACACGCTCATATTGAATTTATTACATACTTGGGGGGGGCCAGCCCCGAACGCACGGGAAGTCAGCCCTAGAGGTTTGGTCTCGCCCCCACCGTGTCCGAAGGGGATGCCCGGGCAGAGGGGGGACGTGTGTCCCGAAGCGCCGCACCGGGAGCAGGAAACAGCGGGGGTGCCGCCGATGGACAGGAGCAGCACCTCGGTGTCCAGGGCCGCCCAGTCCACTCGGAAGTTTGCCTGAGTGATAAGGGCCGCGGCCTTGGCAGCGAAGGCCCTGTGGTAACGATAAAATATGCTGCCTCCGTACCGGAGGGACAGGTCCCCCATCAGGCTTAGATAGGAATCCAGCTCAGGCCTCCGCTCGGGGTACACGGAGCATATAACGTCGCGGTAGACCCCGAAGGCGACGAGGAATTCCCCAATGTTCAGCTCACGGGACAACCGGGGATCCGCAGTCTTCACGACCGCGGTGATGAGGTCCGAAGCGGCCACCTGTCGGTCGCACTCGGGAGAGGGGAGAATAAGGGAGACCAGATTGATATAGCGGCCCAGAAGAATCTTGGAGCGGAGGCGCGGAGACACGTTGGAAAATGCGTGAATGTGAGGCCTACCAGACGCTGGAGCGGAGACAGCGGTGCCGAGGGAGAAGCCGGGCTCGTGAGAGTCCACGGGAAACGCCACCGTAGGAGAGGGCACCGGGACAACAGCAGGAAAAGCCGCCGGGACGGCGGCGGGAGCTTGGTGCTCGACGGCACGGAGCCGCGTGGACACCGAAGCCATGTTGCGCTGTAGAGAGGAGACAGCGGACAGAATAGCCTCCGTGCGCGCACAGAGAAGAGCGCGGTCCTGGGCCGCAGTGGGGGCGTCCTCGGGACCTGCCAGGGGGGCAGCCACGGGAGGAACCACCCGAGAAGACGCCGGGGCCGCCGTAGGTGCGCCAGCGTAGCGGGGCCTACGAGCGCGTGGAGGAGCCCGGGATGCCGCAGCAGAAGAGCCCGAGGATCCAGGGGAAGGCCCAGAATCCGCGAGAGGAGGCCGCGGGAGGCAGGCGCGCTTCGCCTGAGTGTGCTTCGTCTTGGATTGACGTTTGCGGGGAGGGGGAACCAATTCCCGGAGGGGCGAGGTAGAGCCCGCTGACAGCTGGTCGAAGAGGCTCTGGAGCTGAAGAGACGTAGCGTCGGGGCCGGGCACGACACCCCGCGCTGCGAGGTAGGCGCGCACCGACCCTGGGTCCCTGGAAGCCAGACGCACGCTCTTACGAGAGCTGGGGGCCACAGGCGAGATGTTGTGGAGGAGGATGGAAGGGGAGTCAGGCGCCGAGTCGTCGGGAGACGCGGGCGCGCGGACGGTCGTAGAAGCTTGCATGGTGTACAGACGCGTTAAGCTAGCATACACTGCGAGGCTTCAGGAGGCCGGTAGTGGGATTTTTCTCCGTTTTTATATGGCTGCGAGTCGGTACAGATGATTGGAAGGGGGCGTCTGCAGAGCGATAGGCTGGGGATGCGAGCCGGCCTGGAGGGGGTAATTTTGGTTAACGTCTACCAAATTGAACTTTCGCTGGCTGCATTTTAGTAAAACACATTTCTTACCTGTTCTGTTGATGGTTGAACCATGGACCCAGAGTAACATGGTCTTTCTCTCCACACAGATCCTCAGTGTCCAGTGCTGTGTCCCTGAAGAGTGACCGGTCTATGGGGAGTCCACCAGACTTCAGTCTTGAAGCTGCTTCTTCAAAACCACAGTGAGAACAAAGGAAACACTAACACTGATCTGACTTTAGATTACATTTATATTTAAAGAGTGAGAGTGAGGCTTAGTCATAGAATCACCAGTGGATTAAACATGAACATCACATGTGAAAAGAGGGTTCATGGTCTCTCTCTGGTCTCTCTCTCTGGTCTCTCTCTGGTCTCTCTCTGGTCTCTCTCTCTGGTCTCTCTCTGGTCTCTCTCTGGTCTCTCTCTTGGTCTCTCTCTCTGGTCTCTCTCTGGTCTCTCTCTCTGGTCTTTCTCACTGGTCTCTCTCTCTGGTCTTTCTCACTGGTCTCTCTCTCTGGTCTCTCTCTCTGGTCTCTCTCTCTGGTCTCTCACTGGTCTCTCTCTCTCTGGTCTCTCTCTGGTGTCTCTCTCTGGTCTCTCTCTGGTCTCTCTCTCTGGTCTCTCTCTCTGGTCTCTCTCTCTGGTCTCTCTCTCTGGTCTCTCTCTCTGGTCTCTCTCTCTGGTCTCTCTCTGGTCTCTCTCTGGTCTCTCTCTCTGGTCTCTCTCTGGTCTCTCTCTGGTCTCTCTTTCTGGTCTCTCTCTCTGGTCTCTCTCTGGTCTCTCTCTCTGGTCTCTCTCTGGTCTCTCTCTCTGGTCTCTCTCTCTGGTCTCTCTCTCTGGTCTCTCTCTGGTCTCTCTCTCTGGTCTCTCTCTCTGGTCTGTCTCTCTGGTCTCTCTCTCTGGTCTCTCTCTGGTCTCTCTCTGGTCTCTCTCTCTGGTCTCTCTCTCTGGTCTCTCTCTATGGTCTCTCTCTGGTCTCTCTCTGGTCTCTCTCTGGTCTCTCTCTGGTCTCTCTTTGGTCTCTCTCTTGTCTCTCTCTGGTCTCTCTCTGTTCTGCATCCGGCCAATGTTTTGTTTAATGTTAAAGTATTTATGTCAGATTTAGTCTCATCGTAAATGCAGTTTAGTAAAACACATTTCTTACCTGTTCTGTTGATGGTTGAACCATGGACCCAGAGTAACATGGTCTTTCTCTCTGGTCTCTCTCTCTGGTCTCTCTCTGGTCTCTCTCTCTGGTCTCTTTCTGGTCTCTCTGGTCTCTCTCTCTGGTCTCTCTCTCTGGTCTCTCTCTGGTCTCTCTCTGGTCTCTCTGGTGTCTCTCTGTTCTCTCTCTCTGGTCTCTCTCTCTGGTCTCTCTCTGGTCTCTCTCTGGTCTCTCTCTGGTCTCTCTCTGGTCTCTCTCTCTGGTCTCTCTCCCTAGTCTCTCTCTGGTCTCTCTCCCTAGTCTCTCTCTGGTCTCTCTCCCTAGTCTCTCTCTGCTCTCTCTCTCTGGTCTCTCTATGGTCTCTCTCTCTGGTCTCTCTCTGGTCTCTCTCTCTGGTCTCTCTCTCTGGTCTCTCTCTGGTCCCTCTCTGGTCCCTCTCTAGTCTCTCTCTCTGGTCTCTCTCTGGTCTCTCTCTGGTCTCTCTCTGGTCTCTCTCTGGTCTCTCTCTGGTCTCTCTCTGGTCTCTCTCTGGTGTCTCTCTCTGGTCTCTCTCTGGTCTCTCTCTCTGGTCTTTCTCTGGTCTCTCTCTAGTCTCTCTCTAGTCTCCCTCTGGTCTCTCTCTGGTCTCTCTCTCTGGTCTCTCTCTCTGGTCTCTCTCTGGTCTCTCTCTCTGGTCTCTCTCTGGTCTCTCTCTCTGGTCTCTCTCTCTGGTCTCTCTCTAGTCTCTCTCTAGTCTCTCTCTGGTCTCTCTCTGGTCCCTCTGTGGTCCCTCTCTAGTCTCTCTCTCTGGTCTCTCTCTGGTCTCTCGCTGGTCTCTCTCTAGTCTCTCTCTGGTCTCTCTCTGGTCTCTCTCTGGTCTCTCTCTGGTCTCTCTCTGGTCTCTCTCTGGTCTCTCTCTGGTCTCTCTCTCTGGTCTCTCTGGTCTCTCTCTGGTCTCTCTCTCTGGTCTCTCCCTGGTCTCTCTCTGGTCTTTCTCTGGTCTCTCTAGTCTCTCTCTAGTCTCCCTCTGGTCTCTCTCTGGTCTCTCTCTCTGGTCTCTCTCTCTGGTCTCTCTCTCTGGTCTCTCTCTCTGGTCTCTCTCTCTGGTCTCTCTCTCTGGTCTCTCTCTAGTCTCTCTCTGGTCTCGCTCTGGTCTCGCTCTGGTCTCCCTATGGTCTCTCTCTGGTCTCTCTCTCTGGTCTCTCTCTCTGGTCTCTCTCTGGTCTCTCTCTCTGGTCTCTCTCTCTGGTCTCTCTCTCTGGTCTCTCTCTGGTCTCTCTCTGGTCTCTCTCTCTGGTCTCTCTCTCTGGTCTCTCTCTGGTCTTTCTCTGGTCTCTCTCTACTCTCTCTCTAGTCTCCCTCTGGTCTCTCTCTGGTCTCTCTCTCTGGTCTCTCTCTCTGGTCTCTCTCTCTAGTCTCTCTCTCTGGTCTCTCTCTGGTCTCCCTCTGGTCTCCCTCTGGTCTCCCTCTGGTCTCTCTCTGGTCTCTCTCTCTGGTCTCTCTCTGGTCTCTGGTCTCTCTCTGGTCTCTCTCTCTGGTCTCTCTCTCTGGTCTCTCTCTCTGGTCTCTCTCTCTGGTCTCTCTCTGGTCTCTCTCTCTGGTCTCTCTCTGGTCTCTCTCTGGTCTCTCTCTCTGGTCTCTCTCTCTGGTCTCTCTCTCTGGTCTCTCTCTCTGGTCTCTCTCTCTGGTCTCTCTCTCTGGTCTCTCTCTGGTCTCTCTCTGGTCTCTCACTCTGGTCTCTCTCTCTGGTCTCTCTCTGGTCTCTCCCTCTGGTCTCTCTCTGGTCTCTCTCTGGTCTCTCTCTCTGGTCTCTCTTTGGTCTCTCTCTGGTCTCTCTCTGGTCTCTCTCTGGTCTCTCTCTGGTCTCTCTCTGGTCTCTCTCTCTGGTCTCTCTCTCTGGTCTCTCTCTCTGGTCTCTCGCTCTGGTCTCGCTCTCTGGTCTCTCTCTCTGGTCTCTCTCTCTGGTCTCTCTCTGGTCTCTCTCTGGTCTCTCTCTGGTCTCTCTTTCTGGTCTCTCTCTCTGGTCTCTCTCTCTGGTCTCTCTCTCTGGTCTCTCTCTGGTCTCTCTCTGGTCTCTCTCTCTGGTCTCTCACTGGTCTCTCTCTCCTGGTCTCTCTCTCTGGTCTCTCTCTCTGGTCTCTCTCTCTGGTCTCTCTCTCTGGTCTCTCTCTCTGGTCTCTCTCTCTGATCTCTCTCTGGTCTCTCTCTCTGGTCTCTCTCTCTGGTCTCTCTCTCTGGTCTCTCTCTCTGGTCTCTCTCTCTGGTCTCTCTCTGGTCTCTCTCTCTGGTCTCTCTCTCTGGTCTCTCTCTCTGGTCTCTCTCTCTGGTCTCCCTCTGGTCTCTCCCTCTGGTCTCTCTCTGGTCTCTCTCTGGTCTCTCTCTGGTCTCTCTCTCTGGTCTCTCTCTGGTCTCTCTCTGGTCTCCCTCTGGTCTCTCCCTCTGGTCTCTCTCTGGTCTCTCTCTCTGGTCTCTCTCTCTGGTCTCTCTTTGGTCTCTCTCTGGTCTCTCTCTGGTCTCTCTCTGGTCTCTCTGGTCTCTCTCTGGTCTCTCTCTCTGGTCTCTCTCTCTGGTCTCTCTCTCTGGTCTCTCTCTCTGGTCTCTCTCTCTGGTCTCTCTCTGGTCTCTCTCTGGTCTCTCTCTGGTCTCTCTTTCTGGTCTCTCTCTCTGGTCTCTCTCTCTGGTCTCTCTCTGGTCTCTCTCTCTGGTGTCTCTCTGGTCTCTCTCTGGTCTCTCTCTGGTCTCTCTCTGGTCTCTCTCTCTGGTCTCTCACTGGTCTCTCTCTGGTCTCTCTCTCTCTGGTCTCTCTCTCTGGTCTCTCTCTCTGGTCTCTCTCTCTGGTCTCTCTCTCTGGTCTCTCTCTCTGGTCTCTCTCTGGTCTCTCTCTGGTCTCTCTCTGGTCTCTCTTTCTGGTCTCTCTTTCTGGTCTCTCTCTCTGGTCTCTCTCTCTGGTCTCTCTCTCTGGTCTCTCTCTGGTGTCTCTCTGGTCTCTCTCTGGTCTCTCTCTGGTCTCTCTCTGGTCTCTCTCTGGTCTCTCTCTCTGGTCTCTCACTGGTCTCTCTCTGGTCTCTCTCTCTCTGGTCTCTCTCTCTGGTCTCTCTCTCTCTGGTCTCTCTCTCTGGTCTCTCTCTGGTCTCTCTCTCTGGTCTCTCTCTCTGGTCTCCCTCTGGTCTCTCTCTCTGGTCTCTCTCTGGTCTCTCTCTGGTCTCTCTCTGGTCTCTCTCTCTGGTCTCTCTCTGGTCTCTCTCTGGTCTCTGGTCTCTCTCTGGTCTCTCTCTGGTCTCTCTCTCTGGTCTCTCTCTCTGGTCTCTCTCTCTGGTCTCTCTCTCTGGTCTCTCTCTGGTCTCTCTCTGGTCTCTCTTTCTGGTCTCTCTCTCTGGTCTCTCTCTGGTCTCTCTCTCTGGTCTCTCTCTGGTCTCTCTCTCTGGTCTCTCTCTCTGGTCTCTCTCTCTGGTCTCTCTCTCTGGTCTCTCTCTGGTCTCTCTCTCTGGTCTCTCTCTCTGGTCTCTCTCTCTGGTCTCTCTCTGGTCTCTCTCTGGTCTCTCTCTCTGGTCTCTCTCTATGGTCTCTCTCTGGTCTCTCTCTGGTCTCTCTCTGGTCTCTCTCTGGTCTCTCTCTTGGTCTCTCTCTTGTCTCTCTCTGGTCTCTCTCTGTTCTGCATCCGGCCAATGTTTTGTTTAATGTTAAAGTATTTATGTCAGATTCAGTCTCATCGTAAATGCAGTTTAGTAAAACACATTTCTTACCTGTTCTGTTGATGGTTGAACCATGGACCCAGAGTAACATGGTCTTTCTCTCTGGTCTCTCTCTCTGGTCTCTCTCTGGTCTCTCTCTGGTCTCTTTCTGGTCTCTCTGGTCTCTCTCTCTGGTCTCTCTCTCTGGTCTCTCTCTGGTCTCTCTCTGGTCTCTTTCTGGTCTCTCTGGTCTCTCTCTCTGGTCTCTCTCTCTGGTCTCTCTCTGGTCTCTCTCTGGTCTCTCTGGTCTCTCTCTCTGGTCTCTCTCTCTGGTCTCTCTCTCTGGTCTCTCTCTCTGGTCTCTCTCTGGTTCTCTCTCTGGTCTCTCTCTCTGGTCTCTCTCTCTGGTCTCTCTCTGGTCTCTCTCTCTGGTCTCTCTCTGGCCTCTCTCTCTGGCCTCTCTCCGGCTTCTCTCTCTGGCCTCTCTCTGGTCTCTCTCTCTGGTCTCTCTCTCTGGTCTCTCTCTCTGGCCTCTCTCTCTGGTCTCTCTCTGGCCTCTCTCTCTGGCCTCTCTCTCTGGCCTCTCTCTCTGGTCTCTCTCTCTGGTCTCTCTCTCTGGTCTCTCTCTCTGGTCTCTCTCTCTGGTCTCTCTCTCTGGTCTCTCTCTCTGGTCTCTCTCTGGTCCCTCTCTCTGGTCTCTCTCTCTGGTCTCTCTCTCTGGTCTCTCTCTCTGGTCTCTCTCTCTGTTCTTTCTCTCTGGTCTCTCTCTCTGGTCTCTCTCTCAGGTCTCTCTCTCTGTTCCAACTCTCTGGTCCCTCTCTCTGGTCCCTCTCTGGTCTTTCTCTCAGGTCTCTCTCTCTGTTCCAAGTCTCTGGTCCCTCTCTCTGGTTCCTCTCTCTCCGGACCCTCTCTCTGGTCTTCCCTTGTATCTCCGTAGACTCCCGTTTTGAGACTCACTGGGTAAGATGGCGGCGCTCCTGTTCTTGCGTGCGTTGCTCTCCTGGGAGGCTGTGGTAAAGTCACACTGCTTTGGTGAAGAATGACAGAGCAGCTGCAGAAAAAAAGAGAGATCAAAGTCAAACAAACTCGTATCATTGAAGCTCCGAACATATTTTTTCACACCATTTCCTTCCCTCCTTTTGCATCTACTCCACAGGCAGATGTCAACGACCTCACACAAGTCTGGAGTGGAGCCTATTGTCCGCCGTGCTGTCAATTTCTCCATCAAAAGCCAGGTGTATTCTATTTTCTTTTCATTTTCGCAAACTTTTGATAGCTCTGCGATGGCGTCAATAGTATATTTTAAAGTAAATCGAACAGTTACCGAACAGTTAGAAATGGATGATAATATCTCAGAGCACACATTTGACGTTCTAAATCACAGGTCAAGTCTAAAATAAAGTTTAAAAAAGAAAGAGGAACGTGAAATGGTTTTGGAAAGCGCCTGTGAGCATAAAGATGGCTACAGACTTAAAGTTGTGACACAGACAACAGTCATAAGCATGTGTCTCTCTCTGGTCTCTCTCACTGGTCTTTCAGATCTCTCTCTCATTTGTCTCTGGTCTCTCTCACTGGTCCCTCTCTCTGGTCTCTCTCTGGTCTCTCTCACTGGTCTCTCTCACTGGTCTCTCTCACTGGTCTCTCTCACTGGTCTCTTTCAGGTCACTCTCACTGGTCTCTCTCTGGTCTCTCTCAGGTCTCTTTCAGGGTCTCTTTCAGGTCTCTCTCACTGGTCTCTCGCAGGTCTCTTTCAGTTCTCTTTGGTCTCTCTCTCTTGTTTCTCTGGTCTCTCACTGGTCCCTCTCTAATCTCTCTCTCTGGTCTCTTGGGTCTCTCTCTCTGGTTTCTTTCATGGGTCCCTCTCTGATCTTTCTATCTGGTTCCTTTGGTCTCTCTCTGATCTGTCTCTCCCTGTTCTCTATCTGATCTCTCCCTCTGGTCTCGCTCTGGTCTCTCTCTCTTTCTGGCCACCCTGTCTCGTATATTGGGTCTCTCTCTGGTCTCTTTCTGGTCCCTCTCTGATCTCTCTCTCTGGTCTCTTTCTGGTCTCTCTCTCTTTCTGGCCACCCTGTCTTGTATCTTGGGTCTCTCTCTGATCTCTCTCACTGGTCTCTCTTTCTGGTCTCTTGGGTCTCTCTCTGGTCTCTCACTGGTCCCTCTCTGATCTCTCTCTCTGGTCTCTTTCTGGTCTCTCTCTCTTTCTGGCCACCCTGTCTTGTATCTTGGGTCTCTCTCTGATCTCTCTCACTGGTCTCTCTTTCTGGTCTCTTGGGTCTCTCTCTGGTCTCTCACTGGTCCCTCTCTGATCTCTCTCTCTGGTCTCTTTCTGGTCTCTCTCTGAGCTCTCTCTCTGTTCTCTTTCTGGTCTCTCTCTGAGCTCTCTCTCTCTGTGTGTGAAATAGGTTGAAAATGTGTGTGTTTGAATAATTACACATTAACATTTAAAATTGATAATAGGTAGGTTTTTGTGATATTAGGGGTCTAGAAAAGAGTGACTTGGTGATCCAATAATGACTTTTTAAGGGTCAAATTGAGTCGAAAAGAAAAATTTGAGCCATTAAAAGAAGCTTCAAAGAAAAGAAAGGAAAAGAAAAAAATAAATCCTTCAGTTTTCTACACGTGAACACATATAGGAGATCAGAAACGGTCACAGGGCAGGTCAGTGTGAGTATTTTAAAGGAGACCTGTGAATAGCGTGGCAATAACACAAAGCTCTGACCTTGAACTGCTTGTGGAGGCGCGTTTTCCCAGCAGGCCGCGGGGTCAGCAGCTCATCCACGTAGCGGTGCAGGTGCGCGGCCGGTACCCGCGTGTCTCCGCACAGAACGGCTTCCACCAGCGCGTCGTGGATGAAGACGTATTGTTCCTTCAAACGCAGAAAAGAAAAAAAAAACAGTCGTCTTTGTGTGAAGAGAGAAGAAGAGACCGCGAGAACCTTCACCTCGGCCCTGCGCCCTCACACTTCTCTCTCTCATCTGGAATCTTCTCGCAGAACAATGGCCTTTGTGGAGGGAAAGAAATCTTATGACCGTCGCACAGTTAAATTAAGTTTAAACCAGAGCGGAGGTGGAGAGGACACGTATTTGAGAGTTCTTTAAGAGTCGTATCATGTTTGCTGTAGGTCTAAGTGGAAATTAACTATTTTTATTTTAAACGTAGACATTTCATTATAAACTACATACAAAATGAACTGAAATATACACTCACGCCCACACACACACACACACACACTGTGGCTGGTGGATAGCACTCTCGCTTCAATCCTGGTCTTAACAGGGCCTTTCTGAGTGGAGTTTACATGTTTTCCTCGTGTTTGGGTAGGTTTCCTCCGGGTGCTACGGTTTCCCCTACCACTAACAATATGCACAATAGGTCTGCCTTGCGCCTCCTGTTCGGCGACCCCGCTCCCATCGCGGTGTGGAGTGAGAGACAAATGCCTGCAACAATTGTGAACTGCTTTGAGACTCTGGCCTGGAAACTTATTTACTTGTTTTTCATTTCAATTCATTATTTTAGAGCAGCTCAAAAGACTTCAGCACAGAGCGAGGAGTGGGAGAGAGGTGTATGGTCAGAGAATGTTTAGGCCTGTGTCATGTGTGTGTGTGTGTGTGTGTGTGTGTGTGTGTGTGTGTGTGTGTGTGTATGCTTTAAATTTTGTTTTCTTGTTTTATCCGCTGTGGACTTTTAAATAAATGAATTTTTTCAGTCATGTGTCAGGATGGATCCATCTAACGCATGTGCAAATGATGCAGCCTCCGCTCCAAAAGTAACTTTTTTTCACCATTTTCAAAAGTTGATTTTGACCATTTTCAAAAGTACATGGTGATTTCAACTAGGGCTGGGCGATAAAACGATAACGATATATATCGCGATAGACATGTGTTCGATAACAATAGAGAATGGGGTCGATAGAATGTTCGATAGTTTAACTTAACTCCGTCAGGAAAAACAGGAAGAAAACACCGGAAGTAAAGCCAACTCATAAGCGCATGGCATTGTGGGGGATGTAGGCAGAGGCTTCTCGACCAATAACAGGCGAGCAGGAACCGCAAAACTTTCTGGGAAATGCAATAACAACAACCGCACCATGCGTAGCGTCCATGGATCTATAGCTCGTGTTTCAATGCCGTGTCAATGGTTATGCACGTACGTGCGCGGAATAACATGTGCGGCGGCAGAGGCAGTGGACAGACCCGATGTATTCGGCGAAAGCAAGAGATTCACTTTTTCCTCGGGAAGCATGTGCGGCACAGAGCCGCACGGAGCGGTCACGGGGACACAAGACCCTCAAACAGCTAAACCAGGACTAACAACGAGGGACACAGTGTGAACATATTCCTCCAGCCTCATCGCCCCGTGACTGTAAACAAGGCTGCTTAGGTTGGTTAGCGTTAGCCCACACAACAAATATATTTATTTAGGTTAAAAAAAAAAAAAACTCAATATATATCGTTATTGACCGATATGAATGACTTATATCGTGATATAGTTTTCAGCCATATCGCCCAGCCCTAATTTCAACCAGTGGGGGCGGGTCCCGACTCAAAAGTGGCCAAAATGACGTGCCCTGACATGCTGCAATACCACCCCGGGCCGATGGGGGTGGACCCGGAATAAGAATTAGCCAATGCTAACATATAGCATTAGCTGACCTCTCAAAAACGTCTTTACAGGATGGTCCAAAAGTCGGCTCTTGGCCCAGAGCTCTGTTCCACATGTGTGTCAATGCTGAGGGGGGTGGATTTTTTTGGACCAGTCTAGTTTAGTCACTGTCAAATTTTGAGGTCACTCGTTTAAATGAACAGGGCTCGTGCCGGCTGACGCATGCGCAGATGCGTTTCTTCACATTTTCCAGCCCCCGTGGCCATTTTGAAACTGCCCATAGACAGCGGAAGTTGTGGCACATTAGTTAGAACGGCGGAGATAGGCGTGACTACGTCCGTTAATATTCACAGTCTATGGTTTAAATACACAGGGAGACACCGGTGAATCAAATGGGACAGGAAGAAGAATTCAAAAAGGCTAAAGTAAACCAGTGAGTAACCCAAAGCCCACAAACCGAGACGTCTTCAGCCACAGACCCAACACATGCCTTCATGCTTTCACCGATGCTTTAACAAAGTAGAAAAAATACTTTTGTTTGCGGCCCGCATGTTAAGCCTGCGTTCAGCTTGTATCCGCTAGCGTTGCGGCACACAAAAGAAACTCGCACTGTGTGTTTACAAAGAATGCTGTTCTGTTGAATGCAGTGTTGTTTTCCAATGGCGCTATTTTACAAGGAAAACAGAATCAGAAAATGTAGTTATTCTTCTCTGGGATGAAATGTATGTTTTGAAGACATTCCTGACGAGTTACAAGAACGTCAGTGTGAATTCATTTTACGACACATATATCGCCCCAATTCAACCAAAGAATCGTCAGTGTGTCTTTGGTGTGTCAACGTAGACGCACAGGTTTGGTCACAGAATAGCTTTTCATTACAGTGAGTCTGATAATTTACACCGCGGCTCAGAAACTCAATTATTTGCTGTATTTTACTGCGTGTTTGTGTGTGTGCAAAATAAAAGAACATCAGAGCAAACAGAACTATGCAGATGCAGGGATTCTCTTCTTCTTCTTTTGACATTAACAGTAGAGAAAGCAAACGTTCTCTACTGGAAAAACAGGAAAACAAAGAATCAAGCAATTTTTCCCTGTTTTTATCTGTGACTTTTTATGATCAATGATGTATTTGATCAAATATGAGTTTGACATGATTGCTTTATTTTTCCGTGAACAAAAGGAGTCCAGCAGCTTGGATTTAAACTTGACAAAAAAGCGATTCATTATTCGTGGGGAAATTTCAGCAGTAGCAGCAGTAGCAGCAGCAGTAGCAGTAGCGGTAGAAGCAGCAGTAGCAGTAGCAGCAGTAGCAGCAGTAGCAGCAGCAGCAGTAGCAGTAGCAGCAGTAGCAGAAGCAGCAGTAGCAGCAGCAGCAGTAGCAGCAGTAGCAGTAGCAGCAGTAGCAGAAGCAGCAGTAGCAGTAGCAGCAGCAGTAGCAGCAGTAGCAGCAGCAGCAGTAGCAGCAGTAGCAGCAGCAGCAGTAGCAGTAGCAGCAGTAGCAGAAGCAGCAGTAGCAGTAGCAGCAGCAGTAGCAGCAGTAGCAGCAGCAGCAGTAGCAGCAGTAGCAGCAGCAGCAGTAGCAGCAGTAGCAGAAGCAGCAGTAGCAGAAGCAGCAGTAGCAGCAGCAGCAGTAGCAGCAGTAGCAGTAGCAGCAGTAGCAGAAGCAGCAGTAGCAGCAGTAGCAGCAGCAGCAGCAGTAGCTGTGTCCACTCACCTCAGTTTGGACCAGGTAGTTCCTCTGAGTCCTGATGTGTTTGAGGAAGCCCGTTATATTGACCGTTCCCTCGACTGTGACCTGCCTCAGCATACTGTCCAGGACGATGTAGGTTCCCGTCCGGCCCACTCCGGCGCTAGGCAACAGCACCAGACACAAGTTTAGCCCCACCGCACGTCAGAACACCCCACTCGCAATATTTACAGCAATCATAGCATTTTGTCGTGGACCTACGAAAGCATAAGAATACGGAGTACGCAGCAAAACAAACCGGTCTGACCACTCTTCAAAAGACGTCTTGTGACTTTGTCTTTGTACTCAAACTTTGGAGCAGTAATTGTAAATAAAATCACTATCTCATATACTACATAAAAACAGGAAATGGCTTGTAATCAAAACAATTCAATTAACGCTGTTTTTTTTCTCACATGGCGATCGTCGTGAGGCTGTTTTTGCATACGGCCGGATCGACGCTGCGCAAGTGTTTCTAAAGAATAGATCAGATAAAACTGTATTGATATCACAACAGAGAAATGTACATGATACAAGATCACTCAGGGTGTGCAAAAGACACTAAATATCTATAATATATAACATTTTAAAAATATAAGGGGTTTCTTATGTCTTTTTTGTGGCTTTTTGTATGGTCCTTTTATTATTTTTTATTGTTATGTACTGTAAATGTGGTTAAATACATATAAGTAAATAGGTTTATAAATGTGGTTTTATCCTATTTGATTTTTAATGATGTTACTGTTTTACTGTGGATGTCTTTTATTGTGCAGCACTTTGCAAACTGTTTATGAAATGTTCAATATAAATAAAGTGGATTGGATTATGTGCAATTAAGTGACTATAGCTGTGCAAAGTAACTCCAGGATCGCTTTGCCGTGCGGCACTTTCTGTTGTGTTGTGTTGTGAAACGAGGTCTAGTGAATCCTGATGTCGCGTCCATCAAAGAACTGCTGCTTCTGCTCTGGTCCTGCTCTGGTCCTGCTCTGGTCCTGCTCTGGTCCTGCTCTGGTCCTGCTCTGGTCCTGCTGGTCCTGCTCTGGTCCTGCTCTGGTCCTGCTCTGGTCCTGCTGCTTCTGCTCTGGTCCTGCTCTGGTCCTGCTGCTTCTGCTCTGGTCCTGCTCTGGTCCTGCTCTGGTCCTGCTGCTTCTGCTCTGGTCCTGCTCTGGTCCTGCTGCTTCTGCTCTGGTCCTGCTCTGGTCCTGCTCTGGTCCTGCTCTGGTCCTGCTCTGGTCCTGCTCTGGTCCTGCTCTGGTCCTGCTCTGGTCCTGCTCTGGTCCTGCTGCTTCTGCTCTGGTCCTGCTCTGGTCTTGCTGCTTCTGCTCTAGTCCTGCTGCTTCTGCTCTGGTCCGGCTCTGGTCCTGCTCTGGTCCTGCTCTGGTCCTGCTCTGGTCCTGCTCTGGTCCTGCTGCGGTCCTGCTGGTCCTGCTGCTGCTGCTTCTGCTCTGGTCCTGCTCTGGTCCTGCTCTGGTCCTGCTCTGGTCCTGCTGCTTCTGCTCTGGTCCTGCTCTGGTCCTGCTCTGGTCCTGCTCTGGTCCTGCTGCTTCTGCTCTGGTCCTGCTCTGGTCCTGCTCCTGTCCTGCTCTGGTCCTGCTGGTCCTGCTCTGGTCCTGCTCTGGTCCTGCTCTGGTCCTGCTCTGGTCCTGCTCTGGTCCTGCTCTGGTCCTGCTCTGGTCCTGCTCTGGTCCTGCTCTGGTCCTGCTGCTTCTGCTCTGGTCCTGCTCTGGTCCTGCTCTGGTCCTGCTGCTTCTGCTCTGGTCCTGCTCTGGTCCTGCTCTGGTCCTGCTCTGGTCCTGCTGCTTCTGCTCTGGTCCTGCTCTGGTCCTGCTCTGGTCCTGCTGCTTCTGCTCTGGTCCTGCTCTGGTCCTGCTCTGGTCCTGCTGCTTCTGCTCTGGTCCTGCTCTGGTCCTGCTGCTGTTTTTGTATTTTTCCTCTATTCCATTCAGATATGCGCGTCAAGTATGATTAACAAATATGTCAATTGGTGCAAGTGCATTTGGTTTAAGTGCATTCTGTCATCAAATATTTGCTTCTGGATCCATTACCATTTCTCACTTGAGCCGAGGAATTGAATTCTGCTGGAAAAAAACAAAACTCGATGAATACTACTCAGGGCTGGGGGAGCTGACTTCCAGACCACAATAATGAAATCTATCTAACCAGTTTCTCGCTGTATCTGTCACATCCGTAGGTGATCTTTTTCAGACAGAAAAGTCAAAAGAGAAAGGACCAAACCCAATCAGCTAATCACTTTCGAGCCCAAAGTGTCAAATAGTGAAAGATATGTTTTCTTTTGAGAAGAGTACAGCATATTAGGTATTGTTGTTAAGTTATGTTTGATTATACATTATTATATGCAAATGTATATATATATATAGCATTGGCCTCAAGGCCTGAAGGTCTTCGGTTCAATTCCCACCTCTACACCTTCTCCACCGACTCCCACTGATGACTGCTGTCGTTGTGTCCTTGGGCAAGACACTTAACCCCACTTTGCCCAAAAGCCCCCACTGAAAGATCAAGGCTATGCTCACAGTCAGAGAGCAGCCGTCCTCCTGTGGACTCACCACCTGCAGAGGATCAGTGAGGGGCTGGTGCTATGAGACTTGGGTGGCATCTCTGACTGCCACCCCCCTGACCCAGAAATGGATTAAAGGGTAGAAAATGGATGGATGGATGGATGGATGGATGGATGGTATATAGCAGTGGTTCTCAAACTTTTCACACCAAGTACCCCCTCAGAAAATACTTGCCTCTCCAAGTACCACCACAAATGACCAACACTACACAGTAGCGTAATAAGCCTAAGTATTCATCAAAAACAAGGCAGAGGTTTCATTCCTAAAGAAGTATATTTAATGTAATATTTTACACAGTTTCAACAGTAAGACTGCGCTTAAATATAGGAAAAAAGAAAAAAAAATTGATTGATTGATTAAATAATGATTCAATTAAAACGTTTCATTCATTGCGAACTGCAAAGCCTCACTGTGAGTGATATTCTGGAGTGGGATCTTTGTCCAGAGAAGGTTTGGACTCTGGTGCACTTTAGTTTCTAAGGCTTGCTCTGCTGCCCTCTTACATCTGTCGTTTACTCACAGAGACATGTTCATATGGTTTGGATCAAATGATCTTTTGTTGCTCTCTGTTCCTTTTGCAGAGAACTGGGAAAAAAAACCGTTTGTTTTTGCTGCTCCTTCTACATGGAACGTGTTACAAAAAGACTAGAAATGATCTGATCTTATTTCCTTGAATGCTTTTAGATCCAGATTGAGACTTCTTCAGTGAAATGTAACTGTTTTCATAATCCGTAATTTTAAGAAATTGTGTGTTAGTGTTGTATAATCTGTATGTGGCTGTTTTATAATCTGTATGTGACTGCTTTATAATCTGTAATTTTACATAATTTTTGTACACGAAAAAGAGGGTTCTCATTGACTGCCAGCCATTTTTGATGACTTCACTGATTTTTAAGACTCACAGAATATTGTGTGCTATGAAAAATATGAAACCAGAGTCTGAAAGACAGGACTGTCTACTTTCAGCAGCAAAAAGAAGTTTGTTCTTAGTTTGTTTCGTTCTCCTGTGATCTCAAGTCGAAAAGAGGAGAGTGTGACAAAAAGCACCAGTCTTTGAAAAAAGTTGAGAAAATGAGGTGTTTGTGAAAACAGACGAACTGCAGAAAAGTGATTGTAAAACTATTTAGTTTGACTTTAGCATCTCCTCAAACATGTCCAGGATCTTACATGTTTGAAAACAGCAACAAGTTATGAGAAAGTGTTTTTGATGTAAAATAATAAAATATTTATGGCACACACACATCCACAAAGTGTTGCTCGAATGTTTCAAAATGTACTCATCCAAAAAATGTCAAAATGTACATATTAAAAGTAGAGCCCATGAAAAACTATGGCAGAAAGAATGTCCAGTATTCATCCATTAGGTGGCGCTGTATTTATGTCAATAACAGTAAATCAAAGAATAAAATTACAATGATAAACACTATACATGACCATATATCAAAGTGAATACTTATACTTATAGTATAAGTGCAAGAGAATACTGTTGTGTGTCTTTGTGTGTTTGGGCATGCATGTATGTGCGTTTATGCACGCGTTTGTGTGTGTCTGTGTGGTTACATCTACAGAGCGTCCGTTTAGTCCAGCGAGCGCTGTGACCATAACTGGACTTTGACGCTGGCTCCTGGTGCACTCAGTGATAGTTTTAGCAATAGTCCACTTTTCTGTGGCTTTTTTGGGGTGCACCGCTGGTCTGCTGCCCTGATCCTCCACATGGTCTGCTGCCCTGACCCTCCACATGGTCTGCTGCTCTGACCCTCCACATGGTCTGCTGCCCTGACCCTCCACATGGTCTGCTGATATGACCCTCCACATGGTCTGCTGCTCTGACCCTCCACATGGTCTCCGTCAGCTCTGGAGACACATTTACTGCTCAAACTGCCTCCAAATGTAGCCTGACCCTGACTATTTTACTCCATGTCTGCTTCACCTTTGTCTCTCCTGCTCAGAGTGCTCAGACAGTGATCTTTGACCAAACCAGGGAGTTCTGCTGCCACCTGCTGGCTTAATAAAATACTGTCTACAGCCAAACCCCAGACTGTATGATACAGGGGACACAGACTGACAGGAAAAGATTGAAAAACAATGTTGTCCTCAAATGACATCCATGGCTGTCAATGAGTTAATTCCTGGTAAAAAAAAAAATGCAGAATTTTTTTTTTTTTCACTGATTCTTTGGCGCGGTGGCTGAGTGGATAGCACTCTCGCCTCTCAGTAAGAAGGTCCTGGGTTCGAATCCCGGTTGGACCAGGGCCTTTCTGAGTGGAGTTTGCATGTTCTCCCCGTGTCTGCGTAGGTTTCCTCCGGGTGCTCCGGTTTCCCCTACCACTAAAAATATGTACAATAGGTCTGGCATGTGCCTCCTGAACTGGTGAGCCCGCTCCCAAAAATCACAATTGTAAACCGCTTTGAGACTCCGATGTGCAGTGAAAAGACGGTATATAAATAAAGATTACTTACTAAAGATTACTTGCGTACCCCTAGTGGTACGCGTACCCCAGTTTGAGAAACACTGGTATATAGAGCTTGACTTCTGAAACTAAGCAGGGCAGGGCCTGGTTACTAGTGTGACGGGAGACCTCTGGGAACACCAGGTGCCACAGTGAGGCGGCTATAAAGTGTTTTGTCCTTGGGCAAGACACTTCACCCACATTGCCTAGAATGAGTCTGGTGTGTGTGAATGGTCGCTGGTGGTCGGAGGGGCTTCTGTCAGTATGCCCCAGAGCAGCTGTGGCTACACTGGTAGTTAATAACCATTGTGAACGAGTGAATGAAAAATGACATGACATTTCTGTCCCACCTGCAGTGCACCACCAGCGGGCCCATGTCCTCCGTCCGGGCTGTGGAGGACTTGCGGATGAAGCTGAGCAGGGGCAGGGCCAGCTCTGGGACCCCCATGTCGGGCCACTGAGTGTAGTGGAAGTGGGTGACTGTCCGCTCACTGCTGCGGCCTTTCTGAGAGCCCTGTGGAGGAGCAGCTCTAATCAGTCATCTTCATATTTGATAGAACATGTGTGGTCCATCTATACACAGCAGACATGTCCAAACTAAGGCCCGAGAGCTAATTGCGGCCCGCTGTGTCATTTTCTGTGGCACACTGCTTTGCTGACCCTAAAATAGCCGTTGTAATCATAAACATTCATTCCGTATCAACCAGCCAACTTCATCTCTGTCAATACAGACATGATTTACCTCATTGTAAAGCTCAGAACTGCTTCAATTGTGTCACTGATTATTTGATTGTGATCAAGGCTAAAAAATACATAGATAAAGTGAAAGCCAGATCCTGTCAGACTTCTGAAGCTAAGCTGGACAGGGCCTTGTTAGTACTGTGATGGGAGACCTCTGGGAAAACAGGGCGCCAAAGGGAGGCGGCTGTAAAGTGCCAAACTATCGATGTGTCCTTGGACTCTTCACACACATGGCGTTTGTGTGAATGATTGGTGGTGGTTGCCTCCATTCTGTCTGTCAGTCCCAGGGCAGCTGTGGCTACAGTAGTAGCTTATCATCACTACAGAGTGTACAGAGTGAATGAATAATTACATCTGAAGCGTCTTGGATTTTCTAAAAAAGCGCTATACAAAACATCAATGCATTTATAATTTGTTACATTAAGCCAACTTCAGCTCTGTCATATGTGAATCACTGTGGAAATGTCATATCAAAATCAAAGCTGAGAACATTATGAATCCAGTCAAAACAGTTTTACAATATGGATCATCTGCCTCTGGTCAAGTCTAGTTTACCAAAGTGACCCTCTCACTAAAAAGTTGGATCTACAGTGTATGATCTTCACCTTCTTGGCGCTGGTGTTCCTGATGCTGAAGGTTCTGATGGTGTAAAAGGCCAGCTGTTTGGAGCTCTTCACCGTCACCAGGAAGCTGCCGTACTCCTCCTGACCTTCATCTGGCCAGTACTGGTCACACTTTCTCTGAGGGAGGCACCACACACAGCAGTAGAAAACTGGGTTAGTGAATACTTACAAAGGTCTTATTGATCTGCAGGAAACTGTGATCATGATTGTGCTTTACGTGATCGAAACATGTTCTGTACATGTCAAAGTATTTCCTGTAGATGACTCACTCTTCCGTTCTCCACCAGGTTCGTGATCATGACGACGACTCCTACGTTTTGTTCCCAGATCATCCTCCAGAAGTCCTCCGTGCTGGATCTGAGCGGCCCCTGTGCTGCAATGTACATCTTTGGCTTCTTAAAACCCTGAGAAACACATTAAATATTCATTTCAATGTCACTATACAACTCTGTGCATTGAAACTAATGTGCCACCACTTTTGCCTTCTGTAGGGCTTTTTCAAAATGGCCGCGGGGCAGGAAAATCGCATTTTCCGGCACTATCCCCATTCATTTACTGAGTTCATAAAAAATACCACAACAGCTAAACTAGACTGGTCCAAACTTTTGGCCGACTTTTGGACCATCCTGTAAAGCCGTTTTTGAGAGGAAAGAAGACAGCCTACAAAAGCATTGGGTAATTCTCTTTCCAGGTACAGCCCCATCGGCCCGGAGAGAGATTGAAGGCATGTCAGTGCACGTGCTCATGGACCTTTTTGAGCTGGGACCCGCCCTCACTGATGCAAACCCAGAACCTTCTTTCTATGAAGCAAGAGCTCTAACCACTCAATATACTGAATGTTTGTCTTTAAATAAAGCGATACATATATTTGTTTGTTCAAATTAATTGTGAATTTTGTTTTTAATGAGCTCTTTATGTAGAGCATATATTGTAATTGAAACTCAACAAATTGTAGTTTTTAATATCTGGTATATGGTTTATACTAGATAAGTTATAGAGACAATTGTGACCTATTCTTTTTTTAAATGTATTGGTCCCAAGTGCGTAGGCATATACTGTAGGTACAGGTTGCGATTGAATTTCCTGGGGTATTTTTTTCTTCACATTTTAGACAATATTTTGTTGTCACGTATTTTAAGCCAGCCTGAAGGTTATCACATCCCCTCCCAAAAAAATAATAATACAAAGTCTGAAAAACTAATCAAGGATAATGTTTTGTGAAAAGTTGAGGTTGGTTTGTCAAGTGATTTCAGCTACAACTGACTGGAGGAATAAAGTCAGCGGAGGGCAGCAGCCAATCAGAACGCGAATAGAGTCTCGACCTTCGTGAGGCTGACGGAGTGAAGAGCCTTGTGCCACAGAACGAGAGCTCCTCCAAACACTCTCACCAACTTGACTGCCACTCAGGGCTATTGTCGCTTGTCCTTTTCACAAATCCCACAAGAAAATACTGAAGATGTTCAAACATTCTTGATGGTGTGGGACTCACTGGCATAATTGGATAATTCTTTGAATACTGGAGGTGAGTCAGAATGAGTAGTAAACGTGCTGGTTGGGAGGGAAAGCACATATGTCATGATTTTGCATCAGTCAAGTGGCAGTTTGTGAAGCGCATGGAACCACTACACAAATGACAAAAACAACACATAAAATGCCTGGTACACAATGTTTTTCTTTCATCTAAAAGAGCCAAGACGAGAGCACTCCAGCCTGATTCTCTGTGGTTTTGATTGTAAGTAAGTATGGAGCTTAAGTGTAACTTCAGACTGGTAGACTACCCGCGCACGTCATCGTCAAGTTTGCCCCTTACTTTCTCTGCTTATTACATTAGTTTTGTCAACTCCCTGTCAGCCAAGTCTGCAACCACCCCCTCCCGTGATGACAGTGATGACCCGGGACATTTAAGGACATTTAATAACATTTAATTTGTCATCCCACTCCCATGGACCAATAGCATCTGGGGCTGGTGGGAGAGCCTCACGTCCTCTGGGTCTGGCCTTCCTCATGCTTGTCTTTGTATGTACATGTATGAACAAATTCTGGTCTCTATATATGTATTGTGGAACTATACATACATTTAGTTCATCCCCAATTTATTAAGTCACAATAGACACTGGTGTCAACATTCGTATAGCGCGTTTCACAGATCAAGGTCCAGAGATGTATTATGTTATTATGTATTAAGGGGCCACCTGCCGCATCTGGGCCAGCTCTGATTGGTCAGAATGGGAAGACATCCTGGAGACCTGGGGTTTGTCAAAGTCCCGTAAAGCACATGCGTATGAAAACTTTTGTTGTGGCAAAGGCTGAAGAGAGAGATATTTTAGATATCTATACTTCCTCCTGTGTGAGACAATCCCAGTTTCTTTGGTCACCTTTAACTTTTAAGTCTTTTGACCAAGCCACGTACATCACTCTGCGAGTTTGGGTTGAATCGAAACCTCCTCATTTGAACAAGCATCAGTAGAAATGTACAGTGTCACATGCACCTTTCGTTTCTATAATGGAAAGACGTTGTGACGGTGCGATTCAACGTTGAAAGAATACACACGTGAACGTACATTGACAAAGTTTGCGTTTATGTAATCGCTGGTCCTTCCCTCTTTGTCTGTGAGAGGACAAAGGTGAACTCGGCTGTGGTCATCTGGGGAAAGACACACAAATCCATAGTTATTGTTCATAAAATCTATATTGATCATGTCCAAATGATGATCTTATTATAAACATATATTCTACTTGTATGACTCACATGCCAGGATGTTGCTGTATCTGTTCTTGGCCTTGTTTTCGGGGTGATTGGAGATGTCAGCGGTCAGTCCCATGTCCACCGTGCACACCTGCGCCTCCTGCAAAACCACAAATAATTCAATGTATTCTTGTATAGCCCTAAATCACAACAGTAGTTATCTCGAAGGACATTTGGTCACAGTTGATTATTAGGTTTTCATTTTTGTATTGTAATGTAACACTTGATGGAGCAGAACAATGAGAACATGGGGTCTCCAACCTCTGGCTCGAAGCGACTAGTGACTCGCCGCCCCCTTCCACGGTTGTTTTCAAAGCCCCCCATTGAAAACAACCATGAAGTCAGATCCAGAGCACTAACCAGAGGAGACCTTAACATACAAAGACACAGTACCAAATTCAGCCAAATGGTGGCGTCCATCAGAGGCACAACGTTATGGAACACTTTGCCGGAACACATTCGAAACTGTGGGACCTACCTATAAATTAGAAATAATTAGCTTCCATGTCTAATTCACCAGTCTGGAAATCACGGTAACTATTTTTAAAATTTCTGCACACATTTCTACATCCAAATCTGCAGTGAAAGAATGCTAAGTGTCTGCCGGATGCACCAGACTGGACTCCCTGGACCGTAGATCTAGTCCCCCGCCTGCTGTTGGGACTTGGCGGTTCTGTGAGCCGCCTCGAGACGACTGTTGTTGTGCGTTTGGGCAATAGAAATAAAATGTATTTGATTTGTATTGATTTGATGTCCCAAGTGCAAGTGCTGTATTATTTGTCTTTGCATTGTTGCACTTGGATTGAAAAATGAGGCCCTAAAACTTTGAAATGTCCGTATTGTTGGTTAAAGAGCCTAACCCTAAATTCCTATATACATACTTTTGTTTGTCTCAAAGATCCACCTTTAAGAAAAAATAAAAATGAAAACTGCACAGACAAGCTTTAGCAAACTCAGCCAAAATCCATGACAATATTTTGGCTATTGGGATCTTTGTGAAGTGAATGCCTTTGCAGAGATGGAGATCACAGCCTTACCTCATAACTCTCCTTCAGGATCTACAAACAGGAAGTGAGGAAGCAGCCAGACGACCAGCCAGACGTTTCCATGACAACACAAAGCACAGCAATGATGCAGAATCATTACACACACGACTATTAGAAGCACAAGGCGACAGAGTTTGGGGGAAAGATTGTCCTAAAATTACCCGTTAGCCATAGATTCTTCAGAGCAGGACTGGGACTGAATGTGTGTGCTTTACTTTTTAGACAAACATATGCAACACAAGTTCAGTTACAGCTTTTATTCCTATTTCAATATTATTTATTGACCGTTTATTTAGCCAGGGAGGTCCCAGGAAACATATACTTGAATCTCTTCCCTGTATCTCAATATGGCTTTTCTACCAACGACCTCTAAGATTTTCCTTCAAAGACTAAGGCCCCATTCACATCGTGAACTTGGCAGACACTGTGTGATTATCGCCTGATTTTTTGTTGCCCGACAATTTTTAGATCATAGCAAAATTTGTGTTATCCGTTCGGGTGACTTAGAGTGTGTGGAGGGTTATGAGGTGCGATTACCGCCGCAACCGCAAAAGTTTTAATAAAGGATATAGTACATTCTATGCAGAGGCTAAAACACACACACTCACGCGCACACACACACACATTCATACACATACGGCCTCTCTCTCTCATAGACACACACACACACACACTCACAGACTCTCTTTTGCACACACACACATGCACATAAACAAAAACACATACACACGCTCTCACATACACACACATGCACTCTCTCATGCACACACAGACACACAATAACACACACTTCACTGCCAATCAGTTGTCAAGACTTCCATGTGGAGAATGAAAATGTTTGATTCTTTTCCTGACACAAACATATTCGACTTTATTTACACACACAGATATTCCCTCGCCTCAGATGCTCTTCACACACACACAACAGGAATCTCGTGTGAAGTCGTACCTCAAACTCCCGTTGGAAACCTTGAGTGTCGTGGAGATCGGCCACATGTTTCACAAAGTCTGTCACCGAGAACGCCGACTGTTTGTCTGAGAAAAGATCATGAGAAAGAGAAGAACGTGTTGACATTGGGCCACGAAGCTACAAGACTGTTTCTCTGAGGATCACTCTGTACGAGGTGCAGGAGACTGTAAAATATTTGTTTTTTTAACATACAGATGCTCCCATAATATGTAAAAAAACTGGATTTTTTTGTTATTTTCTTGGCATTTGGATGATAATGAGCCTATAACAAGCCAGAAAGTGATGAAGAATTGTGTTGCTAACTGTTGCTAGCTGTGGTAACTTGTGTTTGCGTATGTAAGGTACGTCATAAATATATTGCATTATGATTATTATTAATATAAATGACAATCAAATGGATGTAATTTGCACAAACATATGTCCCTTTCTATCAATCAATCCTTTCTCTTTATTTATAAAACATCCTAAAAGTCATTCACTTACTAATTCCTATGATTTGTAAGCGTTTGGTGAAAGGGAACTCTGAGGAGGCTACATTAGCTTACAGACAGGACCCCGCTTCTAAACACAAATTTAGACACGGTGGTGCGGTGGATAGCACTCTCGCTTCTCAGCAAGAAGGTCCTGGATTCGAATCTCGGTTGGAACAGGGCCTTTCTGAGTGGAGTTTGCATGTTCTCCCTGTGTCTGCGTAGGTTTCCTCCATGTGCTCCGGTTTCCCCTACCACTAAAAACATGCACAATAGGTATGAATGTAAATGAGAGAGTGAATGGATGGTGTTGATTGGGGGCTTTGATGCGCCAGTGTGTTCGGCGACTCGCTTCCGTCATCACCGTGTGTGGAATGATTGGAACAATATCTGAACAGTGTAAAGCGCTTTGGGTGACCTTGGTCTGTAAAATGCGCTATACAGTATACATAAACATTACTTACTTACTTACTTACTTAAATTACTGCTCCAGCGCCTCATCTCACTCAGTGCACCTCAGTGGCTAATGGGGATCTTAATAAACCAAACTAAACTAAACCATGGTCTGGCATTGAGAGATACTAGTCCTTTGTAGCCTGGCTCGCAAAAGACTACCATACTTTCTGCACTATGGCGCGCAAGAAAGTCCTGGGTCTGATTCCACCTCCAGGTCTTTCTGTGTGGAGTTTGCATGTTCTTCCTGTGTCTGTGTAGGTTTCCTCCAGGTGCTCCTGTTTCTCCTACCATTAAAAACATGTGCTATAGGTCTGAATGGATGGTGTTGGTTGGAGGCTTTAATGCCCAAATGTGTTCGACGTTGCGCTTCCGTCATCACCGCATGGAGTGAATGGAATAATATGTGAACTCAGATTCAGATGAATTTATTTGCCATTTGCAGTAAAACCACATAGGAAAAACTGTGCAAGACTACCCCAGTGTGCACACACACCAGACCTCTTGCCACGGCGCCATCTTTACGGCTCTGGACAATTAAAAAGCGCTTTGGGAGACCTTGGTCTGTAAAATGCTCTCTCTAAATAAAAATAACGTACACAATATAAGGCGCAACTTTTATATATATTTATTTATAGATTCACATCCAAATTATGGACTTACTAGAGGTCATAGCTTTTATACTGAACAGTGGTCAATGGTCTCTCTTTATGTACATATTGTAAGGTGAATTAAAGGACAACCAGTCGGACGTTAACCAGCAAACCAACATTTGTAAACATGCCCTCCTGAGCAGGACCCATCTTGACGCACATCTAAGAGACGACCAGGTCAACCAGAGGACATCATCGGTCACCGAGACCATAAGTGTCAACCAAGGCCATAAACCGAGCCCCAGAACAAACATCTTTGTGCCTTTCTGCCTGGCAGAGATCAGAGATCAATAATCTGCTCACTCCCGGGACATTCCACGGCTCTGAGACAATCTGTGACTCACCCACGGCGCTATGGCGCCCCCCAGTGGACACTGAATACTATCACACCCGGTCGGACAGTCTAAACCAGCCATTCCCAAACTCAGTAACACCGAGGCCCCCTTAAAAATCTGACGGGTCTGCGTGGCCCCCCAAAATAATAACCAAGAAGACAACATTAAGAATAGGCTCTTCTGGTTATTTTATTTTGGGGAAATAGCCTCTGCTACAAACATTGTAATACAAAAATGATTACAGTGGATTATTCAAGTCAAATAATGAACACAAATATTTTAAAATCACAAACAAAACATTATAAATTTAACATTAAATAATCATATTATTTTTTTTATGACCTCCCGCGGCCCCCCTGCAGTACCCTCGCGGCCCACCAGGGGGCCGCGGACCCCACTTTGGGAGACACTGGTCTAAACAATCACCCGCGAAGCCATTATTCGGATAACCTGTATTGTGCCCTACACGTGTGTATCGTGTAGGGTAATAATATGTTATTGTAACTTATTGTAGTATAAATTTGGTAGTGTGGATCGGCGGGTCTCCGGATCAGAGGCTCGCCGTTGCACACAAGTGCTTTTATTTTTAGGGCACCAGCAGAGTTTGAAAACTTCTGCACAGATCCAACTAACTTTGCCTCGAGTCAGTCTTATAATCTAATAGGTAGTGAATGCGTAAATCGGCCAGTGATATCCGAGACTTAAAAACACGACGCTTAAATGATTGAGTTAAAGTTAACGTGAATTTATTGACTACAAAAATGAAGATAGGAAATATAACAAAAGGGATTTTTGGTCACATTAAACAGAAGTTGTATACATTTCATTTGAATCACACATCCAACAAAAGAACAGTCTTACTTTGAGCCGTTCAAGGTAGGTGGGTGATGAAAAGAGGACGAGGGAGGATGGAGATGAAGGGATGATGATGGAGAATAGGGTGGAAGTATGTTCTCCTCCACGTGGTCTCTTTGTCCGGGCAGGCGGGAGATACGAAGCCAGCGATGCAGTCCGACTTTGGGTCCGTGCATATACAACTCAGTCCGGAGTGAGTTGCGTGCGTAGAGTCCAGAGCCAGGAAAGAGGCTGGTGGTGGAATAGTTCATAAAATCCGAGCCAGGAAGGAGGTCTGTGTTCGGAGTGGGAGTACAGGCCCGAGATGGTGGCGGGCGTAGGCCGTGTAGGAGATACGTACCAAAAAGGATGGTTGCGATAGTGATTTCGGGAAAAACCAAGAGAAAGAATTCACTGCATTGTGCGTGTTTATATTGACTTCAAAAAGGGGACGTCATCCATGTGCGTCTTCCCTGACAACCCTCTCACAACAGACAGTTTACAAGGGAAACACGCAGGATTAATACAGACGATCATAACACATGTACAAACACACACCGCATTTCCTTACTCGACAATGATACACACATGTAGGGCACGGTACAGACGTATTGGGATGATACTGAGTCCGGAGCTGGTCTACACAATGTCCGTGCCGGGTGTGATAGTGTTCAGTGTCCACTGGGGGGCGCCAGAACGCCGTGGGTGAGTCTCAGGTTTGTGGAATGTCCCATGAGCGATAGTGGGTGAATGATACCTGATCTCTGTCTGGCAGAACGGCACACCGATGTTTGTTCTGCTGTTTTATTGCCCCTCTGTCTGTCTTCTTGCAGTGTCCTGGCAGATGTTTGGCCTTCCATTGAACTCGTAGTTTCTTTGAAGTCTCCGGAGCTCGGGAGGGGCATGTTTACGAAAAGGGCTGCTATTCACGCTCGACTGGCGCCTGCCCTCTTTCTCACCTTACAATCGTTATCAGTAATGTAAATGCGTTGTGCGCCTGTACATGTGTTATGAATGTTGGTATTAATCCTGCATCTGATTGTGGATGTCTGCATGATGTGTTTTTGCCTTGGGACATGTTGGTCCAGAGAGACGCACAAGGATGACGTCACGGACGCGCCCCCTTTAGAAGTCAATATAAGCACACACAATGCATTAACTCTTTCTCTTGGCTTCCCCCTGTAATCACTATAACAGCCTTCCCTTCGGCGTCCCGCGGTACGTGTCTCCTACTACGGCCGCGCCTGTACGCATTGGGGCCTTCCACTCCGCGAGCACAGCCCTCCTTTCTGGCTCTGGACCTCACGAACTATCCCACCATCAGCCTCTTTTCTGGCTCTGGACCCTACGCACGCAACGCATTCCGGACTGCGTTGTATATGCGTGGATCAAAGTTGGACTGGACCCGCTGACTCCGTGTCTCCCTTCTGCCCGCACAAAGGACACGTGGATGCCCAACCTCCTCCAGACCTTTCTTCATCCCTCTACGCTGCTCAAAGTAAGACTGTTCCTTGTTGGAAGTGTGATTCGAATGATATGTATCCAACCTCTGCTTAATGTGACCAGAAACCCTTTTCGTTATATTTTCTATTTTCATTTTTGTAGTCAATAAAACCCCGTTATCTTTAACTCAATCACTTCAGCGTCGTGTTTCTAAATCTTGGATATCCCTGGCCGATATACGCATTCACTACCTATTAGATTATAAGACTGATTCGAGGCCAATTAGTTGGATCTGTGCAGAAGTTTTCAAACTCTGCTGGTGCCCAAAATAAAAGCAGATCCCCCACTCGTGTAGTACGGCATAGACTCTGATCTAGAGACTATCCGCACTACACTACATCCATCCATCCATCCATTTTCTTCCGCTTTATCCGTTGCCGGGTCGCGGGGGCAGCAGTCTAAGCAGAGACGCTCAGACTTCCCTATCCACACACACCTCCTCCAGCTCGTCCGGGGGGACCCCAAGGCGTTCCCAGGCCAGCTGAGAGACATAGTCTCTCCAGCGTGTCCTGGGTCTTCCCCGGGGCCTCCTCCCGGTGGGACGTGCCCGGAACACCTCCCCAGGAAGGCGTCCAGGAGGCATCCTGAACAGATGCCCGAGCCACCTCAACTGGTTCCTCTCGACGTGGAGAAGCAGCGGCTCTACTCCGAGCTCCTCCCGTGTGACTGAGCTCCTCACCCTATCTCTAAGGGAGCGCCCAGCCACTCTGCGGAGAAAGCTCATTTCGACCGCTTGTATCCGCGATCTCGTTCTTTCGGTCATTACCCAAAGCTCATGACCATAGGTGAGGGTGGGAACGAAGATTGACCGGTAAATCGAGAGCTTCGCTTTTCGGCTCAGCTCCCTCTTTACCACAACGGTCCGATACAGAGACCGCATCACTGCGCACGCTGCACCGATCCGCCTGTCAATCTCACGCTCCATTCTTCCCTCACTCGTGAACAAGACCCCGAGATACTTGAACTCCTCCACTTGAGGAAGGACCTCTCCACCCACCTGGAGAGGGCAAGGCACCTTTTCCGGTCGAGCACCATGGCCTCGGATTTGGAGGTGCTGATTCTCATCCCAGCCGCTTCGCACTCGGCTGTAAACCGTCCCAGTGCATGCTGCAGGTCCTGGTTCGTTGGAGCCAACAGGACGACATCATCCGCAAAAAGTAGAGATGAAATCCTGTGGTTCCCGAACCGGACCCCCTCCGGCCCCTGGCTGCGCCTAGAAATTCTGTCCATAAATACAGTGAACAGAACCGGTGACAAAGGGCAGCCTTGGCGGAGGCCAACATGCACCGGGAACAGGTCTGACTTACTGCCGGCAATGCGAACACAGCTCTGGCTCCGGTCATACAGGGACCAGACGGCCCTCAGCAGAGGACCCCGGACTCCGTACTCCCGGAGGACCCCCCAAAGGACACCCCGGGGAACACGGTCGAACGCCTTCTCCAAATCCACAAAGCACATGTGGACAGGTTGGGCGAACTCCCATGAACCCTCGAGTATCCGATGGAGAGTATAGAGCTGGTCCAGTGTTCCGCGACCGGGACGAAAACCACACTGCTCCTCCTGAATCCGAGATTCGACCATCGGACGTAGCCTCCTCTCCAGTACCTTGGAGTAGACCTTACCGGGGAGGCTGAGGAGTGTGATCCCACGATAATTGGAACACACCCTCCGGTCCCCCTTCTTGTAGAGAGGGACCACCACCCCGGTCTGCCACTCCATTGGCACCGCCCCCGATCGCCACGCGATGTTGCAGAGACGTGTCAGCCAAGACAGTCCTACAACATCCAGAGACTTTAGATAGTCAGGACGGATCTCATCCACTCCCGGCGCCTTGCCACCAAGGAGGCTGCCAACCACCTTGGTGACCTCGGCCAGGGAGATGGAAGTGTCCGCCCCAACATCCTCAGCCTCTGCCTCCTGAACGGAGGACGTGACGGGGGGATTGAGGAGAACCTCGAAGTATTCCTTCCACCGCCCGACAATATCCTCAGTCGAGGTCAGCAGCCCTCCACCCGCACCATACACGGTGTTGGCAAAGAACTGCTTCCCCCTCCTGAGGCGCCGGACGGTTTGCCAGAACCTCTTCGAGGCCGACCGATAGTCATGCTCCATGGACTCTCCGAACTCCTCCCAGTCCCGGGTTTTTGCCTCTGCAACAGCCCGGGCCGCGGCACGTTTGGCCTGCCGGTACTGGACAGCTACCTCAGGAGTCCCACGAACCATCATTGCTCGATAGGACTCCTTCTTCAGCCTGACGGCATCCCTTACTGCCGGTGTCCACCACCGGGTTCGGGGATTGCCGCCGGGACCAGCACCAGAGACCTTGCGACCACAGCTACGAGCCGCCGCATTGGCGATAGAGGAAGAGAACATGGTCCACTCGAACTCGATGTCCCCCTCCTCCGCCGGGACCTGGGAGAAACTCTCCCGGAGGTGTGAGTTGAAAGTCCGTCTGACAGGGGGCTCAGCGAGACGTTCCCAGCAAACCCTCACTATACGCTTGGGTCTGCCAGGTCTGACCGGCTTCTTCCCCTGCCAGCGGATCCAACTCACGACCAGGTGATGATCGGTTGACAGCTCCGCCCCTCTCTTTACCCGAGTGTCCGAGACACGCGGTCGAAGGTCAGATGATACGACAACAAAGTCGATCATCGACCTCCGGCCTAGGGTGTCCTGGTGCCACGTGCACTGGTGGACACCCTTGTGCTCGAACATGGTGTTCGTGATGGACAGGCCGTGACTGGCACAGAAGTCCAACAACTGAACACCGCTCGGGTTCAGATCAGGGGGGCCGCTCTTCCCGATCACCCCTCTCCAAGTGTCACTGGCATTTCCTACACTACATCTACTACATTATTCTTATCTTACAATATTTCTTTTTCAATATGCATCATACTGTATATATTGTATATGACCCGCAACATTCTAGGACAAAGTAAATTTTGTCCACATATAGGCCGCACTTGAATATAAGCCGCAGGTTGTCATGTAGCACAGTGTTCCCCAACCTCTCCGAGCCAAGGGTAAAACAATCACATGACACACCACCAGCCGAAACTGATACAAACTTGTAACTCTGCAGCCTTTACAAACGGGACAAAGTAATTCTCATCAAAGTGTATTATGTAGAAAATCAATGAAGAGCAAATAAGTATTTCTAATCTTCTAATCTTTATTTCATATTCTTTTGACCAAGTAGGTGATGTTAAAACCGCTCTGCTGGAATCTGGAACAATCTTCTTGAAAGTGTGAGACAGGCCTCCTCTCTGACAATGTTTAAAACCAGGTTAAAAACAGTTCTGTTTAGCTGTGCATACAACTGAGGGATTTTATATTTTCATCTTTCTTTTAAAGGAACAATATGTAAAAATCTGGCCAAAAGTGGTACTGCAGTCACAGTCAATATTTTGTAGTCCTCTCCCACTCTCCCTGACTCAGGTTGCCAGATTCACACCAAATCCAGCAGCAAACACAGGGAATTATTTTATCAGTTGTTTGTCCGTCTCCATTCACATTGCCATGACAGCCGTGCTAATGCTGAATGAATGTTTTGATTAATGTTTTTTTATTATTATTATTTGGACATTTGAGATAAAAAAATAAAAGCAATGTCATTATACATAGTTTATGCAAAATAAATAAGCAATTGATGTCCAAAATAGGAGTGGGAAGAATGGATGTTGGAACGTATTTCTTCAGCGTATCAACATCAGGGTTTGCTCAAGAGGATATCACCTTTCAATTTTATTTATTCCCTATTTTTTAGACAAACATGTAAAAGTCCCACATCAAAAAGAGACTAACATTATTTTAATTGGGGTACATGTGGTCTTAAATGATTATTTTTACAATTAAGCTATAATCTGCAAAAAAACGTCTTGACCTTCATCTTTTACCGTTTTTAGAGCAATCTGTCATAGAATGTGATAACATGCAATAAATACAAAAAGACATAGCCCGGGATCAAACCCGGGTTCCTGCATCGTAAGCGCACAGTTTAGACCACTAGACCACCGATTCTCACGAATAGAAACACTGTAAAGAACGGACTCAAACTAGAAAATTCTGCATCACACGTGAACTTTTATCAGCTGTCTCAATTGTTCAAAGGCATCCCGACATAAATCCTCGTTTTAGTCTTTGTTTTGTCATTAATGATTTGAGAGTCATAACAAGACCTTTTTTAGTTCTGCGCCACAAGTTATTTTACCACTGAGATGAATGAGCCGCGCGGAGTTCTGGCAACCCGATCACGGACTTACATGACACTTCCTGATTGGCGAAACGGCGGAGGGTAGGACATCAAAATCAAAACAATAACAACTTTTACGGGTCGTACAACTAATTTTGATAATCAAATATCTCGGCTGAACTACTGTTATCAGTTAAAGATGAATTCGAAAAGAGTATGATTTAATAACGCCTTTTGAAATATTCGGGTCATTTAATGATGACTTGACATGCAAATATTACATATTGCTCCTTTAAATGTTCTGTGATTATTTAGGATTTTAATGCTTTGTTATTTTGTTCAGCATTTTGATTTGCCTTGTGTATGAATTGTGCTATACAAATAAACTTGCCTTGCCTATTGGTTCATGTCCCAAGGCACACCGAATAACATCTCAAGGCACACTAACGGGCCACGGCACACTGGTTGGAAAACACTGATGTAGCGGATAGAAGACTGCTTTGACTGGTCACTGGTCATGACCCGGGGCTTGGAGCCAAACCGCTCTATTGTTGGCTAGTGGTACCTTCAGCGAGGCCGTGTGTCGGAGAAATGACTCTGGGTGAAGCGCTGTCGTCGATGTAGAAGTGAGCCGTCTGGAAACACATCCTGCACAAACACACCAACATTACATTTAATAATAATAATAATAATAATGTACAGTAATAAAGACATGCAGTTTCATCCCAATGCTTCAAATATAACAAAACCCATGAGGATTTATTCATTCGTAAGCAACAGAATGAACAATAAATCCAGGCCTTATGTGTATTCATTATGTACTAATAAAAGAAAATACAAAAATGGACTTGAGTGGGACGCGCCGTTATTCAGGATTTCGAATGACAGTGTAATCTTCCCACAAACACAAGGAAAAAAGATGTCGCCTTAATCCTGGACACGTTTTTAACCAGATCAGATCGCCGCGGTGTTGTCTCAGACCGAAATGTGCCCCTGGGATTAAACAGCAGAACAGAAAAATAACAACAAGGATGTCTGATGTGGGAATGACAGGAAAAGGAAGGTTACAAGCCTCACTGCAGAATCAAAAATGCTTCTGTTTCCTTAACGGGAGGTCAGTCACAAATAAACTACCCCAAAGCTACGGAAGTGCACACTAAAATCACTTTTTCTGCAGTGGTTTCACCTTCATGGCTTTATGTAAGTTCTAAATTCTATCTTTGCCCTTTCAAAAAGGACACGTTTAACAGTAGTTTTGTGAGTTTCTTAAATGACAGCGTGGTACAATGGGAGTTCAGGGAAAGTATGCAGAATAAGCATTTTTTGGGTTTAAGGCATTATACATATATGAATATGATATACATCCTAAGTAGTAAGTAAGCACTACTTCACTATTCAAGATTCAAGAAACTATTTGCCATTTGTAGTAAAACTACATTGGAAAAACTGTGCAAGACTTCCCCAGTGTGCTCCAGATAAGGTATAATTCAGTATAATTGACCAAACAGAGACTTCAAAGCCCTACTGCACTTTCCTGTAATATTCCTTTTTATTTTCATTCATTCAGATCTGTGTAGCACTGTATCCTACTTCAAATTTCCCTTGGGAGAATAAAGTTTATTTTATAGTACACACAAGCGCTCATTTGTTTTGTTGTTGTCCAAACCGGGGAAAACATGGTACGTCATCTATGAAATACCATTCATGCACGTGAATGTGAGAAGGTCATCTCTGAGCACTGTTAAAGAGAGAACCACATCATGGACTGGGACAAAGAAATTCTCTTGGGTCATGGTTTTACAAACAAACTGGGCCAAGTGGACCGGATCGTCGCCACAGGGGTGTGAAGCACGGCCCGCGGTCAGAAGAGCTTGTTCTTTTAACCGTTCCAGAGCAACTGTGCTGTAGTACAACGCTCGGTCCAGCTGGTGGCGCTAATACTAACTTCAGCAACGACCTCGTTGTCAGAGTTAAGTTTCAGTTTCTCTTCCTGTTTACATTCTGCTACTTTAGCTAACAGCTTGAGTACGGATCGCGTTGTTTAGGGAAAGACACATCTCACACTTGTCCACATTGCTCTAATGCAAGTGCAGCAGTTCAGTGGGTAACATGTCTGCGCACACGTGTCTGTGTGTGTGTGTACGCCGCAGCAGTGTTGCGCGTGAACAAGTTCAAAAGAACGCGTTTATTGAACAAGCTCATTTTTTCGTGAACGTTGAACTGAACGCAACACATTTTTAAAAAAAGAACTTGAACGTGAATTAGTTCATTTTATGTGTCATGAACGGCAGACATCACTTTGAACGTTGGAATCTGTTTTCTCTTTTGAAATGCAACGAGAGAAAGTTCCTCCCTCCTGTATTCTCGCACTTTTCCGCCGAAATTCAAAAATTCCTACGGTTTCCAGCGTCTGTGAACGCACCCCGACTCCGTGTTGCGGCGCGGGGAGCTGGTGCTTTTGACATGTGCCCGAGTCGTGATGAAAACACAGGGTGAGTTAGCGACAAAGTATAGACACACGCACTGCAGCGCATTACTGTCTGTAGTTTATGAGCAGAGATGGGACAACTCCGTTTGGCTCCCATTGAAAACCATGTAAATCTAGTCTGTTTTGTAGTCAAAAGGCTCTCCTCCTGTGGGTGTACAGGAGATATATTATATATATATATATATATATATATACACACATATATATATACATACACATATATATATATATATATATATATATATATATATATATATACATATACATATATATACATATACATATATATATGTATATATATATATATACGTATACATATATATATACATATATATATATATATACATATATATATACATACATATATATATACATATATATATACATATATATATACATATATATATATATATATATATATATATGTGTATGTATATATATATATATACATATATATATATATATATATATATATATGTGTATGTATATATATATATATATATATATATATATATATATATATATATATATATACATATATACATATATATACATATATATATACATATATATATATATACATATATATATATATATGTATATATATATATATATATATATATATATATGTATATATATATATATATATATATATATATATATATATATATATATGTGTGTGTGTGTGTGTGTGTGTGTGAAAAAAATATGTATTTAAGTATCTCACAAAAAGAGTAAAATGAACTGAACTTTGAACTAGTTCAGAATTAAAAATGTGAACTTTGAAACGTGAACTGTTCACTTTGAGCATGTATGACCTGAACTTGAACTAGTTCAGAAAAGCTGTGAACTGGCACAACACTGCGCCGCAGACACGGGAACGCGCCTAGTAACGAGCATAAGAGCGCTGAGAAAAGAATGAATGAAAATGAAAGAATGAAGTGTGGCGTACGGGCAGAGTGACCAGAGCCAGGCAGGATACAGGTGAATGTTGGTGTGTTCTGGCGATTAAATAAAGACTGATTCTTGTTTTTGCAACAGCACCACACTGTGAGAGCGAGGGTCTGGACAGAAGGGAGTTATTCTCGTAGGAAACGCTTCCCTTTGGCCCTGCAGCGACACCCCCCCAGCGCCCCATGACCACGGTCCGGGGCTTATATGAAAGGTTTAACAAAAGCGGAGAATACAAAAGTATGTGTAAAAGACGTGTGTGAAAATGCCCGTCACAACGGAAGACGTAATGTGACGCACAATATCAAGTCCCCACTACACCTCATCCCCCACTCCCCACCACCCACCACACTGACCCCCCTTATATGGGCTCTACAACCGTGCCCAAGCCCAGTTGCCGCGGTCACATAGCACCTAAAGCCCGGATCTAATCGCGAAGTGGGTCAGGCTAACTTTAACTGGGCTTTAGGATGCGCACGTGACCGCAGCCTTAGAGGCTGAGGACCACAAACGTCAACGCATGATCAAAAAGTCAATGCATGAACAGCTGGTGGTTGCCTCTCTTCTGTCAGTGTGCCCCAGGGCAGCTGAGGCTACAGTAGTAGTTTATCACCACCGTGTATGGAGAGAATGAATAATGACATCTGAAGCGTCTTTGAGTGTCCAGAAAGTGCTATATAAAACTGATGCATTATTATTATTATTATTTATTAGATGTTATTTCTTTTACTATAAGAAAAAGTCCTCAAACTGGTTTTATAACTCAAGTAGTTATGCTTCCAAACCAGGAGCCGTCAAATGGACTGCTCTGGGAGTTCCCTGCTAAACCAGAGCAGAGACGGCAGTGAAAAGTCCATGCCTCTTAGACAACTTTGGATTAGCGCTCAACTCTCGACACCCGCGTTTGCCAAGACGGTCCGGCTGTCCTTTTGAGACGCGGAGATCGAGGGTCTTGCCCTAATCCCCCTCTTTCCCCTAGCCCCCCCCTCCCTGCCGCCCTGTCCTGCCCTGCTCTGCTCTGGAGGGGGGTGGGGGGGTGATTACAGGCTTAGCACTGCTCAATCTGCCCACGACAACAACAAGACCTGGCCCAAAACATGAGCCAGATGAGAAAAGTACAGTCGGATCAGCGCAAATGTTTACAGCGTGTCCTTGATGGGATTTCTCAAGTTGCTTATTTCACGGTCGGAGAGCCTGGTTTTTATGTAAAATATAAAGAGAGAGTAGTAGTAGCAGTAGTTGTTGTAGTAGTATTAAGCATTGATACTGTCACATCTTATAAGCAGCATTTGGAGACAGACAAGTATGGGAACGAGAGCGCTAATCTCTCTTACTTTATCTTCATTATGACTTCAGCTGGAGTTTGTTCATTGCTATTCACCTGCTGTCCCATTGTCGGTTTCATTTAATTAATTTAAAAAAGTCCTGGATCTACAGCCTCAGTCCTGGATCTACAGCCTCAGTCCTGGATCTACAGCCTCAGTCCTGGATCTACAGCCTCAGTCCTGGATCTACAGCCTCAGTCCTGGATCTACAGCCTCAGTCCTGGATCTACTGTCTCAGTCCTGGATCTACAGCCTCAGTCCTGGATCTACAGCCTCAGTCCTGAATCTGCCAGAGAGAGAGGCCAGAGAGAGAAGGCCGGAGAGAGACCAGAGAGAGAGGCAAGAGAGACCAGAGAGAGAGACCAGAGAGAGAGGCCAGAGAGAGAGGCCAGAGAGAGAGACCAGAGAGAGGGAACAGAGATGGACCAGAGAGAGAGACCAGAGAGAGGGAACAGAGATGGACCAGAGAGAGAGAGAGACCAGAGAGAGAGACTAAGCAGAGATCAGAGAGAGATCAGAGAGAGAGAGAAACCAGGGAGAAATAACAGAGAGAGACCATAGAGATTCATACCAGAGAGGGAGGCCGTAATAAGGCAGATGTTGCGAAGAAATCTCGAGTTTCCCCCATGAATAAAGGCATCCGATTGGTCAATCTTTTTATGACTCATATCATTTACAAAGATGATTTTGAAAAATAAAAACACTAGGAGCGTGATTATTTTTTTCAAGCCCAAAATGGTGAGTGTAACACAAACAGTTCCTGAGCTAGAGGACTTTACTTTTCCATGTAAGTCAATAGGAGCCAGAGCGTGCTGGAGCAAAACTTCATCCTAGTGAGCTTCCCTAGTGAGCAAAAATAGGCTAGGGGGTTAGCATTGTCCATCTACAGTATAAATGCCCACATAAAGCCTTTTCTTGACCATTACAGTCATCAAGGATCCATTCAAATCAGTAAAGTGCTGCCATTTTGACTTAATTTCAAATATATTGTCTTTCTTTCTCTCTATAGAACCGTTTTAATACTTGTTTATCTTGTCCTCTTTAGCCGAACGATCACGCGTGCGATTATTGACGTCGGTGGGAGAAACGTCGGACTACATAAACGCTTCATACATCACGGTAAGAGAAACCGCGTTGTTATTACACTCGCCGCCGTCGTTGTTATCGAGCTCACACCGACAACACTTTGCATTCACAGGGATACAGACAAAGCAAAGAATTCATCATCACGCAAAAACCTCTTCCCCACACGGTCAAGGACTTCTGGAGAATGATTTGGGACCACAACGCCCAGCTCATCGTGTCGCTCCCGGGGCCCACCACCTTTGAGGTAACGGTCCTTTCGTGTTCTGAAACCAAGGCGGCGGACTCTAAATGATTCGATATGTTTGGATGTGGTCGTAGGAGGTAGCGGAGTCCTGCGCCTTCTGGCCTCGTAAGGGAGAGCCCATCAGCTACGAGGCGTTCACGGTCACACAGAAATCGGAAAACCACATCTGCCTGAGCAACGAGGACATGCTGGTGGTGCAGGAGTACGTTCTGGAGGCCACGCAGGTGAGGGAACAGACGGGCCCCGGGTCTGTCCAAGATGTGTGGCCTGTGCACCATGGACGAGCCAAACGTTTGCAGAAGTCACGCTTTTTTTTGTTTTTTGTACTTTCTTGCGTCTTTCCACAGTACATCCCAAAATGATCAAAACAAAATTCAAGTGCCATGTTAGACACACTTTTTTTTTCTTTTCACCCATTGTGTCAAACAAGAAAAGGAAGTACGACTTTATTAATAATAAAAATAATAATAAATACGTAAAAAGAGCCTGGTTTAGCTTAAATTCACTGATACAGAAATTCTGTCAAATGAATCTCCAGCCAGTGCCATACGGAGAAAAAAATGAAAATAAAATTCAGATAAACTAGTTAGTACATTGTTTTAGACACAGTTCGCTGGGAAAAAGTGCCATTATAATTCAGTGGATAATTCTGTTTCCGGGTACGCTACCACCGGCAAGTGCTCATGGCCCCCTGTGAGCCGCGGGACCAGCCCCACTGGTTTTACCCAATCGATGTGTTGCACACGTGTAATCTTCTCACATCATTTGACCAATAATAATAATAATGCATCAGTTTTAGATAGCACTTTTTTGGACACTTAACAACGCTTTACCTGTCATTATTCATTTACCCCATACACGGTGATAAACTACCACTGTAGCCACAGCTGCCCTGGGGCACACTGACAGAAGCGACGCAACCAGTATGTGCCATCGGCCCCTCCGACCACCACCAACCATTCACTCACACACCAGACTCATTCTAGGCATTGGGGGTGAAGTGTCTCGCCAAAGGACACAACAGCAGTTTGGCACTTTACAGCCGCAGCCGTCCCACTGTGGCATCTGATGTTCCCACAGGTTAAGTGTCTTGCCAAGGACACAACGACAGCAGACAATGGGAGTCACACTGGATTAAGATCAACCATCAACTGATTTATAGTGTTGGCCAAATGTGGATGAATTGATTTGAACTTAGGCTAGCTTCTCACACAAATGAAGGCATCTGATTGGTTAGTCCTATCTGAATTCACAAAGGCATTTTTTTTAGTCCATAGTTGTACAAATGGTTACTGAGCTACGAGGGTTTAGTTTCCAATGAGAGTCAGAGGGAGTTGGAGCAAGACTTCCATGAGTACTTGCCTGTTCAGCTTCATTGAGCTAGCGGGTTAGCGGTGTCCATCTGTATACAGTCTGTGATAAACCGTCACTGTGTCCCATCTGAATCCAAACGCGTCCTCTCCCTACACCAGGACGACTATATGCTGGAGGTGCGACACTACCGCGCCCCCCGCTGGCCAAACCCGGACAGTCCCATCAGCAACACGTTCGAGCTGCTTCACCTGCTGAAGGAGGAGACGCACACGAAGGAGGGGCCCACGGTGGTCCACGATGAGTAAGTCCGGATAACACACACACACACACACACACACACACACACTGTCTTACGGACGAATTGAAGTAACCAACCCCTTTAATAGGACCTCAATCATTTCACTGTGTACTACAGAAGGAGCAAAGCAGTGTTTGGGCACGTGCCGTCGCGGTGACAGTTAATCGAGTAATGCCTGGGCGACTCGTTGGGAAAGCAATAGGCCCTTACCCCATTTGGGCCTCGGGCATAATAAACAGTAATGGTTAGGCAGTTTTGAAAGAGATTTGAAGTCCTGAAGAAGAGTTTCTGATGTGTGTTTCTGCATTTGGTAAATATTATGTGACATCGGTTCATTCCTGATACACGCTCCTATTATTCAGATAGCAGCCGCACACACAGCCCTCAAACAACATTAGGAACAGTACATGGTCTGTTGGTGCCGTAATAATATTGTGTATTTGTTTGTATGTTTCTCCAGCGTGGGCGGGGTCACGGCGGGAACCTTCTGCACTCTCCTGTCTCTGAGTCGAGAGCTGGAGGAGGACCAGGCGCTCGACGTCTTCCAAGCGGCCAAACTCACAAACCTGATGAGGCCCGGAGTCTTCAGCGACCTGGTGACCCCCTGCACCACCACACGCCATATTTCACTCCACTACAGAATACAGAAGCCAAACAGACACGTACCACTGCGACCACTGCTCCTGACTGGGGCCCAGGCGACATCACAGCATGGGTCAAATGCATAGGACAAATGACCCTACGGCAGACATGTCAAACTCGTGGCCCCTGAAATGATTTGCAAGTATCACAGTAACTTGCAGCATTGATGTTAAAGGACCACTATGGCATGTTATACTTAATTTGAAAGCTTATTTTCTCAGGAAAGCAACCATATAATTACATTTGTTCTAAGATGTTAATTAATATATAATTAGAAGTTAAGTTAGGCCCAAGATTTTTTTTGTTATCAAAATAACTGTGGCCCAGTTGATTCCAAACCTACCAGGAAATAATGATCCAATCTCACCAAAATAGGTAATAAAAAACAAAGCCCAAACAGCTCTCATGTGGCCCCCGACCAAATTGAGTTTGACACCCCTGCCCTGCGGAGACAATAAAGTATAACCTAACCTAACCTAACGGACTCCTATTTAACTGATCTGATAAATCACTCCATTTATTCATGTAAAGATGTTTTGTTTCACTTTATTGTTATATTAATTTAAGTATTAAGTTTTTTTAATTATTTTTTATGATCGATAAATTGGCCGCACTTGAATACAAGCTGCAGGTTTTCATGTTGTAATGTAACACTTAACGAACAGCTGAAGGAGAAAAACAAGATTCGATGATTGACTCATGATGATCAAAGCACTGGCAGATCCAGACTATTTTGACGATAACAAATTGGCCGCGGGGTTCAAAAAGCTTGACAAAAGTAGTGGTTCATAGTCCAGAAAGTTCCTCACATATGAAAAAGAGTATTTTGTAAATGATTACAAAATACGTAAATAATAATGGCAAATATATGTGTTCAAATTAATTATAAGAACCTCAAACTAGAAATCATGCCACCTCCAATCTCCATCATGTAAACGCTTATCATGCAGCGCTCCTCACATGGTGGGACTTGTATTCTGGAAATATCCCTCAAAAACAGAAATCCACAAAGTACCAGTTATGTTTTAAAGGTCCCATTTTACACTTTTTGCCGTTTTTTTTATTGATTTCTTCAAGCTTTAGTGAAAGAGGCATCTTTCTCTTTCATTCTCGAGCGGCAGCGAAATGCCCGGGTCCACATCGATGACGTTTTCAACATCGATAGCGAATACGGCGCAGAAGCCCGTCTTTTTTCTCCCCGAGTCTGTGAAGGACTGTGAAACAAGAAGAGCGCAAAATGGCACCTTTAAGTTCTGTAAAACCCCTCTCCCTAGACACGTCATAGACCGTAGCTTCACCAGAACGCTATGCTATGCTATGCTATGCTATGCTATGCTATGCTATGCTAACGGTTATTTAATGTTGTTGGGAGTATATGCGCATTTATACTGTCTCCACTGAGGGACAAAAAAAAAGGTTTCTCTTATCTAATCTTAAAAATCTAAATTTCACACACAATTTATGAAACAGCGAGGCCACAAAAAGGTGACAAGCCGTACGCCGCTGTCCCCTCACCTCTCGGCAAAGTTTCTGTAAAAATAAACTCAACATGCTTAAATCATAATCACAGTACATTAAAAAGAGTGACCATAAAATCCCTCAGTGGTATTCACAGTTAAACAGATTTTTAACCTGAATTTGAACATTATCAGAGTAGAAGCCTGTCTCACATTGGAGAGAGATGCATTATTCGTCCCACAGTGGGGAAATTTCCGGGTTGCATCACTGATAACAGAACAGTGGGAATGAGGAGCACACAACACAAGATAAAACATAAAATCTGCATAAAAAGAGAATTAACTATAAAATCTCTAGCTTTAGCATAATGAAAGCCTGGCCATCTGTACACTCGGGTCAATTATTTCCCTACGTGTACGAAATAAGTACAATGGTATGGTAAGACCAGGCTAGCATAATGGGGAAACAAATCTGAAATCTCCAACTTTAGCAAAATGAAGAGGCAAGAATTAAGTAAAAAATCTGACTTTTAAGATTAAGATATCATTTATTTGTCCTACAGTCAGGGAAATTATGCATAATAAGTATATAATCTCTAACTTTGAGGAAGACTATTCAAGATTTTAGCTGCATGAATCTGAAACGCTGCCTCCCCATGTTTAGTCCTGACTCTGGGCACCAGTAGGAGTCCAGTCCCTGTGCTCCTCAGAGTCCCAGCATGAGGCCAGTCCCTGTGCTCTTCAGAGTCCCAGCAGGAGTCCAGTCCCTGTGCTCCTCAGAGTCCCAGCAGGAGGCCAGTCCCTGTGCTCCTCAGAGTCCCAGCAGGAGGCCAGTCCCTGTGCTCCTCATAGTCCCAGCAGGATTCCAGTCCCTGTGCTCCTCAGAGTCCCAGCAGGAGTCTAGTCCCTATGCTCCTCAGAGTCCCAGCAGGAGTCCAGTCCTTGTGCTCCTCAGAGTCCCAGCAGGATTCCAGTCCCTGTGCTCCTCAGAGTCCCAGCAGGAGTCTAGTCCCTATGCTCCTCAGAGTCCCAGCAGGAGGCCAGTCCCTGTGCTCCTCTGAGTCCCAGCAGGAGTCTAGTCCCTGTGCTCCTCTGAGTCCCAGCAGGATTCCAGTCCCTGTGCTCCTCTGAGTCCGGGTCGGTTCTTATGACCTCTAACATGTTTGGTGCTCGCTGCTGTTCCCTCAGGACCAGTTCCAGTTCCTGTACAGTGCCATGTTGAGTCTGGTGGGGAAGCAGGAGGACGAGAGAGCCCTCCACTGCTCCGACAACAACGGGACGATCGTGGTGGGATCGACCAGCACCGCGGAGAGCCTGGAGTCCTTGGTCTAACCTGGACCAGCTCTGTGGACTGGTCACCGAGAGACTCCCCTATAGACAGGCTTAACATCATGGATCCTAACTTTTTGTATTTTGTTTTTTTTTTTTTACCTTTGGGCCAATCAATACACTGTACTTGTAATAACTGCTTTATTCTATGTCAATTTTTTTTTGTATAGGTCTAAGTCACAAAAGTAGTCGATTCGCCAACACAGATCAGAGAAACGGTTCAAAACACAAGAAATGCAATGATAAAAAAAAACATTCGTCCATAAGGGGCAGAGACCAATGTCCATAAATGTTGATAAAGTCCATAATTATCAGAAGTAGCAAGTCTATTGAAGTTTTGGTCAAAAGAACTCTGCAAAAAAATAAAATAATAATAATTCAATGATTGGATTTGTTTGCCGATGTGACGTAGAATACTTCACTGGTTTGAAGACTTTGACTGAAATGTTTGCTTCAATTGAGATACATTTCCCAGTTTCCCAAAAATAAGATTAATTTGTGTGAAAAAATGGAACATTGAGAAACAACAAACAAATAGTGAAAAGAAAAAATCATTCATTTGAAATCCTGTTGGGAATTTTAATATACATGAGAAGCCGAATGGGTATGAAATAACACCAGACAGATTAGGTATAAAACGCTGTCATAAGTGTCAAGTAAACTCTACAGTATCTCACTGCAGTACCATCTCTATGCAGCCAGGCCCAGATACAGGTCAGGTCTGCGGAGTGGCGACCCAATGCACCTGTATCATTACCGCGCTTAATTCACCTGTAAATATTGAGCAGATGCCATAAAAGAAGTTTCAAGCTGCGCTGGGGTTACAAAAAAGTTACATGAAGCTGCTTTAAAGCTGGGGCACTTAACTTTTTTTTTGTTTGTTTCATGAATAATTTTTGTCGTTAGTCCCTAGAGAAGAGTATGTGAACGATCAGACCCATAGGAGCGGACTTACTTAGAGTGTGACATCACCCTGGGGTTAGCCTTAATGCGGGAAAAGGCTGATTTTAGCATTAGTGAGCTGGAGCCGATGTCTTTCCGCATTTATTGTAAGATTGAAATACATTTGAAGTTTATGAGATCGACTTTATGTAAAAGTACTGCTCAAAATGTATTTCACGATGTATTTTCAACGCGGCCATAATGTTTTGCCTGATGCCACAGCTGCCATGTCTCTACCGGACTTTGTAACTTTGTGTGCCTTTTCGTACCGTCTCCTTCTAACACATTTGATACCGACTGTAGATTAACATTGTTTCTGTCTTGTTTCATTTAAAAACGTGGACTAACCATTCCTTCTTTTTTAAAAACCTTTGTATTTATTGGCACCGAGCCAAAAGCAGAAAAAAAGGGAGAAAAAAAACTGCATCTTTTTAGATCAAATGGATATTTTGTTAGCGTCTTTTCTAGAAGCACTGAATCTCTTTGTAAATACCACGGCAGCATTCGCAGCTGTTGAAGACAACCATCTGAAAAGAATAATTATTACGGATATTAATCTAATGTAAATAATATTATTGTAATCAACTCGATGGACCAAATTTCTATTTATACGTGTAGATTTTTATATTTCAACGTTGTTAGTGGGTTCAAATGTTCTCGTCTCATCTGGATTGCTTAGCCTTGAAGGACGTGGTTTGATTTTATACTTTTGTAACAGACTAAATGTACTGCATGGATACTGACATAAACACCGCTGGACTCTTAGTTTTAGGGCATTAAACATGGGACGTTGTCAGAAAAACTGCACTTGTTCTGCTCTTTCTTTGATGATCTGTTTGAATAATATACAGTTTGTACTTCTGCATATTTTCTCATGTTTACGACGACAGAGACGAGTGGATGGTGTGTCCAGCCCTAAATCACAACAGCAGTGGTGTTGGAGGATTGACAGCTCCGTAAAATACAGATTAAACAGTTTGAACACAGGAAATGCACTAATAACACACAGAAGCCATTGGTCCACAGCAGGATGATCACTCTCCATAAATGTCCTTAGATTTATTTAATTCATTTTTATTTCAATCAATCACATTGTATTTATAAAGCGCTTTTCATACACAAAAAAAAGCAACAAAGTGCTTTACAGTTTAATTTAAAAACAATCCAATATGCCCAACCCTGAACCCCACCTCCCCACAGACTCAACCAAAGCCACATTTTTTATTAAATATACACCCACACACACATACAGTACATATATAAAGTCACATCACATCAGGTAAAATAGGAAAAACTATGAAAAGATATAGGGCTGGTTGCAGATGTAACCGGCTGAAGAAGCGCCATCCAAGGAGAAAAAAAGGGAAACTAATATCCGCACCAGGAGCAGAGAGCCAGCTGCAGCCACAGGGGACAACATAGGACCCTATTTGTCCTTGTCCAGCATATTTTGAACTAAGCACAAGGTTCAGCAGACACCTATGAAGCTCACCCAATCATGCCTCGGCAAAGAACGACTCAAAAAAAAAGAAAAACAAGTGAGAAACTTCTGGGCCTATCGAGAGAGAGGGATCTGCTCTCACAGTCGGACAGGCTGCAGATCCAGGACTGAAACGGTCCCCATACAGGGAGGGGAGGTGCAGCCCACGAGTCCAGGCCAGTGGCGACCAGATCACAGGTGCAGGTAAAAGACGCCAGGTTCAGGGGTCCCATCACCGCGCCATAAAACAGACAATGGGACAGCAGGTACGAGACCAAATGTGACTTTTTGCCCCAAATGCAAAACGTCATATGGCACAAAACTAACACTGAAAATCAATAAAGCAGCTTATAGTTCAGCAAGTACTGTATATTTATAATACATACAATAAAAAATAGAATAATCAGTGGTAAAATTGAAATAAAAATATTGAATCCCATCCATCCATTTTCTTCCCCTTAATCCATTTCTGGGTCGGGGGGGTGGCAGTCAGAGCTGCACCCAGTACACAGAGCACCAGCCCCTCACAGATCCTCCTGCAGGTGGTGAGTCCACAGGAGCTGAGATAATATATTGAATCCCATCTAAAAAAAAAATTTGTTTGCAGTCCCCAGTGGTCAAAAGTTGAATTGGTACTTTGAATACATCTGTGCATATACAGTGGCTTGATAGAGTTAGTCATGCATATTGAGTCCATTCATTGTTTGCATTTTACACTCGACCGGTCAGAAAGTTTCTCCTTTCACCCTCCCCCCGAGTGGAAGATGTCAAGATGTCCAACAAGAGAATACAAATGCTTGATATGGTGACGTGTACATAAACAGGCCAGCAGCAGAGAAACGATTCAGAATTGCATATTTTAGACTGAGGTAAAGTTCTATGTTGCTTCAGCCCTTTAGGCTCCGCTTTTGCATATCTCTCGGAAGCGCCAAGAGATATGCAAAGTTTTCATAGAACCTTAGTTACATAAGGTAACTGGGTCCTTTTTTTACTTTCACACCCAATAATGGTTCCTGACTTTGATATTAAAATAATACAAAAAACTATGAAATAAAAGGCAATCAATGTTCATAATATACATTCAATCTTAGAAAACAGTCTACTTAATGGACAATGGACAGACTGCTAGAATCCCATTTTAATTGGGTATAACATTTTCAAAACAAAGACGTGTGACCTTATGCCCGACACCAGTTTTACTTTTGTTCACCAAACCAACTCAAGTGGAAAAGGACCTGGACTCACACAAGGTTTTATGCAGATTCCCGGGGCCTCATGGCTTGGGGTTTCTGCTTCAGTAGCTCAAACAATAACAGTTGAATTTGGCTGGAAAAAGCCTAACGAAGCTTCAGACGTCCCAAAAGGCTATGGAGGCAGTGGGTCACCGCAGATCCCCCTCCACTTCCCAACTAAACAGCCTGGATCTCACTTTAATTCTTAGCGACTTCAATATTCATGATTTAAACATCCCTATACCTTTTTTTTCTATTCTTTTTCCAGCTCAACATCTGTTATAATTCATTTTATTCATGTCACGCCGTTCTGGGCACTCAAGGTCACCTCACACTTCATATTTCTAACCATGACTTACATCAACACGGTGGCTAAGTGGATAGCACTCTCGCTTCTCAGCAAGAAGGTCCTGGTTCGAACCCCGCTCGGAGCAGGGTCTTTCTGAGTGGAGTTTGCATGTTCTCCCCGTGTCTGCGTAGGTTTTCTCCGGGTGCTCCAGTTTCCCCTACCACTAAAAACATGTACAATAGGTCGGGCATGTGGCTCCTGTACTGGCGACTCTGCTCCCATCTCTGTGTGGAGTGAGACAAACCGCTGTGTGACTCTGGTCTGTGAAAGGCGGTATATAAATAAAGATGACTTACCTTCATTAACACCATATTTTTTCATTTCTAGTTATTATTAAAAAGATATGAGCAAAACCTGAGTATTTTTGGTGAGGATGAGACGAGAGAAAAGTGTCTAAAGTCGTGCTGCAAAAGGCCTCAGACGTGAACTGCTCAGTTGGTTTGTGCCTAGAGCAGTTTCAGACAGAGGACAGGAGGTCAGACACAGACAATAGACGTGTGTCAAAACTCAGCAGAGAAAAGACCTGCGCACGAGTCACTCCTAATCCCAACAAGTGGCATCCTAGTCCCCAGCATTTCTCGTGTGTTAATCCACCAAAGAAGTCTTTTCAGGCCACAGAAGTAGGCCAAGTGTCCAGACGTCGTCGACCCGCTGCCGGATCCATACGCCATTTGCATTTTTGACTTTTCATAATTATGTGCCCAATTATCCCCTGCTTGGTGGCCTCGTTTGCATGGCTGCCCCCCGGCAAAGAGCTGGGATTGAGAGGTGGCATAGGTCACGACAGGCAGCCGAAGTGAGCACGCCCCATGGAACAAAGACACTTCCAAAGAAAGTCCTGGGTTTTAACACTAGGACTCCCAGAAATATGAAATCACGACTGTCATTTTAACTGCACCCTTTCAAACCAATGGAATTCTGGAAAATTCCCCCAAACATTTTTTAGTCCCTCACCAAATTGTATACAAAATAATTTGGTTTTTCATCCTTGCTCTTATCAATTAGTGCTACAACTGTTGAATACAACTTGAAATACAGCAAAGACAGTTTGTTGAGAGGCTAATGCTAAACCAAATACAACTGTTGACAGTAAACAGTGGGTTGCTATGGTTATGCTCTTTTCTGGTGGAAAACCAAGGTGAGTCAGAACCGGTCCCAAAACAGTCCAGGACTAGAATCTTGAGAAAAGGGCTTTAACTGTCATAGAAAGCAAGCTACTGTAAACAGCTACAGTTTTATTTCAGTTAAAGGTTGGACTCTTCACATTTAAAAAACAAGATATCCATCCATCCATTCATCTTCTTCCTCTTAATCCATTGATGAGTTGGGGGGGGGGGGGGGGCTGCACCCAGTTCAGAGCACCAGCCCCTCACTGATCCTCCTGCAGGTGGTGAGTCCACAGGAGCCTTGGTTATTCAGCAGGGGCTTCAGGCAAAGTGGGGTTAAGTGTCTTGCCCAGGGACACAACAACAGCAGTCATAAGTGGGAGTCGTGAAGTAGGTCTTATGGTAAGCTCAACCCCACAACCTTCAGGCTCTAAGGCCAATGCTCTACCAACTGAGCCACTGCCGCCCCCCCAAAAAACATGCCATAAAAAAAGGACAGAAATAAACACATTAAGATACAGAAAAACACATGAAGACCAACATTTTAAGTTTACGTCGGTTATTAGATTTCCAAAACTAAATCATCAAAAATCAACTGCTCTGAGAGAAAGTAAGTCATCTTTATTTATATAGCGCATTTCACAGTCCACACAGTCTGGTGCATCGAGGCCTCTAACCACCGCCATCCTTTCACTCTCTCATTACATTAATTCCTAGGTTTTTGTAGGTTTTTAGTGGTAGGAAAAACCGGAGCATCCAGAGGAAACCTACGCAGACACCGGGAGAACATTCAAACTCTAAACAGAAAGGCCTGGAGGTGGAATCAAACCCAGGACCTTCTAGCTGTGAAGCGCTAACCACCAACTCGGCTAAATCGTCTGGTCCTCCTGGTTCTGCGCAGTGGACCATCTCCCATGATGCATTGCCCCAAATACGTGTGTGGCTCCATTGCACGTGCACAGAGGGGCTCGGCCGCGCTCTGACCAATCAGAGCAGCGGTAGAGCGGAGTCAGAGCGGGAAGGGAACAACCAGACTCTGTGGCAGTAAAGTGTGGATTTAAAGAAAACCGAAGGATTTAAGAAGAAAAAAAGTGAAACTAAAATTTCCACAAAATCCGACCTTTATGAAAGCTGTCGGTTCTCTGTCAGCTGAGGTCGGGCTGTTTTGGTTTACATTGAGTTCTACGGGACTTTTTTTCTGGGTAGCCCACATGAATTTAGTCTGCAGTACCACGTGCGCCCTCTGTGCCCGTGGGTGGGACAGCAATAAGCTAGTAATACCCTTTCCAGTTATTATAGATCCGTGGTTAAAACCCTCAATTTGAACAAGAGAAAAGTAGACGTTGTACAATCTGACACTTTTAATAAATGCTCTTTTACAAATGGTGTCTTCTGTGAGTACATTCATGTTTGTATACAAACAGCCAAACCGTTCAGTTGCAAATGTACAGCAGCGTGGAGGCAAGAAATAAATAGTTTAGTTTGAAAGTTTAAATACAACAAAACAAAAAATGTTGCTAACACGTGAAATACTAGCCGTTTCTCAGCGAATCATATGAATGTGAGGAGATTGTCTTTGAACTCGTGAAATGACATCGATTGTAACGTACACTACATTGTAAGGCTATTGTCTTGAAGCGTAAACATGGAAAATTATTAAAATCTCAGACTATGAACAGAATGTGTATTTTGTCTACATTTACATAGAGATTTAACATTAAAACAGTCACATAGTAGACAATGCACTATCTCTGCGCTAACATGAGAGTCTGTACAGGACACACACACATCAGTAGCTGTAGCTCCTGAATCTTGACCTTCAATTTTCCCATTTTCAGTCTGTATAGTGTTGTAACATTTGTATTTATTGCAATACTCAGCACACACGTCACAAGTATATCTTTTATGAGCTCTTTGATATATCGATTCTTCTCTGTGGTAAAAACATACAGGCCAGCAGCCATATTTTTTAAAGTCACCCGGACACTTTAAAACAATACCCATAAAAAGTATTCTCAGTAAAATGCTTTCGCTTCAGTGGTTTACGACATCGATTCTTCGCGTTGGACGTTAAAAAGATGTTTGTAAAATGATAAAAAGGCGAATTGCACTTGTTCAGGGGTAAAAAGGCGGTCTACTCGTGCAGCGTGGACTTGGTGACGATTTGGATTCCTTCTTCTTTGAGTCGGGCCAGTGCCGGAGCGTACACCTCCTTCGTCATGGGGATCACCAGCCCTTTGGAGCGGATCTCACCTGCACAACACGTACATGCAGACACGGACAGACACGCACACACACACAGACACACACACACACGTCATATTGATGATTTGGAGTTTGGATCAGACCGAGCTTTGGCCTCATGCACTGCTCTGTCACTGCTTCTTTAGAAATCATTCTCAGTAAGTATTCAGTTGTCCCATGATGCATTCGGAAACAAGTAAAAGTAAAGGTGCGCTTTATTGATCCTCGTAGGGCAATTCATCCTCTGCATTTGACCCATCTTGACTCCGCTAAGGCTCATGTCAGGAGCAGTGGTCGCCGTAGTAACAGCGCCCGGGAATCCATCTCCAGACATTGATGCTCGGCTTGGTCAGGACTACCGGTGCTGGAGGATTTAACCTAGTGAGCATGTTTTTAAGTGGTAGGGGAAACCGGAGTACCCAGAGGAAACCTACGCAAGCACGGGGAGAACATGCAAACTCCAGTTATGAGTGGATATTACTGACAACACGAGTGAGCGTTTCAGTGGAGGGTAAAGGTTTGTCTAACGCAGAATGAGAAGGTGTCAAGATCTCTGTTCATCTGATCGTATGCACTCCATTAGATGTCACTAAAAGAATGAATATGGCAAGTTACAAAAATTATAGAGACCATTTATCTAAAACTCACTTATAACTTTTTAACAAATCCTCAGTAAATGAAAGCTGGGGTACCTACATTTTCCCTTGCATTAATATATGTTGATAACTTGACCATGGAAAATGGGGAAAAAAAAATCAATCTAATTAAATATTTTAACTATTGTTAATCATTAAATACAGTACGATACATGTATTGAATGAAATTTATTATTTCCATTATCAACCCGACAGACCAGTGTAAGAGTGTAGAGTGGCCACAGGACTGCTATGAAAACATTAGCTTTGTGGTTTCACAGGCGCAGTTGACTGCTTAAACTAAACTTTGCACAAAACTTTGACTCTTAAAACCCACATGTGACAAAACGGAACCATCAACATCTCGCCTCAAATTGCATTAAAAGTGACATTCGTGTCTTAATTCGTTCGTATTTCAACTTTTAAAGCAATTCACGGTCCGCCATCTTGGTATGCTTCGGCTGCCGTGAGACGCTGATGCGCAGGTTTGCATTACATCATAAACAGCTAAGGCAGTGCATCTCTTCAAGACAGTGTATCTCGGCGTTACACCGGTATAAATCACTGCATACATGTGTTCTCTGTAAGGGACACACTGAGATGAGGATGTGAGGGTGTTCTTACCGTCCAGGAGCATGCGCGCTGCGATGGCCGCGGGGTAGCCCACAGTCTTGGCCATGGCGGAGAAGCCGTCGGGGTCGCCGTACACCACCATGCTGATGTGCTTGGTCTCCAGCTCGCCAGTCGGGTGTCGCAGGCCCAGGTCGTTGCGCATCACGATCAGGTCGCGCTCCCTCTTGCCTGCGCACAGAACACAGCTGAAGCACCTGGGAGACACACCAAACATGTGGAAGAAGGTGCTCTGGTCAGATGAAACCAAAATCGAACTTTTTGGCCACAATGCAAAACGATATGTTTGGCGTAAAAGCAACACAGCTCATCACCCTGAACACACCATACCCACTGTCAAACATGGTGGTGGCAGCATCATGCTTTGGGCCTGCTTTTCTTCAGCAGGGACAGGGAAGATGGCTAAAATTGATGGGAAGATGGATGGAGCCAAATACAGGACCATTCTGGAAGAAAACCTGTTGGAGTCTGCAAAAGACCTGAGACTGGGACGGAGATTTATCTTTCAACAGGACAATGATCCAAAACATAAAGCCAAATCTACAATGGAATGGTTCACAAATAGACGTATCCAGGTGTTAGAATGGCCAAGTCAAAGTCCAGACCTGAATCCAATCGAGAATCTGTGGAAAGAGCTGAAGACTGCTGTTCACAAACGCTCTCCATCCAACCTCACTGAGCTCGAGCTGTTTTGCAAGGAAGAATGGGCAAGAATTCCAGTCTCTCGATGTGCAAAACTGATAGAGACATACCCCAAGCGACTTGCAGCTGTAATTGCAGCAAAAGGTGGCGCTACAAAGTATTAGCACAAGGGGGCCGAATAATATTGCACGCCCCACTTTTCAGTTTTGTATTTGTTAAAAAAGTTTAAATTATCCAATAAATTTCGTTCCACTTCACGATTGTGTCCCACTTGTTGCTGATTCTTGACAAAAAATTAAATTTTTATATCTTAATGTTTGAAGCCTGAAATGTGGCGAAATGTTGAAAGGTTCAAGGGGGCCGAATACTTTCGCAAGGCACTGTATATCGTAATATGGGGTGCTACCCTTTGTAAAAACTTACCAGATGAAAAAAAAAAATATATATATATATATATATATATGTGATGCCTTCAGCTTAGAGAGTGGTGTAGGTTCTGAGTAAGGGTGGGAGCCTCAGGGTACCTAACGATACAATAAAATACGCAATACAAAGCTCACGATAACGATTATATCACGATAACAATTATATCACAATATGACGATTATCAATACATTGGTCAGAAATATACTGTTATAGAAATCTTTTAGTAAAGCAATCTGAATAAACATGAAATAATTATAAGTTATCAACTAATTCTCAACTCTAGATTCAAATACAGAACATACGGTCTGTTGGCAGCAGGTCAGCTGATAGATAGATTTCTTTGCCAATATCTGGCTCATAGAACAATATATTCAGGTCAAAGCCGATTATTACGAGATGCGTAATGTAGCCATACAATAATATTTTTTTTTCAAATGATAAAAAAAAACCATTATTATTTTTTATATTGATACTTGGCAGTTGTATATCAATAATCGATCGCGTGAGAAAGTATCATGATACATCACCATATCGATATATCGTCACACTCCTAGTTCTGAGAGATTTTGGGCTTGTGTACGTCCGAGTATGTGAGGGGTTAGAACCGAATAATAATTTACTGTCTGACCCTTCGAGTTTTTCAGTGTATTCCTGTTTATTATTGTATTTTGGTGAGGAGTGGTCCCTTGCGATAACGTGGTTCACCTTTCGTGGATTTGGTCGTGGAATCCTGCATGCTTTTTCAAGTATTTACTCTAACATCATAGAACTGCTAGCAAAACATGACAGTTACTTTTATTTAAAGTCAGAAGAAAACATTTGTGGCTTGTGTGGCTCCCGTAGTCCTCAGTCCTGCTCCTGCCCTTCAGTGCGGTGTCCTCTACAGCTGTATTTTACATTGTATGCACGGCTTTTGACAGCTGCAGCAGCGCTCAGACCTACAGTGAACAGGTTTGATATCTTGGAACGCACTTCAGCAGTCGTGAGTTTAGGTGGTTAAAAAAAGTGTGTTAAGTCTGCAGTACTTTACAGATTTAGCTTGAAGCAGGTCATTTTTAGAACTTAAAGTAGTACTAGAATTTAATATGCTGCTATCCAGAATATATAACTACAATATGTGTTTATAATATTTCGGGTGTTCATTTTGACATGTTCAGATGAATTATGTTAAAAAAACTGCTTTGAAGTGGCACCTTTTCACTTCCGCATAGAAACGCTAGGGGGGGCAAAATGGCGGCGATGACGTAGGAGAAGGGCATCTCACAGCAGCAGACAGCAGTCTGGGTTAAAAGAGTTGCGCACTATTATGTACAAAACGGATGAAAATATGTTTATACCTTGTTCAGATGACAGTGAAACCCTGCTACAGTTTACAGCTAAGACTGCTGCTGCTGCTGTGAGATACCCTTAGATTTTAACATAATTCATCTGAACATATCAAAATGAACACCCGAAATATTATAAACACATATTGTAGTTATATATTCTGGATAGCAGCATATTAAATTCTAGTACTACTTTAACCCTTGCAACAAACCGCTGTGCAAGTTTGACATAAACAATTGCTACACTATTCACGTCCTGCCATGATGGGGCCACGGCTCCACAGACCTGCGCAGACAACTGACCCAAAAAAGAAAAGATAAATATGTAGTTTGATCCCTGCGTTGCAACCCTGCACTCACCAAACGACAGCTTGACTTCCAGATGTTTAGCCAGCGCGGTGAGCACACTGTCGGCATGCGGCACCACTTCTTCTCCCAGCATCCCGAACCTACACACACACCCACACAATAGAAACAGCCTTCATAAAGTCCATTCAGCACATCAAAAGGGAAAATTATTGCTTTAACCCTACGCAGCGGCGGCCTACACATCCTTGGCTCGGTCTAAAAGAGATGAGCAGTTTCTCTTTGTCGCTACTTTGCTGATATATAGAATAAATGAACAACATGGCATTCATTTTCTGCTTCAAACACGTTGGCTTTATACCATTTCAGCGGCGCACATGGAATATTGCCAAGAGTTCACTTTAAAGCGGCGGTGGAATTTTTAATGCTTGAATGCGCGCGCTCACCTTACCTACACTTCCGAGCAGACAATGGCAGCGCTGGGCCTTGGAGAGTGCGCGCGCTACACCACTTGAGCGCACGTCGTTACGGAGGCAGTGCGGCGGTAACACTCGGCCTTGCTCCTGAACCCGGACGCGACAAACACCGACTTTGAAGAGCGCCAGGCGTCAGGGTTTTCACGGGGCCGAGGTGACGAGGAGAAGGCGGCCCTTTTTAATCAGGCGTCATGGGGGACTTTTTGGTTCGATTGGACGAGTAGTGTTAAAAGCTAGCATGCATCTAAATCCTGTGTGCCCTGACGAATGAAAATAGTAAATCATATTTTGTATTTATATATTTTCAAACGAGTTTTGTGTTTGAACTGCTGGATTCTCTGATCTGTGTTGGCGGTTTCAACGGTTTTGTTAAGTCCTCTGAGATAACTCCCTTGAATCAGGGCTGTGTTTAACAATTATTCGCTGGCCGATTATTCTTTCGACTGTTTGGGTCCTGAAAGTTCAGTCAGTGAACATCAACATGGACTTATCAAATTTGACTGATCAAATTATAGCAAGGCATAAAACCCCTTCTTGTTAGTGCTTGAACACCATCAATACCAACAAAATAACAAAACATACGTTTAAAAACTCAATGTACAGAATATACATTTTTTGAGGGTCTTAGTAAAAACAAGTCTCGAGCTAGCGCTAGCATTAGCTATAGCCTAGCAGTATCCTCGGACATGCAGCCCTCCTCCTCTGCAACACAGGCTGCTGTTGCTACAGGTCCATTCCGATTGTTCAGAGCAGTCAGCACCATTGACTTCACAGTGTCTGAGTCATTCTTTTAAGACATAAGCATTTTCAAAAACTACTCGTGCTGTGCTGAATTTTCTATTAAACACTTGCTTTGATATTATAATAAATCCATGCACCGCACCAGTACTAGTTACGCGTCAGACGTAAATGACGTGGTCTGACAACGCTGAGGACATACTGGGGGTACTATTTTTGATGGAAAAGCACGCGAACTGGGCCATGGCGCGCCGTGTAGAGTCAAAACGTACCGTACTAGGACTGTGGAAAAACTGTATTAGAGGGTTCTTCTAATAAGTCATATCTAGTTCTGCTTAAATACCTGACATGTTTCGGCGGTAGATTTATGCCTTTGTCAGTATGTACTAGGCTTCCTCCGGGTGCTGCGGTTTTCAACTACCAATAAAAACAAATAGGTCTGTCCTTCTGTCCTGGCAACCCTGCTCTCTGAGTGTGAGAGACAAATGCTCACAATTGTAAAGCGCTTTGTGACTCTGGTTTGTGAAAGGCGCTCTATAAATAAAAATTACTTACTTACTAAACACTAATTTGTGCATATTACATACTGTTTTGGCAAATGACGTGACAAAAGCAAAATACAGGTGGTTTTGGGGACATCTCCCTGTTGCCATGACGATCACCAAAGGCAGCATGTAAATAGAAACATGTGTTCGTACCATCGGAGCGTCTCCATCCTGAACTGGTCTCTCCCGACTCGCTCGTAAACCGCCTCTTCAAAGGACTCTTGGGAAATGGAAGGGGTCAGTCCCATTTGTTTGCACAGGATATCTTTCTGTGACAGAGCGACGGCGGCAAAGTCAGGACACGACAGGGAGATATTTCTGTGTGTAGCTTCTGGGATGAGTTTTCTTACCCAGGTAACAGCGGAGGCGTTCCGCTCAAGGAGAGGGCATGCTTTGCTGTCGATCAGGCCCAGTTTGACGAATCCACTCATGGCGTTGGTGAAGCCCTGAGTGATAAGAAGAGGATTACAGAGAGCTTTTATTTCTTCTTTCAAACCGACAGAAACATTTGTCGTCGGTGGAGTCTGCTACTACGGAGATCTGAACAACGTGAAGGTAAACATGCAAATACTGCCTCAAAATAAATATCATTGTCCATTGAGTGTCACAGATTAGAACTATAGAAAGCAGCAGAGAAAGGCAAGACAAGTTTATTTGTATAGCACAGTTCATATACAAAGCAACTCAAAGTGCATAACAAAACATTTCAATCATTAAAATCTCCACAAGCCATTAAAAAAATAAAGAGCTGAAAAGAGTGAATATAAAAGCGTTCAGGCGTAAGCTCAGCTAGACAGACAGAAATGGTGTAAACCTGGATTTGAACATTGTCAGACTGGAAGACTCACATTTTAAGGATGATTTTAGCTGCAATAATCTGAAACGCTGCTTCTCCATATCTAGTCCTGACTCTGGGCAGAGTCTGAGTCTGACAGAAAAAACACTGTATAATTATGTACAGCCCAATAGCTCTCCTTGGCATAACAAAGACCAATGCAATTTGCAGGGGCAGAACTGTTAAACCAATGATGAGGGGCCTTAGGGATTTGAAAAAATATCAACCAATCAGGAAGCTGCAGGGGATGATCATAGACGAGGCTAACCAAGTTTTGTTCTATCTTTGCAGTTAACAATAACAACAATCATAGAACATCATTACCTTGAAACGCAGGGTTCCTCTGAGGAGCGTGTGGGCACTCTGGATCCCGTACGGCTCGGCGTACTTGGTGCTGTCTCGGTTGGGGTAGCCTTCCAGGTTAAACCCAGGGAAGAAGTCCATCTCAGCCGCAGACTCCATCAGGGATCCACCGGGCGGTACGGTCACAACCTACACACGTGTGTTAGCGTTCTCAAAATGGAAATATGTGATAGTCCTGCTCAGAGTGTGGAGTACGATTATGTGAGGAGGGTTCAGTATAAACATGTGTTCTCAATCATCAACATGACTTAAGCAGTAGCCTGTTCGTTGCTATTCACCCGCTGTCCCATTATCTGTTTCATGGTGTGACGATGGGACCCCTGAAACCTCTATGACCTGCACCTGTGAGCTGATTGCCCACGGCCAAGACTTGTTAGCTGCACCCCCCCCCTCCCTAATCCTGGATGCAACAGCTTGAGTCCCCACTCTACTAATGCAGGAGGGTCTATGGACAGTGATGTTTTGGGACATCTAGAGACTGAAAGAGTCCACCTTCAGAGAGGGAGACAGCAGAGGGTATAAGGTGGCCAAATACCAATACAGGGACGAACTCAAAGCGGCCAAGGCCCGGCACACAGAGCGCCTACAACAGCAGTTTGCGGTCAACGACCTGGCCTCTGTCTGAAAGGGGCTGCGTTTGATCACCAACTACAAACCAAGAGCCCCCCACTGTGCTGACGACCGCAAATTGGCTGAGCAGCTAAACCAGTTCTTCAGTTGCTTTGATGTTGTTCCCGACACCTCCCCCCACTGCTCACTTGACCGTACCATACCGTAGATGTGTATGCTAATTTTTAATATTTTTATTAACTTTGACTGTTGTTCTGAGCCAAAGCAATTTTCAAGTCTGTGACTTCCTGTTACTTACGTGGCAATAAAAATCATTCTGATTCTGTTATGCACATTTATAGACATTGCTCATCCTGTCCATTATGACCCAATGGCTATGTTTGAACTGGTTGAATCTCTGATATATTATTGACTAATGGACAACTTCGTAAAGTCTGGCTGTCAGGATAAATCAAATTGGAGACAGATTTAGCCTAAATCTGTCTTACAATTAAAAAATCAGACATCCCACACTTATCCTCGCATTTCTTGCCACGCCACGGTAAATGCCATGTAGTTTGAGTGAATGTGGAATAGTAGTAAGTGTGTTGTACCTCTCCGTCTTTCAGGTAGACGGCCGTGCTGATGGTGTTCATTAGCACCCCGTATGGACTCCAGCTGAACTTGTAGCGCAGAGGGTTATCTGAGCACTCTGGGGCTGGAAGTCCTCCGCAGAATGAGATGTACGACTCCACCTGAAGTCATTCCATTTTACACTAAGAAATATGAACTTAAATGTGCGTGCGAGGCGGGGTTTGGTGACTCACGGTGCAGCCGTCAACTTTAGCCTGGTCGATGCACTCCATGGCCAACATGTGGTCTATGCCAGGGTCCAGTCCCATCTCATTCACGATGGTGATGCCAGCCTCCAGCGCACTGACACAGAGAGAGCATTTAAGTCTCTAGTCATATGGACCATTTCCAAACGCTCCAATGCCACTGAGGTTTAGCTTGAAAGATTTAGGACAAAGTAGCATAGAGATGCCATACAGCTCGTGTTGACTAAAATGTGGAAAACTCTACTCACTAAAGATTACACAGTGCATAACTGTATTTATACAAACTGCTCCAATAACAATTTAATAAAGTAACATTAACTGAATATGCAATTTACAAATCAGATACAAAACTTCCTTCTAGTCGATGTATGCATTTGTATTGTGGTAGAGTATCTCCTGGAGCGTATGAAAGAAATTGGACACAGCTCTCAGAGCTTTGGTTTATGTTTAAGTGAACAGCAGAGTGAGCCGTTACGAGTAAATGCATTATACATATTAAGTTAAGGGACTTGTTTTTATGTGATTAGGGCTATTGTCAGAGCAGTTTATAGACTTATTATTTTGATTATCCAATTAACTATAGGATGCAGGTTATTTGTTAACATAGATTAGTGAATGAGTCCTGGTATGGATAATCTTTTCCTTCTCAGAGTTCAGTGTGTTTTACAGTCTTCCATCAGCTTTGTGTTTCTCTATTAGCTATTAGGTATAAGTGTTGTACTACAACATAAAAACTTATATTCAAGTGAGGCCTGCATGTGGACAAAATTGTACTTGGGTTTAAGATTTAGAAGGTGCGCTTTATTTACAGGTGCACTTGATAGTCCAGAAAGAACTAACTTAATTTGTGTTTGGAGTGTTCTTGGGCACGTCTTCCTGACCTGCTCTCCAGCGCCTTCATGTCTGGGCTCAGGTAACTGGCCGTCACCATGTTCTTCTTCCTCTGAATGCAGTGTTTGGCCACGAGGGGATGGAACGTGTACGGCAACAGGCTGAGGAAAAGGTAATTACGTTCACATATATTTATGCATCTTCCAACAAGGTTAATTTTCTGTTCTAATTAGATTCTACATGTTGATTCTTCTTTTAAAACTGAGTGGTTTGTTTGTACTGTTTTGACTGCTGACACACCCATGATGAGAGGACTTCATTACTTTCTCACACCTGGGATTCTGTCCCGAAAAAGTAAGATGGCGCTGTCGTCCTGCCTCTGGTGGTAGGAAGACGGCACCAAAAACAGATGTTCAGAGTAGTCATATCTGTTGACAACGGAAGCCCACTAGCAGTCAAAACTTCCAGGTATGAAAAAAAACACTGAATCGACTTGTAGAATCTTCTAGTGTATTTTCACTGATGTACCTGATGACCAGATCATGGTCTTTGATGAGCGAGTCCAGATGTCCCTCCTGGCTGCCCACGTCCATCACCACTGGGATGGTGTTTGGGTATTTTGCAGCGAGCTCCTCAGCCTGCCTCAGAACCACAGAGGCTCAAGACAGAAAAGAAATGTCAGAATCTAACTTGTGGAACACCCCCCTCCTCCAAACAAAAACCTAAATAAAATACAATCACAATCTAATCATAATGTTGTAAACCAGATAATCTAAAAACTGAATTTAATGTTAACATTTACAAGAGAAGGCCTGGGTTCATAAAAAGCAGGACGATTGTAAATTATGTGTTTAACGAATGAAAACTATGACGAAGAGATAAATACTTTAAATGTTTGTGGAATGTGAAATCAAACTTCCAGCCAGGCCTATTGGCTGAACTCACCCACGGTGACCTGGGTCTTGTCGTCCCGGGTCAGGTACTCCACGACGGGGCCCGACACGTAGCCAGTCCCCAGCAGCAGGACTCTCTTCATCCCACTCTTCTTCATGATCTGAGCCTTCTCCCTGCATCAACAACACGTGTGATTTCAACATACACCACAGAGCCTCCGGGAAAGAAATGTCAACCCGACGGACGGGTGAATGATTAAAAAAAAAGTATAATTCATAAAGTAATAGGTTACAAATCAATGCAATTGATTTTTGATTCTGATTGGACTGTAGAAAAAGGAGGACGGTAAGAAAACAGAAACATCACATAGCACGAGAGCTTAAAGCTGCACTAACTGACTTTATTTTTGTATTCATTACGAAAATGCTATCCATGTCCATGCAGTGCATTGGGATATACGTCCTTTTGAAGAAAAAGTAGCGCAGATTTGTGCTGGCGTGACATTATATTTTAGATCGAGTTTTGATGAAACAAGGAAGAGAACGTGTTTCGGGTCTCTGATTGTGACCAATCACAGCGGACCACTAGCCCCCACTTTCGTGAGAAATCTACAGGTCTGTTAGCACAGACGGCTGAGTTAACGCAACAAGCCGAGGAGCTAACCTGAAGCTTCCGTGTCTTCGTCACCGGTTACTGCTTACACAGCGAAACAGCCATCCAAAAGAAAGTCTCGTTCCTCCGCGCTTCCCGGTTCTATCGTTCTATGGTCACGGCATCCACGTGAAAATCCATATCCATGTATTATCCATATTGGGAGACGCTAGCTCCGTCAACAACACTGTGTGTGTGTGGGGGGGCGATAGCTTCGTGGGTGCGGGGAGGGGAGGAGAAAGAGCGAGGCCAGCGAGTCCACGGCTTCAAAATCCCAAAGTCAGTTAGTGCAGCTTTAACAAATCCTGACAGGGCACAGCATTTCCACCCGAAAAGCTAAAAATAATAAACATAGATTCCCTTGTTCATCAGGGGTCATCCTCTAGAAAATCCTCCACTTTTCTAACCAGCCGAATTGTTTTATGTAGAGCGCTGCAGCAGCTGTCAAATGCCGTGCATACACTGTTAAATACAACTGCTGAGACGACGGGGGACATCTGTCCTCTGAACTAATCACTGCGCTGCACAAAAGTCACACAAAAAATGTCTGACTTTAAAGAAAGATAACTTATGTTATAATAGCGGTTGTATTACGTTGTTCATGAGAATACAATCATACGAAAAACAAACAAGAAGCACACTATAAAAAAAAAGAATGCATAATTACACATCATTTTTTCCCCCAAACTGCGAGGCTGTACCGAACGATATTGAATCATTGAGGGATATACTGTTTTTAAATCATATTGAAAGTATTGTATAGTATTGTATATAATACAGGCTCTGAAAGATACCCAGCCTTACACCACATATAATTTCCTTTTATTGCTCCAAATCCCAAGAAATAACTAGACCTGTAACTTTGCTTGGTGTTGAGCGGACCTGATCTCAATTACAAAACTGTCAAGGTCTGATTAAAAATAACTTCATTAACACGATGATTAAATACATTTTCCATTTCATATTTAATGAGTGAAAGGGCTCAAGCTTCACTACAGACCATTATTGTCTATGGCTAGATACACGGCAGACGAACGTAAAAGCAAAATTTGAAACGGGATCTTTTTAAAAATGGCACATAAACAATGGCGTGTTAAAACGACCGATCCTTGGCCTGACCAATTTCCAAACGCCCTCTTCTACGGCACACTATACATATCACACCCGGTGACTTAACCCAGCAAATCATGTTTTAATTAAAACAAGCCGCACGCCCAACTCGTGGCTTCAGTTAAAAAGTCTGCGATTTTACATGCAGGATTATGTTAACACCGTCACAACAATACCGCCTTAATAAAGTCACCCGTGGCTTTAATAACCCGCGGTCCGCCTTAAATCCCCCAGGAGTCAGTGGCCTCTAATTGGAAGAGACAAGCGGAGTGTGGCGTTGGCCGGCGGCGGACGTCCTTGCGCCGCGCGTCTTAATTAAAAAAAAGAAAATGGCTGGACGTTTTGCTTTTTGTTTACATTTCTTAAGGAGCCCCATCTCGGCCGCCGGGATTAAAGACTTTTGTGGCATGGCTTGTCTGGAAAGATGATACTTAAGATCAATTAGTGAGTGGAGGAGTCTTAGAGATGGCCTAAATATGAAGATATAGAAATGGAAAAGCAGAGAGGGTTTCTTTTGGACAAGCTGTTGAGGAAAAGTAAAGGGCCAAAGCTGCCCTAAAGCTCCGTGAGCGGGATAAGTAGAAAGTCGCCATTGTTGTCGTCAAGAGTCAGTTGTGTAAACAGACCTGGATTCAGACACGCTTAATCACCACACCAACCGCTAATATTTATTTTACTTATATTTCAATGATCATTTTTCTGTAACATTGTGTTTGATTGATTATGCACCATGTTTTGTATATGGAAAAAAAGAAAGGGGAAAGTGAAAAAGGTGCATTCAGTCAATTACATAGATTTTGACTTTTAAACTAGAGTGGGAAAGGTAATCCTCGTTCAGGTTGTGGTCAGGTTTTTACTTTAGCAAAATTGTCTTTTCTACAATAACTCCACTATGAAGATGGGCTGGGTAAATGTTTGTGTTATTACTTGGTATGAATACGTTTATGGTGCACATCTTTCGACAGCTGCAGCAGCACTCAGGCCTACAACGAACAAGTTTGATATCTCCACCGTCGGACTTCAGCAGTCATGAATAAAGAGGGTTAGAAAAGTGTATTAAGTGTTTTACAGCCTTAAAACATAGCTGCTACTTTGCGGATTTCACTTATTGTGGGTTATTTTTAGATCGTAACCCCCGGGATAAACGAGGAACCAATGTATAACAGAAAATCACTTGGATTCATTGGAGATAGAACATTGTCCAAGGGAGAAAACAACAAAATGGGTGATTGAAATTAAACACTTCCATATAAAAAGGCATGTTTATATACCTGTACTTTTATGGTTACTTTGACAGACTTTAATACCTAAACTCAACCAAAACATTCAAGTTTTCCTTTAAATATTGTCAGATCACAAATACGCAAAAAAGCCAATGCCTAATGGACTAAACATTGAAAATAGTGGTACGCAATCTACATTCGGTGACATGCTTCATGCTTCCCATAAAAGCTCCAAGAGTAAGAAAGAGGGGGCGGTGAGTGATGGACATGAGACAGAGAAATGAGTGCACCCGGACAGAGCGGGACCGTCCCGACTCACACAAGCCACGCACAGAGCTCACTGTGTAGGAACAAAGTCAGGGTTAGTTAGCTCCAAGTTCGATTGGGGTTTTAGAGCTTCATGCCCAATGAGCTGCAGCGAAATATAAAGAATGACACACGCAGCCTTTAGATTTAGGATGCGAGAAAGTGAGAAATAGGTGGGAATATGTTTTGCTCTGTTCGGGATTGTACTTTTGTCGTTTTTTGTGTTCATTGCGACATTGCGAACACAGAGCACCAGCCCCTCACTGATCCTCCTGCAGGTGATGAGTCCACAGGAGCTGAGATCTTTCAGCGGAGGCTTCAGGCAAAGTGGGGTTAAGTGTCTTGCCCAAGGACACAACGACAGCAGACATCAGTGGGAGTTGTGAAGTAGGTCTTATGGTGGGCTCGAACCAACGACCTTCAGGCTCAAAGGCCAATGCTCTACCAACTGAGCTACTGTCGCCCCTGATTCCAGTTTTTTAAACATTTCTAGGAAACTGATTCCAGTTTCCTAGAAATGTTAAAACACAAAGTTGTAAAACTGGCAAAACTTGACGCAGCTTATAGTAGAGCAAGAACTGTATATCCTCGACAGAACTACAGTCGGAATAAAAGTCAAGTTACTGTTAATGACATTCTGTGCTAATACCAGCCAGTAAACAAGACTACATTTTTAAGAAGGCCTCCAAAGAAATTGTCTGAACGGATATAATTTTGATTTAAAATGTTAGCATGCGGCACGGTGGCTGAGTGGATAGCACTCTCGCCTCTCAGCAAGAAGGTCCTGGGTTCGAATCCCGGTCGGACCAGGGCCTTTCTGAGTGGAGTTTGCATGTTCTCCCCGTGTCTGCGTAGGTTTCCTCCGGGTACTCCGGTTTCCCCTACCACTAAAAACATGTCCAATAGTTCTGGCATACGCCTCCTGTACTGGCGACCCGGCTCCCATCTCTGTGTGGAGTGAGAGACAAATGCCCAAAAATTAACAATTGTAAACCGCTTTGAGACTCAGATCTGCAGTGAAAAGGCGGTATATAAATAAAAACTTACTTACTTACTTACTTAGCACAAATATTTGATGGCAGTATTGTATTGATGCATCCCTTGAAATAATGGTAATGTTAGCGGTAGTAGTAGTATTAGAAGCAGTAGCAATAACAGTAGCAGTAGTTGTTGTGTGGCTTTAACTTGTCATTAGCAATTGAAGGTGACCGAGTGATGATCAAGTCTGAGCTAAGAACGACGTTGTGAACCATGAGATGGAAAATGCCTTCATGAATATACCTCCTTTCCCGCAGTTTGTCAATGTACTCAAACTTTGGCGTGAGTTTCCCGTTTGAAGTTATGACAGCCTTTGAGGAATGAAAGAAGAAAATGCATAAATTATCTCTTCAAGAATGTTGGGAATAGTTCTACAGTTCTGACTCACGTCTCTGACTTGCGGGCTGAATTCTTCCTCTTCGAGTGGTCTGGTGGCGTCTGAAGGCAACTGAAAAATCCACCAAATGTGTAAGTTGAAGGAAAAGTGCGTGTTAGTGTTGTCAGCCTGCAGCGCTCTCCCAAAGCAAATGAACACGGACCCAAACACTAAAGACCGTCAGCACCCGAGCTCGCCTGGTCCCACCCAAAAGTCTTACCATCTCCCAGATGTAGGGGAAGAGGCGGTCCCCAAAGTACTCGGTGGCCTCGATGGGTAGCTGCGCGGGCAGGTTGTCGATAGAGCACATGAGGATTCCATTACCCTCAACACTGTAGTGTAAAGGAAAGTCAGATCTATTAAAAAGGCGACACACACATTCCACAGGTTCACAAAGACATCCTCGTTTAGGAGTTTCGTTAGACCCTTTAGGAGGAGTGGACTAACCGAAGTGCCGACGCCATCCATAGTGTTTGCCGTAATGAGGTGGAAGGCCATTAGAGTTATTGCTTTATTGATGAATTTATGAAAATGCGAAGAGGGGCAACGACCAAGCCACCAAGAGGCAATCTGAAGGTCTGTCCCTGTTCACATCAAGTTTTAGAAGGCTCCTGATTGGTCGGTTGAGAGGCCAAAACCATGAATTTGTGTCCCCAAAATGGTGAGTGGCCCATTGAACAAGGTGATCAGACACACTGTATGGATGCAGGATTACTGAGTGAATAGTTGAGAATGTAACTGCGCTCTACGAGTGCTTTTCTAGGGTGATGATACAAATTTGTTCTGGACTAAAGTTAAATAACACTGGACCCATTTAAAGTATCCAACTTTTTTGTTCAGTATAATACATGTTTTAACAAAGTCCAGTATGAAAGGAACCTTATTGAGAACGAATCACATGCAGTCTTCATCTTAAAATAAAAAATGTTATCCTTTGCATACTTTTGGTTGAGAGCGGGTTGGGTCTGAGTGAGGGTAGTCTTTCCTAGTCCACAGTCTGAAAACGCTGATCTAAACATGTGTCAGAGACCAGAAATACTGTAAATGCATGTGAAAAATATAGTGTTTTGAGAGAGCAAGCGCAAATTATTTTATTACAAATGTTGGCTTTAAAATGGCATTAAGCAAATTTTGAAGTGAAAATAAAGAGTTTCTATAATTCCATATTTGCCCTTGTAGTGACTTAACTTTCCATCACAGTGATCTCTAATGTTTGGAAGGTTGTTTCCCCTGTGGGACCCCTGCACCAGGAAACCAACAAAACACTTCCTGGAGCGCTGTCGACACAACCGTGATCAAAAGTAAAGGCACCGTGAGGCTGCCATGAGGTCAAATATGCAATGATATACACTGTTTCATATACAAATCAAAAGTGAGCTCAAGACTGAAATAATTATACCTTTTAAAAGAGTTGTATATCGCCAATGCAGGAGGGTCAAAGGGCAGTGACGATACACAAAATCAACCGAAATTGTGGAAAATTGACCGTCCCTCTTCCTATGAACCAATGGCTTCTACGTGTTTGTTATAATTGCATTTCCTTTGTTCAAACAGTTTGATTCTCTGATCTGTTGTTGCTGAATCGACAACAGATCGATTCATACAAACACAAATAAATGAAAGAGTGAACTTTTAATGGATAATGTTCATGGTATTCCTACAATCCATAGGACAAAGAAAGCGTCCTCCTGACCCTGTTCAAATAGCTCTGCGGAATAACCTTGTTCAAATATATGTACATATTATTCCATAGCTTGAACTTGGGTGTGCGTGGTGTGAGTGGTGCTTGTGTGCTCGTTACCTGTCATGGTCAATGTGCTGGTCGGCGTCGTACATACAGAAAGGCTTATCGATGGTGGTGCATTCGGTCATGAACTCTATGGAGCCCCCCGTGTCTGCCGATATGTCGCAGATGGCTAAAAGTCTGCGGGGGAGGACAGGAGGTGCATTCTTATCATAATCAATCATAATCAAACATCAAACATGAAATAATTGGCCTCGTTTCTAATGTCTTATTTCCTTGGCTTTTTAAAAGTGTTTTTATATTGTTTGCAAATATCCACTGCACAGGATTCTTTTTTAATTATGCTTTTATTTTCTATCATGCTTTATTTCTTTAATCTTTAAGTACAGTACTCGCTGAGTTGAGATCTTGGTGCAAGGAATCACGTGTGTATAGAGATTTACGCATGTGGATTTCTGTATTGTCTTTTTACCATCTATAAAACTTTGTCAGAATCAAAAACAGTGTCTAAAGCAGAGTTGGAGATTCCTACCCATGCATTTGTCACCAGTAGATTGGACTACAGTAACGGCCTGCTCACTGGTCTCTCCAAACAAAGAGTATATTCTAAATGCAATTAGAGTCTAGACAAGAACCAGGAAGTGTGAGCACATTAGTCCAGTTCTCAGGTCTCTGCACTGGCTTCCTGTGGCTCAGAGAATAGGCTTTAAAATACCTCTGCTTGTGTACAAGTCTCTCCAAGGCCTAAAATCTGGCTAAAGAAGTCTTCCTGAACATATGAGACAGGCTTTTACTTTGACAATGTCCAAATGCAGGTTAAAAACAGTTCTGTTTGCTGTGCATGCAACTGACACATTGCATCTTCACTCGTTTTAATGTACTGTGATTACTAATGATTAACTAACTTTGAGTACCTTGTTTTGTTTTAATTGTATATTACACAATGTAATGACAAGGTGTTTTAAACGCGGTGTTGGAGGCAGACATTAGCATGCTAACTTCAACTGTTATCTTCCACGTCTGACCTCATTTACCAATCTATTCTTACAATAAACGTCTAGCTACTATACCTGGCTAGTCAAAATAATTAGTCCATTTACTTTTCTCTGAATATAGCCTGAATTATATCAAAACAACTAGTGCATTTCCCTAAATTTCCTCATGACGGATCCTCCTACTGTTCACATAAACACACACAGCTGATAGAGCAGTGTTTAAAATAATTTTCTGCACCGCATGAGATACTCTACCACAATAAAAAATACATACATTGGCCACATCGTTATGTAGGTCACAAGGTTTGAAGAAAGAAAAAAAGTAGAAGCTTAAAGTCCAGCAATTATGTGCTCTGGAAATCTTTAGCCACAAGTTGCTCTTTCTTACCTATGGGGCAGTGCGGGCGAGCCTTCGTTGCACACCAAGGCGTTTTTGGGCGGTCTTCTTAACTTTTGGGCATCCAGGCGTCTGAGGAGGCGTGGGGTGTGGCGATCCCAGTAAATGCCATTGATCAGGCAGGTGGTGTAAGGCGCTACCTGTGGCATTAAAGACATTTTCATCATGTGACAAACACTAACAAAAATATGAATTTGAAGTGAAAAAAAATTAGACATGATTATTGATGTGACACGCAGGAGTCAAAGGGTATGAAGGCTCCACGAGTTCTGCATTAGTAGTGTTATTACAGTACTTGCTGGACTATTAAGCACTCTTAAGGGGCGTTCACACCGGACTTAACTTCGGCGTCAAAAGCGTCAGGTTTCCATTGAAAGTGAATGGTGAAGCGCGTCAGGTGAAGCCAAGGGGCCCGGCGTCACTTGGCGCGCGTCAAAAGCTTCAAAGGTCGCGCATAATACGCGCTCACTTGAAGCTTTTGACGCGCGAAACGCTCGCGTATCAAAACAATCCCTTTGACGCCGAAGCTGAGCAAAGCTGAGCTTTTGAAGCTTTGATGCGGGCTTCAACCAATCAGGAGACGAGCAGCAGCAGCAGCAGAGGGTCTGTCTCTGTCATGGAGAGAAGTCATGTATCTGCTGCTGCTGTTTTATTGTCATTATTGTTATTAGTAATATTATTTGTATGAGTAGTAACGTTCTGAGTAACAAAAATCATTGTACACATGCTGTGTAGTAAACGTAGTTTATTTAAAATAAGAACAGGCTGACGATGAGTCTGGCTCAGAGCAAGGCAGCTCCGGGCGAGAGCCGCGGAGAGGCAGGGAGAGGCGAGCTAGAGCCGAGCTAGAGCCGGGGAGAGGCGGGGAGAGGCGAGCGAGAGCCGGGGAGAGGCGAGCGAGGCGGGGAGAGGCGAGCGAGAGCCGGGGAGAGGCGAGCGAGGCGGGGAGAGGCAGGGAGAGGCGAGCGAGAGCCGGGGAGAGGCGAGCGAGAGCCGGGGAGAGGCGAGCGAGAGCCGGGGAGAGGCGAGCGAGAGCCGGGGAGAGGCGAGCGAGAGCCGGGGAGAGGCGAGCGAGAGCCGGAGAGCGAGCGAGAGGGAGCAGCCGGAGGAGAGCGGAGCGAGAGCCGAGGGAGAGAGCGAGCGAGAGCCGGGGAGAGAGCGGAGCGAGAGCGGCGGGAGAGGCGAGCGAGAGCCGGGAGAGCGAGAGGCCGGGAGAGGCGAGCGAGAGCCGGGGAGAGGAGCGAGAGCCGGGAGAGGCGGGGCGGGAGAGGCGAGCGGCGGGAGAGCGAGCGAGCGGGGAGAGGCGAGCGAGAGCCGGGAGAGGCGAGCGAGAGCCGGGAGAGGCGGAGAGAGGCGAGCTCCGGGGTTTGAGAACTCAGACTGGGCGAGTGACATGCGGAAGCACCGCTGAAAGCGAGACTCCTCCGTACGCAGCTCCTGGAGTAAATGACGGAACTCTGCAAACACTGCAGCCTCTCAAGTCTGTGGTGAACCCAGAACATGTTTTGTTGAAGCCCTACAACAACGTTATTTTGCTTTATATAACAAATAAAGGCTCGCTGCTCATTGAAAAATCTACCGCTGTCCTGACTACAGACAACAGAGAAGCTCCTCCCACCGGCGTCAGGCGCGTCAAAAGCTTCAAGCACCAAAATGACAAAACTATCCTGGCGTCAGTTGAAGCGCGTCAAAAGCTTTTTGAAGCTTTTGGTCTGAACGCGCCTTTATACAGCAACAGCAAAATTTGAAAAGACATTTGATTTTGTCCTCATATAGGCTGCAAGTTTTCATGTCGTAATGTCTAACTTAAACAGCTGGTGGAGCAGAAGAGACCAATAGGCGTTATTTTAACCATCAAATTCCTACTAAAAATGGATGATTTGGGGTTGTGTATGTCCCTGCATTACCTTGTGGTGTCTCTCTGCTGTTCACATAAAGAAACCGGAAAGCAGGAAAGTGTGATAACTCAATAGCAGATGGAACGGTGGACACAGCTCTAGCACCCCAAGGGGATCAACAAAAGAAAAATGCAATTGGTTGCAATGCTATAAACAACCAGCAAGCACTGCATTTGCTTTATCGTTTGATTTTCTTAATCTGTTGACAAATTACAATTGATTTGACTAAATGCTTTTAAAATGTTCTTATTATAACTCATTGGCTCTATTCATTTGAGTATCTTTTTAGATTCATGTAAACATGGACTTCCTCCTTTTATGGTGAAAACATCAGGTAATGGTCTAAATACACCAAACAGAGGTCATTGGCCCAGCTCAACTGAAAACTTGTTGCTAGCTACACCACTCCAACATCAGCCAACGCCATGTCGTCGGGTTGGTATTGATCTCAGCCTTAGCCCAGCGAGAGGTTCAGAGGAGGTGAACTCACGCTGGTCCTGAAGTGGGACGTGTACAGCTCGGGGTGGTTTTCGTACTCCAGGGGGTCATAGATGCCGTCACTTTTCCTCACGAGGTGATGGTGGCGACTCAGCACGGTGGCATAGACTTTGGTCAAATCTGCAGAGAAAAAAGCACAGTGAGGTTGAGAAGCACGAAGGATCCCATTGTGGTGAAGTGATGCAGAGTTTAAAATTAAGATGAAAGGTATACCTCCAGTTTCTGAGACATCTTTTAACTCGTGTGGCTCCACATATTCCACAGGCAGCTCATTGATGATATCCTGAGCTCCCTAAAAAGTAAAAAAAAAAAAATAGTAAAACGTGGTTGCTGTGTGTAGAGTAAACAAGGGCTGTGGTCACCTAAAGACCTTTCATACAGAGTTCTCAAATCCAATTATATTCTTACCATTAATCTGGTCAGATCTAAACTGCTTATAATCAGTATACAGTATATACAGTACACGGACAATGCTAACCAGCTAGTTAGTGATAATGGACAAAGTTTAGCTCCAACTCCTCTAGCTCAGTAACCGTTTTTGCCACACTCTCCATTTTGGTATTTTAAAAAATCTGCGGTTACATTAAATACATTCATTCATGAGGAAAACTCCAGCGTTCCCTAACAACAGTCTTAGCAACACATCCGCCCTGTTACAGCGCAAAGCTAATGCAGGAGAAAAGCCAATCTATGCTTATGTTGAAATCGGCCTCTTTCGCTTTAGAGCTAACACTATGGTAACGTCAGCACTCAGTGAGTCCTCTTCCAATACGTGGTCAATGATTAAGTACAAAGGCACTATTTTATACAGAATAGTCAGAGTTCTTATAAATCCGGATGACTTAAAATCTTAATCACAATTGCACAACATATTTACTGCAGCTGGTTTAACCGACAGTCGGGTTTGCTCACATCCTCTTTCCTCCACACTGCCCTACACTCCCACCTTTGACACGTTTCCAGTCCCGGTGAAGCAGAACGTCACTGGTCCAATGGACTTAGGCATCAGCCCCATGGACAGTTCGTAGCCGCAGTCGCGTACCGCCTGGATGGCCTGGCTGACGTTTCTGTAGTTATGAGCCATGCCGATGTGCTGTGGCCAGAAAAGAAAAACACATGGGATATTACTGTAATTTGTTTGGGAAGTTCATGATTTTGCAATAGATCACACAACAGCGGTTCCTGGTTTATTGCAAAAGTTACGTTCAAAAATAAACTTCAATAAGCAAAAAACGAGAAGTAGAACATAAATGTTTTAAGAAGAAGATATACTTTATTGATCTCACAATGGAGAAATTCGGTTTGATGAAGTCGTATTATTATTTTATAGTCATATTATTAAGGCGGTAAAAAGCCGTCAGCACACACTTCATTCACTTTTCTAACCACCTGAACTCACAAGCTGCTGAAGTGGGATCGCAGAGATATCAAACCTGTTCGTTGTTGGTTTAAGCGCTGCTGCAGCTGTCAAAAGCCGTGCATACACTATGAAATACAGCTACAGAGGACACTAGGGGTGTGACGATACTTTCTCCCGCGATTCGATTATCGATATGCATTTGCCAAGTATCGACATCAATATATATATATTTTTTTTAAAGATTTGGTTTTTTATTTTTTTTTTACAATAATTTTTTTTAAAATTGGTATCAATACTTCATATATGGCTACATTACGCATCTCCATTCCATTTATCATGAAAAAAAGTGTATTTTTTATTTTATTTATGCCATAAATTGGCATATTGTATATTTCTGACCAATATATTGATAATCGTCATATCGTGATAAAATCGTTATCGTGATAATATCGTTATCGTGAGCTTTGTATTGTGTATCGAATCGTATCGTGAGGTACCCTTAGGTTCCCACCCCTAGAGGACACCGCGCTCAGGGACAGGGGCAGGGGCAGGACTAAGGACTGCGGGAAAAGACCGTGGCAGTCCTCTGAACAAACCACTATGATGCACACAAGCCACAACAGTTTTCTTCTGACTTTGAATAAAAGTAACTGTCATGTTTTACTAACGCTTCTATGATGTTTATGATGTTGGAGAATAAGAAGGTGAACCTAGCGAAGGACCAAGTTGTAACAAGGATCACAACTTTTACTAACGCTTGAAAGTAAAGCTGATCACAATTTGACTATTTTTTATGAGACTTCCTCGCCCACTAGACACAGGCAAGATGTTTGTCATTCAACTTACAAAGAAACTAAAATATGACAGACTCATCACACGCAAGTGAGATGTATCGAGCTCTCTGATATTATGTATAATTGGATCACAGCTGTAAATCAAAACAGCTCAGACATTTTTGAAAACATAAATTGTTAAGAAATTCACCTGCTTCACCTGTACATATTTAGTGCATTTACTTCCTCGGCGAGTAAAATGATAAATGGGAGAGGAGTATTTGTTCATACCACTACATAAAAGTTCAAGTTCAAACTCTTACCATAAAGGGAGTGTGGTGACCGAGAGCAAGAAGCCGCAGTCCCAGGCCGTGCAAAATATTGATCATTCCTGCGAACAAGAATCAAACAAGTTGATAAGGTTTTTTTTCCTCTTGTAGTCTCCACAAACACAGTACACTAATAGTAAATAAATAACACAAGGGTTCATCTACCTGCCACTCCCGCCCACTGGCCGAAAGCCACAATTCGGAAACCGTTGGGATCCACCATCTTCTCGTAGTCGATCAGGCGCACCTCCTGAAAATAATACTTCTTTAGGAAAAAGGTACACAAATGCTGAAGTGAACAAGAAACTACATCATCGGTTTTGTATCTGTGGCCTTGCTGACAGCCAAAACAATACCGAGGTCAGGCAAGTAGAACGTGATAAAGCAAGATGTAGTATTTCTTCCCTTTCCACATTTCCATAATAAAAGCTACTGTCAGTGTGCCCCAGGGCAGCTGGGTAAATAACAGGAATCACTCTGAGAAGGCAAACGTTCACTCACATTAGCATGCTTACCTTAACCGTTAGCTTCCATCTTGACTCATTTACATTTCTATTTGGTAGATAAACGTGCATCCTAAAATAATATGTCCATTAAATATATTATGACAACACCCAAATCTACCACAGTAAAAATACATACAGGTACACGCAGGGTTTAAAGAACTTCAAGTTCTTTAAAGCGGTTTATACTGTAGTAAATACAGTAAAATGTGACTTTAAAACAGGCCATCTTTACCTTCTTTAACAGGTCCTCCAGGAGCGCCATGTTGGCCTCCTGAGCTTTGATGGTGTGAGAAAAGAAGGCGTAGGTCTTTCTGGGCATCACCAGGTCCTCTGGCATCCTCTTCACTCCAACTATGAGGGACGCTTCAGAAATGTCCTCTTGAACCATGGCCCCCGCTTTGGCATAGTACTGGGAGAAAAGCACAACATTGTACAACTTAGGAAACAATAGCTTCTTAGGAGGGGCAACCAGAACTTCAAAGAGATATCATGTGGACATTTTTGCAAAAGAATCACTGCGGTGCACACAAGACTTACAATAAAAGGTACCTGTCGAATTATACTAAAGGGTATATGTTGTTCCAGAAAGGGCCGGTGGGCATGTTTAAGTTCCAACCTGAGCAGGCCCAGCAGACTCCACCCATTTCCTCAAATATTGACGTTAAAACTAGGAGGACCGGTTTGACACCCGGTTTTATATAAAAGGACCATTGTAGCACAAAATGTAATGAATTATAAAGCAATTAAACAATGCAATAAAGTGAATGGCAAGCTAAAACTGTTGTGATTTAGGGCCATAGATGAATGAATTGAATTGAATAAACCAAATGTAGACGATATGAAAATATATTCAGTAGAAGCAAGAGTGAGTTGGATTAAACTTCAGCCATGCACTTCCCTATTGGGCATTATAGAGTTTGCAGGTTAGCATTGTCCGTCTATACCAGTGGGGAGCAGGTCCCGGCTCAAAAGTGGCCAAAATAACGTGTGCTGACATGCTTGCGGAGGTGGACCCGGAATGAGAATTAGCCAATGCTAACATATAGCATTAGCTTACCTCTCGAAAACGTCTTTACAGGATGTTCCAAAAGTTGGCTCTTGGCCCAAAGCTCCGTTCCACATGTGTGTCAATGCTGAGGGGAGTGAGTTTTTTTAGACCAGTCTAGTTTAGTCGCTGTGATTTTTTGAAGTCACTCGTTTAAATGAATGGGGCTCGTGCCGGCTGACACATGCGCAGATGCGTTTTTTCACATTTTCCAGCCCCCGCAACCACTTTGAAACTGCCCATAGACCACGGCCGTTTTGGCACATTACTTAGAACGGCGGAGATAGGCGTGACTACATCCGTTAATATTTACAGTCTATGGTCTATACACAGTCTATAATTCAGATTTTATTCTTGTCAATATCCACCATTGCAACTGTAAGCAGCAGTTATGAAAACGTGTTATTACAGATTGAACAAGTGACTATGAAGTGAACCACGGTGAGGACTTACCTTCTCGTGGATGGCCCTGCGGTTGGACGGCTGCACCAGGACTTTGACTCCGGCGTTGGTGAGCTCGCGGACGTGTCTCGGGGCCAGCGGTGCCCTCCTCTCCCAGGGGTTGATGTCCTCTCGGCGGATGGCGATGACGGCCCGGTGGTGCTCGTAGCGGCGCTGGACAGCAAGGCAGCAGCGCGTCCCACAGCTTCGGTGACGCAGCGCTCTCAACATGGCTGACCCTTTCCTGCTCAGGGGCACAAGGGCAGAGCCACGCGCCGAGGGGAATCAGGCACGGAGAAGATAAAGAGTGGAAATGACCCCGGCATGTTGACAGAATTCTACAATTTCTGCTTTCATAGACAAACCGCACTCCTGAACCAAAATGACTGAGGCCTTGTGTTTTTTTCATCTGAAATAGGATTGTTTATGAAATGCAAACACAAACTCTTACACACGCCGCCAAATATGACTCAAGGGGTCAAAGGGCAGGCCGTGTTTGCTATTGGGAGAGCGCTGCGTGAAAACATTTGACCTGAAACCAACTCGATATGCAAACAACACACACAGAAGAGGAGCCCGGTCGATACAGACGCCGTCACAGCGTTGATATTTGAGACCAACGGCTGGACTTTCACATCACGGAGTTAGAAGGATGTAGCACAAAAATAATACTGTATCTGTTTGACGCAATGAAGTGCAAAAAGGCCCATAATTGTACTTGTGTAGGGTGAGAAAGTGTCGATATCACATATAACTTAAGTTATGTACCTGATATCGGAGAATTGGATCAAAAACAACCATGTAATAAATACAATAATTGATAATAGCTTTATTTAGGGGCACCAGGGAATAACTCCCAACTGATAACGTGCATATGACGTCACAATATCACTTAATTGGCTCATTTATTGATTAAGTAATCTCATGAGTCCTTTCATTATTTAATTAGCTAATTAGTCCAATTCTCTTCAATAGAATCTGAAGGTAGTGAATTCTTTTACAAATCAGTGACCCAATTTCTGGAGTTAAAAGTACAAATATCACTTTCAGACAAAGATGGTTTTGTAGATTTAATGAAGTATACACAATACAGACTAGATATGAAATATGCAAATTGTCAAGAATAACATGAAGGAAACGTTGATTTCAAGATACATTGTTAAAATGCTAGGCTAAAGTGAGCTAAGCAAGGCCTTTGTCTATGAATGGATTGGTATAGGCTGAGGCCTGCATGTGTTCAGCCTTGGTAAGAGAAGTATTCTTTGAAGTATAGGTTTTAATAAAGCCAACAACTGTGTGTAGCAAGAGCGCAGATCATACAACCAGAAATGAAAACAATTCTCTGGAGTTGGAGGTAAATGCTTTACGGGCGGAGAATATGTTTCTCAAAGAGAAGAGCTCTAAAATGGAACTGAACGAATCATCTCTAAAAGACGATAACAAAAAGGTCCTCATGCTGACGGGAGTGCAAACCTTTTCCATTCTGATGACACTCTTCAACGTAGTGTCCCCTCATCTAAAAATTAAGTCTAGCCTCTCAATATTTCAACAGTTCATGCTTACTCTAATGAAGTTGAGAATGCATTTTTGCTTTGACTTTTTGGGATTTTATTTTGGGATTGATTCACGTAGCGTCTCCAAATTATTTTAAAATTGTATCAATACCAAATACGTTCCGAAACAAACAGTTTAAAAACACCATCTGCATAATTGACTGTTTTTAAATATTTATAGAAAAACCAAGTAATCTTTTAGCCAGTGCCCAATGTTACTCTACATACAAATCGCATCACACAATGAAATATTTAATTGGAATAAGCCCACAAGGATGTATTATTTTCATTTCTAATGGGTGGGGAGGTAGAACAAGTGACAAGTTTATCACTGAAAACAGTACTTTTTTGTCACATCTGCTTCCAGGGGACCTTGTTTTAGCAGATAGAGGGTTTAATGTAAAAGACTCTATTCAGGCTTTTCAAGCTGATTTAAAAGTTCCAGCATTTACTCGAGGAAAAAAACAGTTAGACCCAGTTGATCTAGAGGACACTAGAGCCCTTGCATCCCTCAGAATACATATTGAAAGGGTAATTGGAGTGGTTCGCCAGAAACACACCATTTTACAAAGTATTGTGCCTATAACATTCATGAATATTGACAGTGACAGTGATAACATAATGTACCTGGATAAAGTTGTGAAAATATGTTGTGCTCTCACTAATGTATGTCAATCAGTTGTGATCCAGTGAGTGATCCACTTTAGTTGCTTTAATTTTTATGTTGTGATTTTAATTTTCTACAGGTGGGACAAATCCATTTTTTTGGTATTTTTTTGATTCCAAGGCAACTTTGGTGGTATTTCTTCACAGAGCAAAAATCCAAAAACGCAAATCAACATGCTGTTTGTTTCTTCTTCTCTGCAATAACAGCACTCAACCTATTTTGAGTTCTCTCTCCAGAAAGACCCGCTCAACAAAAGGCGCAGTGCACTCTTTTTCAGTCCAAAGAACAAAATCACAGTAGCTTTTTCCAGTGACGAATAGCTGCATCTGAACTTGATAAAAGTATGAATGATCTGTCTTTAATCTTAAATTTCCATTAAGACCATTTTCAAGGCAGAATCCGGCAATGGTTTTAACAGCCTCAGACACTGTAAGATCCTTGGCACGGAATGGGCACTTAATTTCAACTACACCTGAACCACAGCAGCTGCATGAAATGTAACAGTCTGGTGAGGATCCAACATAGGGGTGCCCTGTGGAAATGGTGAAGCCAGCATCATCAACCTGAACGTCTGAGTGTTTAAGACAAAGTTGTGTTTGGTAACTCCTCTTGGCTTCCTTTTCATTCTCACAGCCATATCTGAACATAAGAGAATACTTATTATCTGGTAACATAATGTATATACTAATTAGACCTACCTTGTTGTCTCAGTTGAAAACATATATGATTGTGGATAACAGATCTTTTTAATGAGTGACACTGATGGTTTTTGCATGTCTGATCTTACAGCTGCTTTGAAATTTGAAGCAGTAATCCTACCACTTCTCTGCTCAAACCACATTTTAGATTTAGCCTGACCTCTGGTTTCCACCTCCACAATCTCACTCTGCAAGCAAAACATTGATTACTAACATATTGATCACAGACTTCATACTGAACACCACACTTGCAACTGTTTCTAACATACATCACCTGTTCTTTAGTTACTGATAGCTGATGAAATACAGTGTCAGCTCTTTTCTGCAACTCCTCTACACTGGCATCTCTGAGTTCTTTGTCATAAAGAGAGGTGAGGGGTACAGGTAGATTTAAAACGACTGCTTTGGGTACATAAGATGCAGCGTGCTCCCTAACAAGAGACAGGACCACTGGCTTTTATTTTCGCCCCTCTTTTGAACAATTGGCGATGTTGTTGTAGAGCTGGCTTTGTTCACTAGGTGTCAGCAGTGGACACGCACTGGTTGCAGAAGTCGTCGACTCAGACAAACTGTTTTTTCAACTTTTGGGATTTGTTGAACACAATATCCTTTCCCTGTAGGTACTCCACCTTTTTCATAGCAGTCTCACTCGGTCTGTCCCATCTGCACTTTTTTGATGTTACGGAGGATTCTTCCTTTCCCCTTTCTTGATTGTGCTGCCACAAGGTAAACAACACAGCCGCTACATGGGAACAACACTCTCCAAGTCCTGCTGTACAATTACAGTGGGCTCCTAGCACTGCACCGTCACATCTGACAACTGCCCATGGCTTCAGTGAAGGGCTATTGAGTCTTTGTGAATGATTTACCTGTGACAACATTTACAGTAGCTGTTAAAGCAGTTGACTTTTATATTAGCTTAGCGCAGAAACGGGTGTTTAGCATGCAAGCGATGACAGATCGCACTGTGTGTACTTACTCTTCCAGTCACCACAAAACAGCTTTTTGTTGACAAATGCCATAGCTGGACATTGGACACAAACCCGGATTGTGTCCATTTATATCCGTCCAGACTTTTGTAAGCCTTCAGCGAATCCCCGTGTAAAAGGATGGGAAATCAATTAAGTAATTGTAAATATCTGGGTATTGCAGATTTGGTGGACTCACAACAAAATCTAGGCCTTTAAAAAACAAGCCAGGTTGCTAAGGAAAGCTGGAGTTGGGTCAATCCTCATATCTGAATATAAAAACTTTATCAAAATGTTTAAACCCAGGAATGAAAAGAGCATCATTAGACCACAGATTTTGTAATCCCAAAATGGTGAGTGTGACACAGTTACTGAGCTAGAGGAGAAAGCTAGTTGGAGCAAAACTTTGTCCATGAGCACTTCCCTATCGAGCTTCATTCAAGTAGCGGGTTAGAACTGTCATGGAGCTTCATTATTTGTCATGCATTCAACATTTCAAAAGCAAATATTAGAGAAACCCTTAAGTCATTTTCAATATTATATAATAATAATAATAATAATAATAATAATAAAGTGGGAGCAAACATCAAAAGGAGGCGGCTTCAGCGAGCAGTGTACTCATCTTCTCTTTTTATAAGCACTGACTCATGAACCTTTCCTAAAACAGATTCTACCTCCCTTTCCCTAAAAAGTTACTTTTCTGTGGGAGAGTAACCCGCCACCGTACGGTACGTGCCGTTTGAACTGTGAATCAAAGAGGATGCAACAGGATTCAGCAACAAGCTTAATTTTTTAGTATCAAAGTTGTCATACAAAAAATAAAAGACTAAAAGTTACTTTAGAAGAAATTCAAACTAACTTGACTTCACAGATACAACATAAAACTTGAAATAACAGGGCACCAGCTGTGAGGTCATATGTAATGTATCCAGAGCCATCTCTACACCAGAAGTTGGATTGCTATAGATGCTAGAGATACAGAGAAGACTTTCTGATTAATAATAATAATAATAATAATAATAGGAGGCTTTTAACTACGGCTGTAACTAACAACTATTACAGGAATAAATTAGTTGTTTAAAACTTACAAGAAATAAAGGAAATGTTTATGTAATTACTGCTCTGTCGGAGTGTTAATTGGAATTTGAATGACTATCCGTCATTTGACGTGCAGTACAGGTACAAAGCCATGTATAAAATCACATTTTACCAGCACCTTTTTTGAATAAACACACTGAAAACACCATAAGAGCGAGGGAGCATGGTTTCAATAGACAACCTTGGAAAGGTTCTCACGTCTGCTGCACTGCCAGTCAAAACTTTGGACATTCAATGTTTTGCTTCTTCTGTTGTAGAATCTATATAAACTCACTAAAGAAGAAATAATATTCATTAACTTGTAAATGTTAGAACCAGGTTCCTTAAAGTAGCCAGAGCTGCAAATTAAGGCCTTTGATCCAAACAACCGGTTATCAAACGGAAGAATCTAAAATCTAAAACATTTCCATTACATTCCATGTGTTCATTCAAAGTTTGGATTTTTCAGAAAGAATCTAAAATCTTGTAAATAGTCATGAAAAGTATAAAGAAAACAAAAATTGTCCACAATTTTGACTGGCACTGCACAGCATTAAATCCAGAGGGGGATGAGTATTACAGGTTAAATAAAAAGTAAATAAAAAGATGTGTTCGGTGTACAACTTTGAAAACATTTACTGAATACATTTAAAGGACAACTCACCCTCAAATCCACTTTTTTTTGCTGATAAACGGTATAAATGAGTGTCCAATAGTGTTGTCTACATATCCTGGTCATAATCTTGTCACTTTGGTGCAAATTAGTTGAAAGTTAGACTTTCTGCCTAAACCCGTCTGTGAGGCGCCATCTGCTGGCGACCTGTATTACTACATTTGAATTTTGAATCTGGCGCCAACACTGGCACAGAAGTTGGACCTGACGTCTGAAGCAAGACCTGACGTCAGCAGCCCCCCGCCCAGAGCAATGTAAACGGCCCAGTCTCGTTCACGCCCCCTTTAGTCCTCCAGGCTACGCCCATTTAGAGGAAGATTTGAACAGGAAATGTGAGTGACGTAAGCTCCGAGGAGCGGGGGTGAGAAGTGGTTCTCACCCCCGCTCCTCGGAGCTTACGTCACTCAGATTTCCTGTTCAAATCTTCCTCTAAATGGGCGTAGCCTGGAGGACTAAAGGGGGCGTGAACGAGACTGGGCCGTTTACATTGCTCTGGGCGGGGGGCTGCTGACGTCAGGTCTTGCTTCAGACGTCAGGTCTTGCTGCTGCGCCAGTGTTGGCGCCAGATTCAAAATTCAAATGTAGTAATACAGGTCGCCAGCAGATGGCGCCTCACAGACGGTTTTAGGCAGAAAGTTTAACTTTCAACTAATTTGCGCCAAAGTGACAAGATTATGACCAAGATATGTAGACAACACTATTGGACACTCATTTATACCGTTTATCAGCAAAAAAAAAAATGGATTTGAGGGTGAGTTGTCCTTTTTTAAGTAGGAGAATATTCTCAGAGTTCTCCAACTCTGAAACTCCTGATTTGGCACCAAGCTGTGAATAGTGGTGAGCTCTTAAATGACAACAATTGGGAACGGATTTGCATGCATTTGAATAAGGGGACAAGTTGAAACGTATCCCCCATCTTGTGTCTTTGCATGATTTAAGAAAGTATTCATTATTTAAGAATCTAAACAAACAGTGACATGAATGGAGAGTTGCGAAACATGAGATGATTTACAAGTGGAAAACCCCAGAATTTATTATGACGCTGTTTAAACTGAACAAATACAAAATCGAGACATTCTAGGGCCAAACTCCTGTCAAAGTTCAGTGGAGAGTTTCAGCTTGATCTCTGTAAAAGCATGTACCCACTGTCCAGAAAGACGCACATGGGACAGTTCCGGGCTGTTGTGCAGAACTATTTCTGGAAGCACGCACAAGAAACACTTTGAAGGATTTTAAAACCTGTACCCAAAAGACGTGGACCCACCTTGTCCGCTGTGTGTGGACCTGAACGAGCACCGAAGAAGAGTAAAATGGTCACTCTCTGAACAGCAGTCGAGTCACCCTGAGCTGAGGTGAGCCGAGGCGGGCACAAGACAGCCAAGACGCTAAACCATCACACATCCGGGACAGCCCTTCAAAATCAAACCAAATACATGCTCTGGCGTTCTCTTTCATGTTAAAATCGTTTACTGGTCATTCAAAAACTATGTACGTAGGATGTATAATTTACATGTCCTTTGTGAATGTGAAAATATATAAGTTAATAAAAATCATTACACTTGTAGAAGTATTATTTTGAAAAGAACGAGCATTGTATCCGGTTTCAACTTGAAGGAATTTTAGAGTTGGGCAACATCCAAAAATACACCCTCCGTCTTCCTTTCTTGTGATTTAAAATGTACATTAAATGAGAGAAGCTAGTTAAAAGTTTATTTAAGTGAAATTTAAAAACATTTGAACATGTTTTAGTGTCACTTAAGTCTAATTAATTGTATGTTATTATGGTTATATACAATTAGAAAGAAGAGCAAGGAGGGTTGAGGAGGTGTATGTTATGAAGTCGGATGTTGTCTTGGTTTGGCGAGTGGCTACGTAAGAGTTAATCACGTTTTAGTTTTACTTTCAATGTTGTTGTTGTTGTGTCTTTCTCCACGCTCTTTTGCCATGACGGTCTTCAAAGCCCTACCCGCACCAAACTAACTATCTAGTCTTAAACTCAATACTACTGTTCTCATTGCAACATAATATATTTGCAAGTTTCTGCCACGGATGTAAAGCGATGAGAAGAACGCGTTTGTGTGGAGAAAATACCTCTCTAAACTTTAACCAGCACGATGGTTTCATGTGACGTTTGGCGCATGCGTACTGTGATGGGATGATGATGAAAACCATAGACTGTAAATGAACTGGTATTTTAGCATATGGGAGGAAAGTAAATATCACTCTTTGGCAACAGCATGGATTACAACCACAAGAACCAAAATCCTTGATAAGTGGGGCTATTATAGAAACTAAAGGCAATTGGCAATCTATATTCCCCACCTCACCTATGGTTATGAGCTTTGGATTAATGCCAAAAAGGACGAGATTGCAGATACAAACTGTCCACATGCAGAGTGAGATATAGGGTGAGGAGCTCAGAGTAGAGCCGCTGCTTCTCCACGTTGACAGGAGCCAGTCGATGCCTCCTGAACGCCTCCCTGGGTCATATAGATCCATGGGCATTGGCGGCACTGCAAGTGTGTGTGGAGAGGGAATTCTAGGTGTCTCTGCAAACAGCTGTCCCTGCAACCCACCAACGGATTAAGTGGAAGAAAAATCATTTTGCTTTTTTATAGGGACATACACATCAATCATAATTACTGTTAATGCGCCAGTATTAGCGATAAAACTATTCTCAAACTGCACCTTCTTTCCACAACCTGTTAACAACATTTAAACAAAGGACTTTAATGTTCCCGCATTGAAACCGTTTTTTTTGATCAATTTCACAGTGACAATTGTTGGCTGTACTTTTTTAGCCTGTTTTATTCCTGGGGACTTGTGCACATGTATTTCTATGTGTTTTTACTGCAAATGGCAAAAAAAATCTATATTCTACAAGGGTGTCAAACTCATTATGGTCGGAGGCTTGATTTAAAAAAAAAAAAATGCTTTCCAGGGGTCAAAAGTATATACTTAACGAAAGGATGAAATTAGTTTTAAAATCAGGTATAACACGCCATAGTAGCTCATAATAACGTTATAATTAAGTTAATTGTAGTAATTGAACATAATTTCAGGGGCTACTAAAATGGCCTTGTTTTAGTGGACATAGGAAAAATCTAGGAAAACTTTTTTTACCTAAACCACTATTTCTTTAACCAGCATTTCTAGCTATTTTGACTGCTCCCATTCAGAACCAATAAAATTAATTTTCATTTTCCACCAGGTTTTTTTTTTCATTTGTTTTCATTTTTTAACCTTAACTCCAACTTACTTAGAGCTAAGACTGGTGAATTTAACTTGAACTTGAAATATAACAAAAATAGCAAACTGCTGGCAAGTAAACAGTGTGTTGCTATGGTGACCAACTGCTCACATTTCAATAATAAAAGACAATTTAATAAATAAAGGCGTAGAAATAATCTACAAAGAGAAAAAGAAAAAGTCATGTACATACGCCGAGTAATTACTGATAACAAAAACCCGTCAAATTGACTGCTTTGGGAGTTCTAACCATTTCAACTTTAAACAAAGAATGACTTTGACATGCGTTAAATCAGCAGCTTGTGTTTAATCTGTTGGCATAAATCACAATAAACTCTTTTTCCAACATTAGGCCACATAATTTCTCTTTTCTCAGAGTTCTGATGTCGCATGGTGAGCCCAGCGTTCAGCCACTGCTCCCACACCACCTGCAGTGGCAAAGAGGTAAGAGGGGCGTAGAGGGGTCTGAGAAAGTGTCCCGATGGCTTCCTTTTTAGGCAGGGTCAAGTTGAAGACGAAGGTCAAGAGTTGGCTTGAGAAGTACGGACCGGTTTACCCAAAAAGACGGCCCGTTTGAGGGAACAAAGGGAATCTATACAAGGGTCAGAATCCATTTGAAATATATGTCAAACTGCTCTTTTTGGGGATAATACAATAATTACAGCACTTGGGATGGAGGGGCTTATAGAAGAACACTGTCAATGGATACGAAAGGATAAACAACATCATTTGGGTAAAATACTGTTCTCAGTCCATGCATTTTCTTTATATTAAATTTCTATTTCTGTTTCAGTCATTGAGTCAAACAAAAGCTAATGAGCAGCAAACCTGTCAGACAAAACCCAGGGAAAATGATTCTCCCCCTTTTCCTGCACAACGTCTGAATCTGTAGAGACTTGAGTAAATTGTGGCGTTTACAAATCTGTGTATATTTTGTGTTCGTGGAAGTTCTAACAAAATTGGAGACATAATTTTTTGTAGTTAATTGTAAATAGTTTTTTTTAAGACATCAGACAACACTATAGGGCTGCACAATATAGCTATGGCAACGGTCGACATAGCAACAAACTAAAAGGTGATGTGTCCAAAAGTAAAGCATATTATTAAAGTATATATTTTTAATGAATTACAGTAATTAAAGAAGACATAAGTGTGCTTTTGAATGCTATAGCTAAAAATCTTAAATCATTATTAGTGTCATCATGAAACTGGTGTCAATAAGTGAGTAATCATTATTGATATAACGCATTTAACAGACCAAGGTCACACATGGTTTTGCTTTACCACTAATTTCTATTCACTCCACACCCAATGATGACAGGAGCGAGAACAAATCATAACCACCCATTCACACCTATTGTACTAGTGGTAGGGAAAACCGGAGCACCCGGAGGAAACCTACAAAAAATTCACACAGAAAAGTCTTGTCCGGAGGAGGAATCAAAGCCAGGACCTTTTTGCCGTGAAGCATAAGCACTTACCATCCAGCACTGCCCAGGTTTTTATTTGTATTATTTTTTCATTTGTGCCAAAATGTCTGTGAGATGTTGCCAAATCCTGAGTATATGTCTCACAGATTTGGAGACAGAAAAATAGAGGTAAGTGATGAAGAGTGGGAAGCAAAATGCATATATATATAGAGCACTAAAACTCTGCTTTAAGAACAGTTAAGCAAATAAATTAAAATACCTTTTATTTAACCTGGAAAGTTAAATAATAATAATAATAATAATAAATTGTGGTTAAAATCTCTTGCACATTTATGTCATCTTTAGCATCCTTGTATTCCCATATATTGTGCTGCCCTATCTGCCACCAATGCATTTCACCCTATATCCTGAAACCAACACCATATTTTTATCATTATCATTACTATTCATATTTTTTGTCTCTCTCTTTCAGAACAGCCTTCCTGTCTCCACATACCAGCATTTCCCATATATAGTAGCAGTCTCTGGGGGGGCAAATACAAATCCTATGGGTGAAGTGCGAGGAGCGGGAGAGGTCAGTCAGACGGCGACTGGCCCCCCGCCGGGTCGTGCAGTTTGCGGACGTGCTTCTTGAGGTCAAAGTTCCGGCAGAAGCCCTTCCCGCAGGTGGGGCAGGTGAAGGGCTTCTTGTCGTTGTGCGTGTGCATGTGGAAGGTGAGGTTGTACACCTGGTGGAAGGCTTTGCTGCAGATGGAGCACTTGAACTGTTTCTCTCCGCTGTGCGTCAGCTTGTGGTTCTTGTAGTTGCCTGGAGGAGGAAGAGGAGGAGGCGTGAGTGAGGGAGGGTGAGGCAGGGTGTGGGAGAGGGAGAGGAAGCAGAAACGCAGCATATGTTTGGATGGATTGGGCATACGCTTGTGGTTTATTAGAAATGTTGATGGATGGGTTTGTGATTAGCGAGGATGTAGCGACATTTTCAGGTCTATACTGAGAGGTGCTGCATTGGGCCTATAACATAAGATAAAATAGATATTGATCTCACACAGGAGAAATTTACATGTCCCATTTGGCATAAACAAAATCACTCAGATTTGTGCAAAAGACAGAAGTGTGCCACATGTTAGAGGCAAAAAAAGTCTGCTCAAGATATATTATGTAAAATAAAATATAAAGCGGCAATTAAAGAAACAGTAGCAAAAACAGTGCAGGTTTTTAGTTCTATATAGTGACTTAAAGTGACTTCTTGTACAGTCTGACAGAGGTTTCTCCCTTTTTCCTCCCACTGTTTTTTTTTTTGGTCCTTGCAGATTCAGGAGGGTCTAAGGACAGTGATGATCCGGGACATTTATGCGCATTTATTAACGTTTATGGACATTGACTTCTATATGTGTTTGTTATTATTATTATTATTATCATTCATCTCTTCTGTTCGAGTCTCTGTTTTTGGCAAAATCGAGAACTTTGCACGTCTTTCGTGACGGTTGGTGCTGATTTATGGCTACACAGAAATAAATTAAATGGGATTGAATATGTCGGAAAAAAATCCATAATTTTGTTTTTTGTATTCCACTTCAAATGCATTTTTTTCCACTTTAAATTCATGTGAGGTTTTTGCTTGTTATAATTGTATTTTGTCAAGTCAAAATGTACTAGAGAATAGAACATGTCACTGATAATAATTTATGGCGGAATACTCCTTGTGTGGAGTTAAATGCAATGATGTCCGCAGATGACAAAATCTCTTGGGGAAAATCTTGAAAAAGGAAAGACTGGGAAAAATGAAAAATGTCGCATAATAAGTCTGATGCCCCCTGAACTCTACAAAAACGATGAATTATTTAAAAGAAGCTGGAGTTTCTGTGTTAAGACATTTGCCCAACTCTGCAACTGATTCATTTTCATCACACAATATTTACAGTGTGTATACTTTTAGATTGCCATTCGTGAAGATCTCCTATTCTATTTATCTGCCTAACAAGACAAAACATTCAAATAAAATAATAATAATAGAAACAATTCAATTCAAAATGAAATAATTGTAATAATGTGTTTTGTATATGGCCTTTTATTTGTTATAGATATATGAAGAAGAAAAAATGGCTCGTTCCCTTTTTTATTTTCCTTTTGTAAACACAGATCTGTCCGTTTTCATAAATTCCTATATAAAAGTATTTTTATTTTTCGTCTTAATTTTTGACAGTTTAGTTCGGTTGTGTCGCTGGATGAAACCACACCTATACCGTGGGGAAAAGCATCAACGTCGGCCTTGGTTAAAAATCCCCCCCAAAACCTTGTGCTCTTGTGTCAAACTTTCACGGTCTTGAAAATAACATGAGACCATTTTAAAACCGTGCGTAAAAGTGAATGCCCGCGCGCCATCTTTACGCACGCTCCAACAAACACGAGCGCTTTTCTCCCTAAAACGTTCTGTTTCCACGCAGACCATTGATTCGATTCTGTTTATTTGTGTTTAGCAGTCGTCTCGGGAGGACTGTATAAAGTTGGGAATTTGCCAACAACAGAGAAAATAATCAAACAGTTCGAACACATTATCTTTACTCTTTTTATTGTAGGTGATTATTTATGATGTTAAGGCTTTGTTGTCTCTGTTTTTGTTCAGCACTTTTTTATTTGCAAAGCACAGTTTAAGGCAACTCACTTTCCTTGCCATGCAATGCAATAATAACAATAATAGAAGCCATGGGTCCCTAGGGAGCGGGATGACACTGTCTATAAATGGTGATAAATGTCCAGGATCATTACTGTCCTTAGACCCTCCTGCGCCTTCGAGGAGGCCCTTATTCAGACTGGGATCAGCTCCGGACGGACAGGCTGATCCAGGACGAGGACTGGGGCTGAAGAAGATCCCAACCTCAGGCTCCCTCAGGCTCCTTCACACCCCCTTAGACCCCTCCCTCACCCCCTCAGTCCGCCTCACACCCGTCAGACCCCTTCACACCCCCTCAGACCCGCGCGCTGCTCACCTTTCTGGTGGAAGCCTTTGCCGCAGAACTCGCAGACGAACGGCTTGTATCCTGCGTGGATCCGCGTGTGCGTGTTGAGCGTGGAGCTGCGGTTGAACGCCTTCCCGCACTGGTTACACTTGTGAGGCTTTTCCTGCACCGCACACACACACACACATACACACACGTTGTTATTATTATTATTATAGTATTAAACGATAGTTGTTTGATTTGGATTTGCTTTTTCGTGTTTCTGTAGCGTTGTAAGTCGTCCTTGGAAGTCTTAGTGACTCTTTTATTCACGCACCACGGCTGAGGTTAATGGCAGCGTGAATGGATTGCACATTCTAAGTTGTGGCACAATAACATTAATATTAAAGTAAAGTTGGATAAGATTTTTTTTTCTTTTTTTAAATCTTATATTTCTTACTACAAGGGAAATATCAAAATTAATTATTCCTTATTTGCACGAGTCTTGCACAAACAGTGTTCAGCATTATTTCTGTGTAAGAAAATGTGCAAGGTCAGGAGCAAATCCTTACATTGGAAAAGAAAATTGTATATTTAAAGCTGTTCCAAGCTGTTTATTTTTATTTTTTTCGTTCTCTAATGATGTGTTAATATTGTATTGTAATGTATTTGGAATACACTACACTAAACTAAAGGTTAATTTGCGAAAAAACACAAAAAATAAAACAGTTTTAACATTTTGCCCAAAGGTTGCATTCCTTCTCTGGCTTTTAAAAACACTATCAGTAAAGTAAAATTTAAAAAATAAAACATTATGCCTGTATCTGTTTTTGAAAATGAAAAAATATTATTGTTTAAATACATTTTCTTTCGCTGTATCCGTTGCCGGGTCGCATTAATAGGCCTGTAGTTATAATTATATATAAGGTTTAACTGAAACAACCAAACAGAGCAAACCATTACGTATGAACTTTTTTTTAAAGACAGAATATTGCAAAAATACATACATTACACACATATTTAAAAAACTTACAATTTCCTATGCCATATTTTAGTGTCATAACAATAAAGTTTCACCCCTGCTTACAACAACACCACGTTTCATTGGAAAGTTTTGACACAATTTCAAATATTAGTTTTTGCCCTTTTTATGGTCTGCGATAAAAAATATATTGCATATATTTTTTTGACATCCCCTTTAAACGCGAGTGAGTGTGGCGCATACCTGAGTATGGATGATCTTGTGTCGGCAGAGCGTGCTGGCCTGACGGAAGCCTTTGCCGCAGACTTTGCAGACGAAAGGCCGCGCGCCGGTGTGCACGGGCATGTGGCGGGTCAGGTTGTAGTGCGCATTGAACACCTGAGAAAAGAACACACACTGCATTTATATTATTGCATGTAATAGGCTGCAGGGAATCCACTGCAGACAGCACAGGCCCAAAGGATGAACATGTGACGTTCGCTCCAATGGGACGTCGTTGCTTCTTTGCTTTGAGTCCATTTAAATTAAACAGCCTCAAATGTGTGTTTACAGAATGAACGGAGGCAATAAACTACTCTCTGGAACAACAACATGGATATGAAAAAAAAAAATGGTCTAAATATGAAACTCTGACAGTCTGAACAGTGTTGGATGCGCGCCTGTCTGTCAAGAGCCAAATGAAACCGAAACATGAAACGTGTTTGTGATGATAGTGCCGCGGTTCGTTTATAGTGTTTGCATTTTCACATCTCATATTTATGTGATGAACAGAGGCTTTTAGGCCTGTGAGATGATGAAATACTACAATTGTACAAAACCAACAATAATGACACTATTACTAATAATAATGATATTACTAATAATAGCAATAATGACAATAACAATAATGTTTCTATATTGAAGATGAATGTGTTTAAAAATATGATTAAATCATTAAATTATAACACCCAAATATAATCGTATAACCTCCTCTGATCCGTACCTTGCCGCAGACTTCACATGTGAACACTTTGGGCTTGTTCCCTGCGGCACACGCGCTGCTGAGCCGCGGGCCAGAGGAGCTCTTGAACAGGCCGTCTGTGAGCAGCTGCTCCCGCTCCCGCTCCTTCACGTAGTGCTGCACGTGTGCGTGTGCGTGTACGTGTGTGTGCCCGGTGGAGAAGCGCGGCTCCGGGGCTTTTTCCGCCAGCAGCGCCTTGTGCCGCGCGGACAGCAGGTACGAGGCCATGGGCACGTGCAGGTTGAGGAGTCCGGTGGGCGCGGGGCACGCGCCGCTGTCCCCACAGTTCACGTACACGGTGCCCACCGCCGGGAACGTGCCCTGCGTCACGACGCGTGGACGGAAAAGTTTATAATGTCCTTGAGCCGGTGCGTGGTCCTCAGGTGCGCGGTAGTTCAGTCCTAGTCCCAGCAGCTCGGGCCCGGAGTCCAGCAACAGGCGCTGAGGCTCGTAGTGCAGCGGCAGCAGCGGCACGACCCCCGCGGGGGGCTGCAGCCAGCCCGGCAAAGCCAGGGGCCGCGGCTCAGGCAGAGCCATGATCCGCTCGATGGAGAAAGCCAGAGGTTTGGAGCCGCTCTCAGGGCTCAGCGGGGCGGGGGGCACGTGGAGCCCCGCGGGGCGGCGAACAGCTGAGTCCATCAGGTCCGCATCCAGCGCTGTCCTCTGGCCGTGATTGGAGCACGAGGCTGTAGTCGATATAGTCGGTGGAGCCGCTGCAGCTCAGTGGGGCTCGGTGGCGCTCTGCTCTGCTCCGAGGCGGGAGTGTGTCTCTGGGAGCTCCGCTCTGCTCTTGTGGCTGATGCGCGTCACATCATCCACGCAGCAGCCGGGGTCACGCGCTGTCAGGGGGCACTGTGCACGCGCACTGTGGAGAGAGTGGCGCACAAGTGGCGCGCGGACACTGAAGGAGACTCTGTGGGTGACGCTGTGCGTGAGACTGTGGGAGACGCGGGATGGAGGCGGTGCTGCTCGGCCTCCGCTGAACTCTGCTCAGATCGATGCTCGTTAAAGATGCGCCGTTTCTCATCCCTTTAATCATCCGCGGCTCTGACGGCATCAGCACGAACCAAGGCTCAAGTCAATATTCTGACACCGAGTGTGTTTATAGAGCTCTCTCCTCTCTTCCTCTCCATCTCAGGCGCCTCACATTTACGCGCAGCAGCCGCAGCTTGTGCAAAACAACAGGGATCATTAAACACAGAACAAACTGAACAGAAGTCGTCTCAGGAACGCGCTCACGCTTTGGCTGCGTGCCATCTCCGTGCGCACGGGCCGCCACCGCAGCGTCCTTCATGTTTCATTTCCTTTAAAAAGTGTCCGTTTATGAAATGCAAAGAACATGAAGCTGCACATGAGGAAGTCATGAACGGCTCAAAGCCCATGTTGCGCAGCGTCGAGGCCTGTGTGGAAACCAGAACCATGTCTTTGTCAAAAGTTCATTTGCAAAAACAGATAAGCAAATATTCGAAGGGTTTTGTTTTGTTTTTAAGCCAGATCTATGTCAGAGTCATATTCACAGTTTCACCCATATTGAGCAAATGTTTTCAAATGTACTGCCAATAACAAAACATAATGAAGATTGCGGAGATTTAGTAAATTAACTCTTCATAGACCCACATATTTCCTCTTCTACTGTTCATAATATTAATAATAATAAATGATAACACATTTCCGAATGGAACGAGAAAAAAAAGGTTCCAGGAATTAGACTTTTAAGATTATTTTTCCACTCAATTGTTTTGTAAAGTCCTAAATCACAACAGCAGTCGCATCGGAGGATTTTACAAAGTTGTTGATTTTCTGAGCAGATCCGAGAATCAGAGTTCGAATACAGGACACAGAAAAGAGCCATTGGTCACATGGACGGGATGATCACTCTCCATAAATGTCCAAAAATGTTCATAAATGTCCTGGATCTTGTCCTCCTGCATCGGTGAGAAACGACTCAAAAACCCAGTGGGTCCTGGATCATCACGTGAGGAATAAAGGGCATTACTTATAAAACACATTTATATGTTTTAATCCTTGGTCTTAGTAAATCTGATAAAAACTAATTGCTATAACCCGTTTGTGGTTAATTTTGTGTCTACAACGTGCTATATTTGGAACTGCTCTCGGGCCTCGGTCTGTGGCCTTTAACACGGACCTTCACGGAATGACATGGAACAGTTTCAAATCTCGACCTGAAGGAGGAGACACGCGCGTGGGGGATTTAAAACACTTTATTTGGGACAGTCATACACACACACACACACACACACACACACACACACACACACACACACACACACACACACACACACACACACACACACACACACACACACACACACACACACACACACACACACACACACACACACACACACACACACACACACACACACACACACACACACACACACACACACACACACACACACACACACACACACACACACACACACACACACACACACACACACACACACACACACACACACACACACACACAAAATACTCTTTCGCGCACATCTCTCAAAATACATTTAAAAATAAAAACATATAACGACGATGGAATCATATTCGCTTGAAGTCTTGTAGTCCCCGGCGTTCACATGTATTTTTGGCCTCTGTCAAAGTCATTTTTTTTGTATAGCATATTTTGTTTTCTCTCATGTCCGAATACTGAATTTTGTGGTCCGATTTGTTCACCAAACTTTCCTTTTTCCCCAAGTAATATCAATCAAGCGGACTTAAACACATAAATAATAGTGAAAGTAAAAAATAAAATTGGTTATATTAGGTCAATATTACATCTATTAAAACCAGAAATATCTATTTTAGTTTACCAATGTCAATGTTTCTGTGTGGCTGCAGCTGTAAAGTGCAAAACTGCCGTTGTGTGTGAGCGGTTGTGGTCGGAGGGGCCGATGGCACATACTGGTTGCCTCACTGTGTGCCCCAGGGCAGCTGTGGCTAAAGTAGTAGTCTTTGAGTGTCCAAAAAGCGCTGAAAAAACAAATCCATTGTAATTTTTTTTATTTATTTTTTTACAGTTGATTAAAGTTTATGTTTGCTCTTGTTCATGTATAAATAAGAAGAACACATTTGTTTAGGCCTCGACACTGCCTCTAGTGACAGAATCCAGTCAGCACAAAAAAAACTCCACACCGAAAACACATTTATTTTCAATGGATAAAAACAACATGACACTTACAGACAGGGGACGGTTTGAAACAGTCTCTCTTATTTTCTTGTTGCGTTTGAGGCCACATCCAGTGACCGAAACAAGCTACACGGACCGCTCTGTACAGTGACATCACATCTGTATGGCAGCGCAGGGAGGGGGCGGGGCCTTTCACAGCCCCGCCTCCCTCACCTGCTTTTAAGTACATTCAGGCGTTTGTATTCACACTATGTACATTGGAATTATTCAAGAATGCACCGTACACGTTTGGAGCACGGAAACAGTTCTGGTTGGTGACTTATAGGCTGTTACAGATGGACAATGCTAACCTGCTAGCTCAATGAATGCCAATAGGGAACTGCTCATGGACAAAGTTTGGCTCCAACTCGCTCTGGTTCCCATTGACTTACATTGAAAAGTAAACCCGCTCTACCTCAGTAACTGTTTGTGATGTCACACTCACCAACTCGGACAAAAAAAAAATTTGCAGTTTAGCGCTCTCTAGAATCCCAATGTTTTTTTTTCTTTTGATATTGTCTTTGCAAATCCAGATAGAAGCCATCCAAGGCTCAACCAATCAGATACCTTCATTAGCAGCGGAGACTCCAGCTTGCCTTAGCAACCGTCTTAGCAACACGTCTGCACCTCTTATGACGCAAAGCAAACGCCACGGAAAAAATGCCCATATATTGAAAGTGTCTCCAGCTAGCTTATGTTAAAATCTGCCTCTTCCACATTAAGGCTAACACTGCTATTATTATCATTAGTAAAATTACAATTTCAATATTTAATACAAGTTTTTAGTCAAACGCTCCTAAATTTGCAGAATACATCGCCGTCAACAGTTATAGAGGCCAACAATGTGGGCATAAAGATCTGTGTGGTACAAATACAAAGAAATGGGCTAAATTTGTCTGTACGGCAATATCGTCTTTTGCTTTGTTATTTACTGAAAAGGCTGAGTGAAAGAATTTAAGAGCGTTTAATATCTTCTAAATAACACTGGTGAGCAGCAATCTAAAACACATGTTGAGATTCAAAAGTCTACTTCATTAGAAAGTAACATTTTTTTTTATATACTGTATTTTTACAGACCAAGTGCTTTACAATGAAGGATGAAAGGAATTTTTTTATTTTATTCCCACAACTTTAGTTTACTGGATCTGATTCAGGCACAATTTGATCGAGTCCTGAAGCGTCTGGACCTGGTCTGTAAAAGGCGCTATATATATAAAGATGACTTACTTTACTCAAAGTGAAGTTACTGGCGTTTCTTATGATAACATGTTGTTCAAGGCGGAAAAAAAACACTCAATGTTTGGATTATTGTGCCGTTTCCACCAGCCCTACTCGGCCTCACTTATCTCAGCTCTTCTCTACTCCGTTTGTGTTTCTATTACGCTTCAGTATCTGACAACATGTATCCTAGCAACCACCAACAACAAAGCTGTACCCAGGGAAATATAAAGGAATTTCCTGGGTACAGCTTTGTTGTTGTGGTTGCTAGATACATGTTGTCAGATACTGAAGCGAATAGAAACACAAACGGAGAAAGAAGAGCAGAGATAAAGTGAGCCGAGTAGGGCTGTGTGGAATCGGCAACAATAATCCAAACATTGAGTGTTTTTTTTTCCGCCTTGAACAACATTTTCATAAGAAACGCCATTAACTTCACTTTGAGTAAAGTAAGGACATCTTTATATAAATAGCGCCTTTTCAGACCAGGTCCAGACGCTTCAGTACTCGATCAAATTGTGCCTGCATCAGATCCAGTAAAACCTAAAGTTGTTGGAAAAAAATAAAAAAATTTCCTTTCATCCTTCATTAGTAAAGCACTTGGTCTGTAAAATACAGATAATACCAAAAAAATGATACTATTCTAATGAAGTAGACTTTTGAAATCCAACATGTGTTTTAGATAGCTGCTCACCATGTGTTATTTTAAAGATATAAAACTCTCGTTAAATCTTTCACCGTCAGCCTTTTCAGTAAATAACTAAGCAAAATACGATATTGCCGTACAGAGCAAATTTAGCCCATTTCTTTGTATAAGTACAACACGAAACTTTATGCACCACATATGTAGGCCTCTATAACTGTTACTGGCGATGATATCTGCAAATTAAGGAGCTTTGACTAAAAACTTGTATTAAAAATATTGAAATGTAATTTTACTAATGATAATAATAGCAGTGTTAGCCTAATGTGAATAGGCAGATATTAACATAAGCTAGCTGGCGACACTACAATATAGGGCAAATTTTTCCGTGGCGTTTTGCTTTGCTCCATAAGAGGTGCAGACTTGTTGCAAAGACGGTATTGCAAAGGCAAGCTCGGAGTCACCGCTGCAAATGAAGGTATCTGATATGGTTGAGCCTTGATGGCTTCTATCGTGGATTTTGCAAAGACAAAATCAAAAGAAAAAAACATTGGGATTCCTAGAGAGCGCTAAACTGCAAAATTTTTTTTTGTCCGAGATGGTGAGTGAGACATCACAAACAGTTACTAGGTATAGCGGGTTTACTTTTCAATGTAAGTCAATGTGAAACCATATCAGGTTGAGCCAAACTTTGTCCATGAGCCAGTTCCCTATTGGCCTTCATTGAGCATTAGCTGGTTACAAAGTCCCAACTGTAACACCTATAAGTCCACCAACCCAGAACTGTTTTCCGTGCTCCAAACGTGTACGGTGCTTTCTCTGAATATTTCCAATGAACATAGTGGTGAATACAAACGCCTGAATGTACACTAAAAAGCAGGTGAGGGAGGACGGGGCTGTGAAAGGCCCCGCCCCCCTCCCAGCGCTGCCATACAGATGTGATGTCACTGAACAGAGCGTCCATAATCTTGTTTACGTTCACTGGAGTGGCCTCAAACCAACAAGAAAATTAAAGAGATACTGTTTCAAAACCGTCCCCCAGTCTGTAAAGTGTCCATGTTGTTTTTATCCAATTGAAAATAAATGTGTTTTCGTGTGGAGATTATTTTAGTGCTGACTGGATTCTGTCACTAGAGGCAGTGTCGAGGCCTAACAAATGAGTTCTTCATATTTAAACATGAACAAAGCAAACAAAAACTTTAAACAACAGTAAAAAAATAAAATAAAAAAATTACAATGTATTGTTTTTTCAGCGCTATTTTGGACACTCAAAGACTACAACGTTAGCCACATCAGCCCTGGGTCACACAGTAGAGGCAACCAGTTGTGCCATCAGGCCCCTCCGACCACAACCGCTCACACCCAACGGCAGTTTTGCACTTACAAGCTGCATCCACACAGAAACATTGACATTGGTAAACTAAATATATATTTCTGTTTTAATAGATGTAAAATTGACCTAATAAAACCAAATTTATTTTTTACATTCATTATTTTATGTGTTTAAAGGCCGCTTGATTAGATATTACTTGGGGAAAAAGGCAAAGTTTTGGTGAACAAATCGACGCACAAAATTCCAGTATTCGGACATGAGAGAAAACAAAATATGCTAAACAAAAAAAATGATCTTTGACAAGGCCAAAAAATACATGTAACGCCGGGGACTTCAAGCGAATATGATTCCATCGTCGTTATATGTTTTTATTT